CATAGGCTGTCCCATAGGTCGGCCAGGTCCGCCGCGGACAGAGGCTGGGGAAGCCTGCCCGCCGCCGACGCCACCAGGCCGTTGAAGTAGTCCGTCGGTACCACTTGGTCGTCTTGCCCTACCGGAATGCCCGAGAGTTCCAGGATCTGGGCGAAGCGGACGGCCGGCTCCCCGCCCAGCTTCCTCCCTTCCTCCGCCGTGCCATGGCGCAGGCACATCAGGACCAACAGCTCCCCGTCCGTCTGTCTCGGGGAGAAGGACTCATCCGCCAATGTGTCCCACAGGACCCTTAGAATGCGGTCCCAAAGACGAGTGTAAGGCGGGCGCAAAAGAAACTTGGTAGAAACCCTGGCCATGATGAAAAAGGGGGGGTTCGAGCCTCCAATCGAACGGCCGGGACCCAACCGCGGCAAACTGCATTCATGTTCCAACCGCGCAGGATGCCGAGTGCAAAAGGAGCAGGCAGGCCACACGCAGCCCCAACAGGACCAAAAGTCAACCCCCGGAAATCCCCAAAAACACGGAGGGGGGAAGACCAACCCGACCCAAAACCCCCAAGGGGAATTCAGGGAACCAAGAGTCAGCCGCAGCGACTTTCTCCAAACTGTGGCAGATATGGCCCGTCCTTGGGGCAGCCAATGCATGCAGCCTCCAGATCGAGGCAAACCGGCTGTGTGTTGAACAGGGGGGAAACCAAGGTGAAAGATGAACCCAAAAGGAGGCACCCTAACTCCTCCCCCCACCCGAGACGGGGCCAAAGGCACCCAAGTCCCGGCGGGAAGAGATCACACGACTCCACATCCAAAAGGGTTGTGAGACACGACCTAGCGGCTCTCACCCTTCAAGATCGCCTCCTTTGCCACGAGTGGATGGCCGCCAGCCCTGACTTCTCCGGGTTGCTCAAAATGACCGACCACAAGGCAGTGGAGACATCCCCCAGGCCATTCGAGGAGCTGAAGCGCATGCGCGGGGTGCTCGCGTCGCCCAGGACTAGCCGCTCGTCCCTGGGAGGCTCCGTCGGCTCCACCCTCTTGTAGAACTCCATCCTGTCACGGATCCACTGATTATATAGCTGCTCCGGGGGCTCGTCCATCACCAGCTGCAAGCATGTGGCCTTGTCTTTGTGCCACCCCGTGATCTGGAGCAGCCTGGTCCCCCCGCGGCTCGCCCTCCAGAAGCCCTTGCAAAACCTGCACATGTAGCCCCCGGTGGTCTTGAACTTCTCCTTGCCCACCACTTCCCAGGCGCTGATGCTGGGCAAGACCAAGCCACACTCCACGGAGGCCCAAAACACATGCTCCTTGGAGAAGTGCTTGTTGATGTACTTCCGGCCCGCGACCGCCGTGACCGTGGCCGTGGTGATGGGCGGGTATCGCCTGGTGCCCTGGTCCGGTGTGCGGAGCGTGGTGTCTGCCCCCCCCAGAACCTTGGCCTTGGGGTCCGCCTCCTTGGCCGCTCCTCCCCCGGGGCCAGAGGCACCCAAAGGGGGGGAGCAACCCAGCTGCCGGATGAGGTCCTGGGAGTAGCCCAACCTGTCGTACAAGGCCCCCGCCGCCTCCTGCGGGACCTGCTCGACCCAGTCGTGGACCACGTTGCAACGCCAGTTGACCTTCACCTCCACCATGGAGGACTTGCTCAGGCCCGACACCAACTTGGTGTAGACCGAGTCGAAAGCCCTCAGCGATGACAGCGGGAGGGTGATCCGCTCGTCGCAGACCGCCCTGAAACGCAGCGCCTCCTTGCTGTCGTGGACGGGGGCCACTGGGATCTCCATCACCGGCAACGGGCAGTTGACGATGAAATTCTTGGCCGCCAGAAACGTCCCCATCTCCTTGAAGATGTAGCTCCATTCCGCCTTACTGCGCGGCTTGGGGATGCCCAGGCTCTCCAGGAAGGGCACCGCCTCCTTCCTCATCTGGAGGATGTTGCCCATCCACTTGTCCGAGGTCGAGCCCTCCGCATTGCGGCCCCGGCGCTGCGTCTTCACGATCAGCGGGAAAGTGGTCCAGGCCGAGTAGATGTACTTGAAAGTGAACCTGTGGGCGTACACCCCCGTCAGGCTCGGCAGGTCCCACGTTCTCGTCTGCCTGGTCCAAAACACCCCATCACCTTTTGCCCAGAAGATCCCCACCACCTGCTCCGGCGCCGGGCGCTCGCCCCGGTTCACCTGCGCTCGGATCTCCAAGGCCGTGTAGATGACTGGGTCGATGTGGCCCTGCTCGCACGTGAGTGGGTGAGTCCTGCGCTCCAGGGCCAGGAGCTCCTCCGGCGTGAGCTTGAACTGCTGGTCAGCGCCCTTGGGGATCTCACCGCTTGAGTGCTTCTTCCAGATCCCCCCAAACATCCGTAGCTCCCCCTGCCAGAGGAGCAGGGACAGCTTGCCCTCCTCCGAGTCCAGGTGCTGCTGTGACATTGGCTGGTCCCCCCCGTGGCACCCTTGGGGGGGGCCGGTGCCGCCAGATCGGGCATCTCCTCCAGCAGCGCCTCCTGGTGCCATGGGTTCTGCGACTCTCTGAGCCTCCTGATGTAGGGGACATACTTCTCCTTGATGTCACCCACGTTGGGGATGTCCTCTGGGTCATCCAGCTCCAGGGGGCAGAATAGCCCCCTCTCCAGGGCCTGCCTGAGATCATCCGGCCACGCCGACACTTCCAAGGGCTTGAGAGTGTCCATGCCTGGTTGGTGTCCTGGGTGCGCTTGTTCGCCTCCTGAGCTTCCTGAATGGAGCCCATCGCCTCAGCCAGTGCCTGGCTGGCGTCAACGCCCTTCCCCTCCTCCAGGTACTGGTCTCGCAGCTTGGCCTTGAATCGCTCCAGGTTGACCTTCCTGACGGGCTCGGCCACCTCCTCTGACGGCAGGGCCTGCATGCCCTCCTGGAGAGGCGCCAGGATAGCCATCTCATTGTCCAGCATCTCATCCGTGACCAACTCCTTGTGCCGTCGCCTGGCCGAGGACTCCTCCAGGGTCAGTTCCCGATGCTCCCTCAAGGCCTTATGCAGCTCCTCCTTCTTCCGGATCGCCTGGTCCACCTGGGGGTGGTAGAGCTGGAAGCTCTGAGCCTCCGCCTCCTTCAGGGACCGCTGCACTTTGACCTTGATCTCCTGGCATTCCCGGACCTTCAACGCCTCGTCGTCCGCCTCCATGGACAGGATCTCCTGCCGGATGTCCACCCGCCTGTTGAGCGGGACCACGTCTGCCATAGTGATCTCCTCTGCCGTGTCCGTTCTCGGAGGAGCTCTCCCCAGGACCGTGCCGTCCACCAGGTTGCGGTCTGCCTGTGCCCGGGTACCACCGGGGCCAGCGGCACCCAGGCTTCCCCCTTCCCGCTGCTGGATCCAGGTTGGTTTGCCCTCCACAATGAGCAGGTTGTAGGTGATGCCGTCCGCCTCATAGGTAGCCGAGGGTGCCTGGAAGGGGACGAACTCCTTGCCTGGGCAGACCCAACACTGCTTGGCTGCCTCTGGCCACCCCGTGCCGCACGCCTTGCACATGAACTTGTAATCTGAGTGGCCTGCATCGAGTCTGTGCATCCGCTGGGTGCCAATGCATGCCTTGTTCCTCTGGAACTGTGAGGCCCAGACCTCCTCCTGCCGGATCTGGATCTTCATCGGGACATAGGCCTCCAGGATACGAATCACCAGGTCCTCCGTGAGATTCTTCCCGACAAACTTGTGGAACAGGGAGACCGCCTCCTCCACCGTGACGTCCCTCAGCAACGTGGCCGCCGATGCCGGAAGGACCGGGAAAAGGTCTGGGAGGTCCACTAGCTTGAAGTAGCCGGGACGGCCCTCCACCGGCACCAGGGAGACCGGTTTGTTCACATGAGCCGTGGTCTTCTGGGAAGCCGCCACGAAACCCTTCAGCCTCTTCGTGGGTGGTGTCTGTGCCTCCTCCAGTGGAGTAGCCCGCTCCGTGACGTCCGCATCTTCCATGTCCTTGTCCTCCTCCTCGGCGGGGCCAGGGGCACCCAAGCCGGAAGTCGGTGTGGCAAACGCCACACGGAGACGCTCCAGTGCACTGGAGAGGTCATTCATCACGTCGGTAGCCGAAGCCGACGGGGGGGACTCGGGCTCGTCCAACACCAGGCCGGCCGCCACTGCCGCCTCGCGTGTGCGAATTTCCTGGGCCTCCTGGCTGGCCCTTTCCACCTCCTCCGCGGTGAGCGTCTGGTCCTCAATCAGCTCGAAGGAGGTTGCCGAGGTTGCCGAGGAAGCCATTGCTGGATCGGGGTTAGTTCGAGGGTGTTCAAACTCAAATCTTTTTCACACAAATTGGGTTCAAAGAACCCAGGGCAGAGCTTGAGCCAAAATGGCATGCGCCATTATGGTCAAGCATTTCAAACACAGTTCATGTTTCCACATGCGTTTCAACATTAACAAATTGATTCCACCCAAGTCACTTTGCAAACCACCCAAAGAGACTAGAGCAAACGAGTGCCGTTTACCTTGTGCGGCAGCAGGGAAGTCCAATCCCATTAGCCGGCTGCTCTGGGGACTTTCAATCGCGCAACTGCCCCGCGACAGTCTCCTTCAGCTGTTCCTCCTGATCCCGCTAGCACGGTGTCTATGTGCCTATTGGCCCCACATAAAATTCCCAAGTTTGCGTTTTTTGTTTTTAGGAAATTAAGACTCCTTCGCTGAGTGCCTCACAGATCACGGCTTTGGACTACAGAGCTCCTAGGTCACCGACTCGAAACAAGGAAGGGATGGGCCACGCAACATTGCAAGGACTTTGTCCCTGCTCCAAAGACTCCGGCACAAGAGACGCTTCAACCCTTGACGGACACCCATGGCACCCACTTTCTATCACCAATTTTCGCCCCTAGCTGTTTTTGTTTAACTAGGTCCTCCGAGAGGTTAGTAGAAGGGTACCAACTTTGTTCTGTAGTCTAATTTAGTAGGGGAACCCTCCTAACCAAAAAACGGGTGAGAAAGGCACCTAGCTGGGGGACCTAGACACGTTACAGGCTCGGAGCTGCCCGGTTTGGCAGCCAGGGCTGCCTTCTTCACCTCAAGCGGCAGCTGCTTCTTGGTGTAGCCGCCTGACGGATGCTGAATCCATGTGGGAAACAAATTGGAAACCCATACCTCGGCTTCTTTCTGCTCCCCTGCTAAAGGTGAATAACTTTTAGTGGTTTACTGGAAAACCCCTGCGAAAAGTTTAACTTTTAGTGGTTTAATTCGGAAAAACCCCACTAGCTGGCAACAAAATCGCACCAAAGATCTGCACAACCAAGGGAAGCCAGCCGCGCCATTTTGGTAGGAGAAACTGGCACTCCGCCGCGTATCTTAGGGCGCCCAGATCTGAAAAATGAGCTTGTTGTACCCCCCCCCAACCCCCCGCTCCAGTCTGCGAGCGCCAAAAGGCCACAGCAAATGAGCCCTTGGTATTAACATCTTCTCCTGAGTTTATCCCGGGACGAACCCCTCCAATGAACCCCTCAACGCACACCCAGGGGTCAATGAGAATAGGACTCGAATCCGTACAAGGGGGGTTGCTGACACCAATCCTAGCAACTCACGTCTTATTGCCAGCTACCGAGCTACTCAGTTGCGCATGTTCTCTCATATGGGGCGCGTCTCAACATAGGGGAACCACAAAATGATTGGCTTCTTTTTGGCTTCCTTTGAAGCAAGCCAAACCAGTGCCCTCAAAACAACTCACGCTCATATTGGGCTAATGGCTCATGGCAAAGCTTCTCAGCTTGGGCGTCCCCGCACAAAATGCAAAATGCGGAACGCCAAACGGGCTTATACTGCCCCTGTGGCATCTGGGGGATCTTAAGGAAAAAAGAAAAAGAAAAAAACAGCTGCCCATTGTGGCCTTAAGAGGTATTTCCTCCTTCTTGCTTGTAGGGGTCTTGTCGGTTTATTAGACATGGCTATACTGTGTGTTTCACACGTGGTGATGACCATACACTACTACGCCCCCATGGTAGTCACCGCTGCTGCCGCTGCTTAACAGCAAACAAAACCATTGGTTTCACCACACGCATGGAACATTCCTGTCCGGGAGACCGGCCAACTTTCAGGAATGAAACAAGTTGCTGAACTCAAGTCCCTCGGATAAGGCAAAGAAAGCGTCAGCGCCACATGCCTATAGTCTCAACAGAGTCCACCGAAAGCCTAAGACAGCACGAAACGCCTTGGGCGACCGGAAGTATAGACTGTGCCTCATGGCTTCGTCGCAAAGGCGAGTCTCTCCCATTTGTTTCCCGTGGTTCTGCAAACTTGTGTGTTTGGCTTGAGGCTTTCCCTTGACCCCGCATGCATGTCAGATCTTCGGTCCTGGCAGCCGAGGGTCTACCTCATAAGGGTTGATCTCGACATACCTTCGCTCGATGCATCCACTTTCACGCCGACATACCCAGTTAAAAGTAAAGACTTACGGTGCTTTTGTTGCCGCTTTCAAGCAAATCACCCCCGGGCACTTTCAAACGTCAATTGTGTGCGCCTCTCTATGGGAGGGGGGGGGGGGTTCCCTACCCCCCAACCCACTTCCTCCCAGGCTGGGGTATACAACCACCATAAGCGTGCGACAAGAACTACATAGTAGCAGCATGTGGCATCAGTGCTTTTTGCATATCGAAGAAATATGCGCGCCCAGTCCCTGAAAGGTGGTGGTTGTGTACCTTTATGGCGGTAGCACTTTGGGTCTATGTCAGGGAAAACATGGCCATGTCCTTGTGTCAACAGGAAATCTGCGATCAAACCTGGCACTATTCAAAATGGTGGACCATTCCGGGTGGTTGGTTTCCGTTTGGCGTTCCTTTCAACACCCAGGTCGATACGTGCTGCTTTTTTGCAGTGGCTCCAACACAAAAACAAGTCTCACCCCCCCACCCCCCCCACCCCCCAACCCCGCCCCTCCACCACTCCCACCCCCCCCACCCCCCCACCCCGCCCCCCCACCCCCAAATAAAAAGAAAAGGCGAGGCTTTCCCGAATTTTCGGCCCCTCCCTTTCCCCGCTGGTGCGATCAAGTTGCAAGTAGTCCATGCCCTTCTCTTCCAGCGCGATCCAGGCGCGCTGTGCGAATGGACAGAACCAGGAGGTGTACAGCTTCAGAGGATGGTCCTCCGAAGGCAAGCCAGAACCTCCCAACGTGCATACCCTGCTCGTCCTGCTGGTGCGATAGGTAAAAAAATGGAATTGGAATGACCCCCAGATAAACCATCCAACTGGTGGTTTCCTGCAAAAGAGACCCCTAGGTTCAGTCCCACATTCCCTACTGAGCACCAGCAAGATGATTAGGCTCGACTTCAACACAAACATACCAAAACATAGATTCATGGTGTCCTCCTGACGCTCGCTAAAGCGCAGCTAGTGGATCCCACAAACCGAGTTTCTGCGCTGCAGCACGAAGAGATATTTAGAACCCACTGCTCCGCGAACAGGGAAAAACCACATGCGCATCTAAACAACCACATTGGTTGCCCTTTGGCTTCCCTTTTCCCAGAAAGGAACCTTGACCTATAGGACTCGGCGTGACGAGGTTCTGGAATTTTCTATCGGCACGCTACCCCCCAAATGGTTTTCTTTTGGTCGGGTGGAAAAGGTCAGCATTTGAATGGCCAAAGTGTATCCAAGAAGTTCTCGAGTAGCGTTTCAGGTATCAATTTTTTTTTAAAAAAAAAAACAACCTGTATGGGGTTCTCTTTGGCTTCACTTTCCACCCCGCCCCATCGCACACATCCCCTGGTGCGTGTTCTGTCAGAATCCAGCGGCAAAGGCGAAAGCCAGCATGGGTGTGTTGAATAACCCTTTCTGTGATACCAAAGAGGGCTTCCCATCCAACTCGTATAAGCGAACCCCACATTGTACTTAAGGCTGCCACAAAAAACACTAACTCTCTTGGGTTCTTCACCATAAACACAAACCCCACAACTTTTTGCGGGTGGTCTTCCAGCTCGGCTCGCTTCCCTCACGTTCGCGCGCGGCCGCTGACCGCCGGCCTTGGCGCTGCGCAGGGCGATGGTGCGCTCGCCGTGCGCCTCCCGCCAGCTGGGGACCCAAAGCTCGTCCCGCCAGCCCTGCGCCGCCTGCGAGGTGAAGCCCAGAGTCCACGGCCCGATTTTGATTTGGTTTTTGGGTTTTCTTATGTTTGTTTGGTTTCTTGTGTTTTTGTTGTTGATTTCTTTTTTTTCTTGGTTTCTTGGCTGTTTTTTTTTTTGTTTTTTTTTGGGGGGGGGGTTCAACATCACCTTTTGTGCCCAAAGTGAGTTTCCTTGAAGTGAGGCGATGTTTGGAGCATATGTAGGGACTTGAGTGAAGGGCACTAAAGGAAGGGGAAGGAACTAAAGCTGAATAACTCCCATGAGGCTTGAAGTTTGGCCAGAAGAGAAGGCAAGGGCTGACCAACTCCTCACATGTTGCCCCTATCATGACTGAAGTTGGCTAAAGTATAGCCCACGCCTCCAGTCTGATATTAGTATGCCTAACATCTTGTCTTCCAGAAAGACATTAGAAATCCCAACTTGCAGTTGCTTAATTGCGTGTGTTGAAGTGCTTGCATGGTGCTTGGAAAACCAGCGTAGAAATTGTGGATGATGTCATGTTGCGTTATCGAGTCTGGACCTTCTAAAATCAAAAGGTATTCACTTGTAGCAAAGTGGGATTCCCAATCTTATGACTCGCTCGCTTTAGATGGTTCGGGGGACTCACAAAGGCAACCTAAACAAGCAACCCAGGCCATGAGACGGTGAGTTGGAAAGGGAAAGTCCTGCCACCGATGGCGAAACTCATAAAGCGCCGCTGGAAAGCCTCTAAAGCACAATGTGAGGGCTAAGCCGCTGTAGCTGTGATGCAACCGTTCACTCAGTTGCTCAAAGGACCCAGAACAAAAAGGTTAACCTTTTGGCACCTCTACTAAAAATGGACCAAAATTGGAAAACCAAAAGGTCAACAGGTCGGCTTTGGACAACTGAGGTTCAGTTATGAGGGTACGGCGGCCTTGGTGGTTGTGAGAACCCTTGTGAAACCGCGTGATTCCCACATGTCCCTCCCAACTCCCAACTGAGCCATACACCGTCAATTTTGGCAAAGCCTGTCAACACGCGCCGGCCATTTTCTCTGCGCCCAGAAAGCGATTCAGCTGCAGCAGGCTGGAGCAAACCGGATTTCAAGGCAACCCCCAAAGTACCAGGCCAGGTCTTTTGACCATCCGACCCAAGGTGTCAGTTTGCAAACCACCTGGCCTCTGGCCGGGGCCGCTCAGGCGAACCCATGCGTCCTATGCAAAACAAATGAGCAGAAACGTTCAGCTATGCTTTGTTTGTTTCTTTTCGGGCGCCTTGGCCATACCAAAGTGGGCCAAGGGCTGCCACAAAACCGTATTATGTCCGGCTGATCTAATCAGAGCGAACAAGGGGAAAGCTCAGTGCTGGGTGGTGCGCGTTCCAGCTCGCGCGCGCTCTCCGCGGGAGCTCGGCGCATGTAGGAAATGAGAAGCCCCCCCGCGAGTAGCACCGCGCCGCCCGCCAGCAAGAGCTTCGTCAGGAGAGGCCAGCTGCAGGGGTCGAGTGGCAGCTTTTTCATGGGATTGGTGAGGATAGGTGCTACCTTCCCTATTTGGCTTCAAAGCTGGGGTTCAAATCCAACCAAGGGTGACCTGAAGTGATTGACTTCATGGATCCTTTGGGGAAAAAACAGCGTTGGGGAAGCCTGCTCGCTGAAGAGGTGGTGTCAAATCTTGCTGGTTGTTTGTTGGGGAAAATGGTTTAGGAGGCCTCCCAGACATTGCCCTGGCTGCGAACTTGTGGCAGCGGCAACCTCAAACTTAAAATCCCTTTGAACACGCACCAAACAAGAGTCCCCGGTAAACAGGTACTCGTGAAAAGAAGCCTCCGACCTTTTGTCTCCACCGACCTTCTTTCAGGTTTCATGTTAGGGCATCCCAGTTGCTCAGCCCTGGAGCCCTTTTGAACAAAATGATTCGAAGGGTGGATTCCCAATGTTAAAATCACGTCAGCGTCTAAAGTCATCAGTTCTCTATATCGGATGGATGAGTGAATGCGTGCACCGGAGCTGGGCCCATCTGGTGTACTCCGGAAATCACATATTCTGCTTTATATACAGTCTACCCAAAGTTGTCAAAACAAGATTTGGAGGAGACACCCACTACCCCCCACCTCCTTCCCAAAAACAAAGCTGACACTTGATTCCACTGAACTGAGGTTTTGAACCCCCCCTCCCCCTCCAAAAAACAAAGCTAAACCGCTTTGCTCCACTGAGAATTCGTGGGGTGGTCGTGAGCCCTCCCCAACCCTCCTTCCGCCCCAAAACAAACGCTGAAAGTCCTTAGGACCCTTCCCCCCCCCTTCTTCCCCACCCCCCCAGCTTCCCCAGGCATCCATCCGCTAGGTCCTCCAGATTTGAGAGCTTAGAATGTACCAACTTTTCTCTGTAGTCTATTTTAGTAGGGGAACCCTCCCAACCAAAGGGTTACAGGGCACTGGGGGACCTCGTCCGCATGTCCAAATCCCCCAAAAAAGAATAAACCATCTTCCACTGATAATTGTGAGCCCCTTCCCCCCCCCTTTCCACCCCCCCCTTCCGCCTCCCCCCCCCCCCTCCCCCCCCCCCCCCCCCCATCCATCCGCATCTGCGCCTCGCCTGGGCGCGGCTGCGGCGGTGCCCCGCACGCGCACCTCGCAGCCCTCAGCCCAGCAGCGGCTGCACCCGGGGGACCAGGGAGGGCTCAGCGGGTCCCCCGCCAGGTACTCCCCCGGGCCCCCGCCCGGGCCCTGAAATCCGAGGGGAAAAAAGAAACGCGGGGTGTTGAGTCAAACTGGGGGTGTTGGTTTAACATGAGGTTCTGAGAATCTCGGGCTTGATCTTCCTTTTCCATTCGTTTCAACCATCGTTCTTATCAAAAAACAGCTTCGCCAGATTTTTTGGGTGGCTGTTAGAAAGAAGTGGAAAGGATGGGGAAGGTACCCCTAGAAAAAAAAAGGAAAACAACAATCGCGTGGTGTTGAGTCTAAATGAGGTTGGTTTTGGTTTAACATGGGGTTGGATTTAGTGGGGCTGGGTGAATTTGGGTCGGATTTGTTGGTTTTTGTGGATTCGTGGCTGGTGGGTTTTGTTCGAATTGTGGGCTCTGTGGTTATGGCCATTCCTCAAGGAATATCTAGGCCTGCGGACCCTCCATGCATCCATCCGTGTTCCGCCATTTCCAGGCTGGGAGGGACACCGCAAGTCGACCCGCATCCAAAGCTGTGGTAATCTTCAATTTATAGGCGTAATAAGTAGGTTATCGCCAACACTGAGAGAATTGGAACGAGTCCTTGCACCACAGTTCTATCTTGGACATCTTTGAGTTGACCTTCTTTGCTTGGAGGTTTTCCGAATGTGGCCCTGAATCTTAACATGTGTTTTTGGTTGTGGGCAAAGGCCAAGTTAAGTCACCCAACCCATTCGGGTTATTCCGGGGGACCATAAGATTCAGAGGTGGTTCTTTAAAGCACACTATCTCAGTCAGGTTCCCTTCGTCAACGCGGGAGGGTATATCAAATCCGAGAAAAACAAATCAACCAATCAACCCATCAAAAAAACATCTACCCAAACACACATGACAACCCCGCGAAAATCCACCGAGCCGACCGCTCACCCGAAAAGTCGTGGTCGCCTCATGGCCCAGGCATTGGATGGGCTTGGCGCGGGGGGTCCACCAGTCCCGTCCACTCCACCAGCGCAAAGGCTGCCAGCACTGCGCGCAGGACCCGCTCTTGTCCTCCAAACCTCGGAATAACGGAGAGCCACTTGCCATGTGACTAGGTCAACTCCAGATTTGAGAGGAATGAATAAGTTGGTACCAACTGTTTTCCGGTTTTGTCTATTTTAGTAGGGGAACCCTCCCAACCAAAAAAGGGCAGAGAAAGGGCACCACTGGGGGACCTAGGCGAGTCATATTCAAAAACAGGGGTTGAAATATGTTAATCCGGGGAGTATCCCTTACCAACCTTCCTCTGCCCGGGTGTTGATTGTGGCTCATGTGATCTGCTTCTGCAGGCAAGGCTTAAACCTGTTGTTTGCACGTGAGTTTTTTGTTGAGCGCGGTTTGAAGAATGTTTGTCCAAATGATATCTGCTTTGTGAAGGAAATTATGATTGGAAGGGGCATCCGGTGTAAACAAGAAAGGAAATACAACAATATCTAATCTAATTCAAACTTACAACTTAGATAACACTTCCTTGCCTATATATATATAACTGTACAATCCAAGTTCAGTTTAGACAAAAACAAAATGACAAGACAATAATCCCATTTACTTCATTGAAATTACATCGAATGTCCTTTCTACAATCAGATTTCCCCATGACCGGACAAGACCGTTGTGAGTGCTGATCTGTCTTCTTTAAGGATGGGGCAGGGGGGGGACCTCTTTTTGGCATGGTTTGAAAGGCAAACCAACAGGAAACCGTTGCCATTTCAGGGTGGGCTTCGGGTTGGCTTAGGGTGTAGGCTGGGTTTAGGGCCTTCAATATGGACATCGCCTCCACAAGGCAAGAAGCTTTTTGGGAAACTTCCATTTTGAGAGCGCAAGATCCATCCGGACCCGGGTGACAAAGAATTGAAGCCACTTCTTTTGGAGTTGGCCATTTTAAGTCGGGCACCCGGGCACCAAACCTAACCCAACTAAAACAAAAAGATGCAAAACCGGGAAACAAACAGAACAACAATTTCGGAAAACAATGCTTTTGCAGTGTGTAGACTTTGTGTGACCAACCTGCCAACTAGGCGACCCGCCCCTCGCTCTCGGGATGAACAACGCAAAGGACATTCGACTTAATCGACTTCTACTTAGGGAAAACGAATTCGTAAAACATAGTACAACAAGTTGAAAACAATACTTATTGACACTGACTTTAGAAACGCACTTGGAAATGCAAAATAGAACATAGAACAGGAACGCTGAATCAAGGTGTATCTACATTGGCCGTGATCTTATTTAAACCGCCTTTGGGCGTCCCATTTGGGGGAAAACAGAAGCAACTCCTTCAGAAGTTCAGGGTACCCTCCACCAAGCTCAGTGTCAAAGACCATATGCTTACCACCCAAAGGAGAAATATCGGGTGTACTCTCCAGGGTCAGAATGTTGCGTTGGTGAGGGCTATGCTGCGTCTTCTTGAGTCCTTGCAATGGTGGTGTAAATTGCGCAAAGCCCCTGGCAAAAAGGTTGTGTTGACCGTGGCACATCTGAGGGCGGGGGGAGCAGAGGGGCCAACCTGTTTTGAAGGCTGAGGTCCCAAATGTCGACCCCCTGCGTGCACTCATTACTTCAGAGGTTCCAAGCTCATACTCAAGGTGGTGATTGTGTGACTAGCTGCACAAGTGCAAAGAACCACAGCACCTTCACCAACTGGTTCTAATGAAGCTCACCTCAACATGCATGGCAAACAAGGGGACCTTTTCAAGGAAATTTGCTGGCTCTCCGGCAAAACCACGCTGATTTCGCGCACCAGGGCGGCAAGCACCGCTGGGATCACAATTCCTCTCGTGGGCTCCCGATTCTACCGGGAATGAGCAAGCCCGGCCTGAAAATCCAAGCTGCTTGAAGCTTCACACATAGCTCACACCCAACAAATGTGGCCATGTTTTACCACCTCTTGGATCGGAGAACTGGGTCCGGAATCCATATTCAGGACACCGCAGGGTAGAATGTTGGTCCCTCATCCGAAACCACGGGAAACCGGTCGCCCATTGTCTACGCTTGTGGTGTTGGTCATCTCTTAGGCGGAGACTTCTTGGAGGGAGGGTACCTCTAAGGGCCCAAGAACCGTCTAAGGAGGTAACACTCCAGGCAAGAAGCAGTCGCTGCACTGGCTGCAGATGCCCTCGCAGCACGCCGTGCAGCCGCTCAGCGGGGTGAACGCCACGCTGGTGGGCTCGTTCTTTGTGATGGTGACGTCCGCGCAACTGCTCCAGATCCTTCGTTCAAGCGAGTGGTGTTTGTTGGTGTACAGAAAGGAAAATTGCTTGCTGCGTGGCTTGGTGTTGCCTGCTTTTCAGGGACACCACGCACCAGGTAGAAAGGGATGTACAGGATCAACATCTATATAAGTTCATGCCAACCTCACAATACCCAACTGCATTGGGAGGTAGAACCCTGGTCTGCTTTGGTTCCAGAGTCTTTGAGGTGCTCACTTGGTGGATTCCTTGATACACGTCGCCCAGTCACCTGTTGAGTCGTCTAAGGCACTCCCCCGATCCACGTGTAGGGGGTTTCCCTGGATTTCCATGCACAAAGGTAGGCCCGTTTTTGTCGGTTGGTTTTTGCGATAAGCCCTTGCAAAAAAGGAAAGCCGGAAGTAATCAACTGCATGTCTGGGGTTGTCAATGGTCACACATCGCCATCTGACGCATGCTTCACGGCGGAGTCCGAAGCAGGACTGACAGAGCGATCTTTTGCCGAATCTGTTTTGAGGCCATTTTGGCATACCCCAAGAGGAACTCCGCACTTCTATGTAGGTCATGCCTTTGTTCAATTGTGACTCTAGAAAGGATCGCCTCATCGTGTGAGGGTTACCCAACCCCCAGCCAGGTAGACATTTTTTTCAGGGTACCAAAGGGAGCCAATCCGATTTTCCATCCTCCGTTGGTCATCCTGTGGCTCGGAACAGCCCTGCCGAATCAACATTGGAGCAGCCGCCTTTGACCAGGAAATTGCACCAACTGGTCGTGGCAAATGCCAAATCCTTGCTGCAATGCCAAAGTGAAATGATTCCATCCCCAAGACGAGTTTGTGACGGGGATGGCTTGGGTGTTCGCCAAAAGTGGCAAGTGGCGCTAAAATATATGGCCACAACCAGGAAATAAGGAGCAAGCCTTTTCAGGCGACCAAGAAGGACGACTTGAGAACCAAAAGGTCGACTTTCTTTGGAAGTGAGTTGCGCTTCGCCTTCAAACTTGAAACCTTGGGGTGGTTGAAGCTCAAAAGAAGAGACTACCTGGGTGTGTCTGTAAATGAGATACACGGAAGGGTGCTTGGAGTGCTTGTTTGAAACAGTCTCTCGGCAAAGGACCTGGAGGACACAATCTGTGGCGAAAGTATGGTAATGTCGACCTACGATTAAAGTTATGTTGTGGGCCGGCACTGATTAATAACCCTCCCCGGGTTGTTTATTCATCAGAGATAGACATTAGCCGCAACAGAAGCAACCGTCAGGGAATTCTAGCGGGTGCCCTGGGGCGGTCCGTGATGTTAGCTCGTCGATGAAGTTTATCCTTGGGTTTCTCATCAGAGGAACACCCCCATAAACATTACACTGGCTTGTTGGTTCCCGCCCTCACAATGGCGTTTAAGACCCATTCAATCGTACCTGTTGCAAGGTGGGTGAAAGGTGTGGTAAGGGAGGTCCACGAAAGGGGGGCCTCAGGCAAACACCGCGACAAACCTGAACGGACGAAGGAAAAACACTCAAAACAAAAGGAAAAACAGAAAGAAAGAAAGAAAGAAAGAAAGAAAGAAATAAAGAAAGAAATACCGAATGAAATAAAGAAACGACACAAGCCAAAGACACCACAAAAGGCACCAAGGAAACCAAGCAACCTACCCACTCCAAGATTGAAGCTCCTTCAGGTCCGGCGAGCCCATTCCAAGACCCCTGATTGCTTTGTCGGTTGCCGTTCAGGAACACCAGTTTTCTTTTTTTTGGTTTAAATATTGTTTGTTTAAGAAGGTGCCCAGCCTATCCCAACCTGCTCTCTGGACTCAACCGCTCGCAACCGCAGCCTGGTGCCCAACCGTGCCCAACCTGGTGTTGGTGCCCAACCTGCTCTCTGGACTCAACAGTTGCTGATAGAAACTCGCGTGCGGAAAGCCTAGATCACGCAGCACAAACCAGAACTCGCAGGACAAATGGCTGGCACGGTGGGAACAACTCTTTCAATATCCCAAGACTTCCACCATCCACAAGCCGTAGGTTTCCAAGATCACGGTCCCTCGACGGCCTTCCCTCCGGTCGGTGAGCAAAGGCGCTGCTTGGTCATTTCGCAGTCCCAGCGCCAGCTCAGTACATACTCCCCTTCCGGCAGGTCCTTAGGGCTAAAACTGCTGCTGGATGACGAAAACCTCAAGGTCCTCCAGTAGAGAGGTTCGAATAGGGGTACCTTTTTTTTTCTGCAATCGATTTCAGTAGGGGAACCCTCCCCCAAAAAAGGGTAAAAGGGTACTACTGGTGGACCTAGTCAGCAAATCGAGCAGGGCTATCAACTATAGACCACACGGAACTAGGACACCTATGGACAGGGATTCAACACCTCAAACAGGGTGCCCGCAACAAAATGAAACATCAGTTGTTTTGAACATCTAGGATGTGGGGGAGTCAAACCACTGGACAATTTCTTTGCCAAGACAACTGCCTCACCTCTGATACATCCAGAAAGGCTGCAACATGCTAAGAAGGGAAAGCAAAGCCTAAGAGAGCCCAAGGGAAACCCAATACAAGCCAAGTTAAACGTGTCATGCAAACCCAAAAAGTACCCAAGACATGTCCCATCGCTCCTTGGGCACGTGTACCAGGTCCACAATGCCGAAGTCGAAAGAGGCACTGCCATACTCCTCCAAGCCTAGCTGGTTCAAGGTAAGCCGCTCTGTTTGGAGTTGGTACCCGGAGGAACACCGAAGACAATTTTGCAGTTCAAGAACCTATTCTGACAGATACCCCTGGCTCAAATTTCAGGGCTCTATGGTTTACACTGTTCCCCACATAGTGTTTACACTAAGGGGTTCTTACGGTAAGAGCTAAGGCCGGTTTAGATCGAGGTTCGCGTGGGGTTGCCTTCGGTGCGACACGTCTCGCACGCGCGCTGGCATGTGCGTCTCGCTGTGGTACTGCTCAAGGGGCAGGAGTTGGGAGGTTCGCGTGATGACCTTACACCGCTGTGACGCGGGTGTGTGATTTTTGAGGCAGCCTCGCGCCAAACGTGTTTTTTTGAGCAAAGTGCGCTTTTTTCATGGCAGGGCCGCCACGCGGTGATATCCTCGCTGTGGCGCCTCGCCGATCTTCGGATTTGCGTGTTACCGCAGGCTTCCGTGGCCAGCGCAGCATTCTGTGAGACTGCCGTGCGTTTTCGCGGCGGGCGCAGCATTTTCATAAGCAGGGTCTGTGAATTTCGTGACAGGCGCAGCGCTTCACTCATCTGCAAGCGTTGCGAGACGACAGTAAACCCTTTGCGGAAATCCTGCGCGTCGAACCCAGAGCTTCCAAACGACCTTAATTGTCTTTGAAGTGCTTAATTCAGGCTGTCAACCTTAAGTTGAAGTCTTTAATTAAGGTTGCCAACCTTAATTAACAACCACAAGCCCTTCATTAAGGGTAGGTCTGTACGTTTAGCCGAAAAGTCCTCAATTTGTAGGTGTCTTGTCTTAATCAAGGTTGAATCCTTAATTAAAGGCTTTACTTTGAAGCCTTTTTAGCTTTAGGGAAACGTCTTTAATTAAGGACCCTTCTTAATGCTTGGAACTTGCGTTCCCGTAGAAGCTCTTGAGTCTCCGGCGAGCATCCTCAACGAGCTGCAATGCATTCCCCTGGCGCCCCACTACTTGGCGCAGATGCTCCCTGAATTGCCTTTGGAGCCGCCTCATGCGAGGCGGACGGATGCAGGAAGACACGTGTGCGGCACCATGAAGCACACGCGCCTGAAAAGAGTAATCCAAATTCAAAAATATGGAAGCCAATTCGGTTGAGGCATTTGTACGGAACCTGCAAGCAGAAGCAACCATTTCAGGGGGCCATTCGTCTCAGATTGGCAAAGGCTTATAACCCAGTCCCCAACTTTCCAAATTTGGTGGTTTTCGGAAAATGTTTGGCCGATGATGTCAGGGAAATATGGGGACCTGGCGACTGGCTCTGTACGGGTGCCGGTCCCGGTCAAGCTTGCGTCCGCAGCAAGAGCCTGTGCAAAGCACCTGCTGCTGTGCTGTACATGGCTGCTCGCGCACCCTCGCAAGGATGCAGTTGTCGGGTCCCTCCACGAAAGAGCCTGATCAACCTGTGTGTAGGCATCACTGACTCGCCGCCCATCACCTCAGTAGCTCTTCTCAGTCAATGTGGACGTTACTCTTGGCGTCAGGGAGTGGCTCAATGATGGCCGAGGCAACAGGAGGCCGCTGGCCTCCTCATCACCTACATTTTGCATGCGTGACTGAAACAATGAAACATTGCATCGAAGCCTTTGAAGGAGAATCATGTCCCCCGCCGGCCTTAATTAAGGTCTTTTCAGCTAGTGCCGAAAGACCGTAACTAAGGACTTTTGTGCAAATGTGAAGTGTGTTTAATTAAGGCATTCAACCTTAACTTTAAGGAGATTGAAAAGGTCTTAAACGAAACTACGGTCTTTTGGAAGCTCTGAGAAGCGGTCTCGCTGTGGCGCCGTGCGAATTTGTCTGGAGCTCGGCGAACCCTCTGCGGAGATCCTGCGTGTCGAAGCGCTCTCGCTGTGGCGCCGTTCGGCTTTTCTGTTTTCTTTGCTTGCGAATCGGTGTTTGGAAGTTGTCTCGTGGTTCGCGCTTCTGCTTTCACGATCGCGCGTTGTCTCAGGCTCCACCTGCCTGGTCCGCAAACTGGCACGCAAAGCAAACCCAGAGATCCGGCTGCAATATTGAAACTTCTAAGCACAAAAGCAGTACGCGCAGTGCGCTTCCGCAGCTCCGGCACGAAAATCGCAAATTGTAAGTACAAAAAGTAGTGTGCGAAGCGCCCCCGCAGCACCGGCTGACAAACTGCAAGTTTCAAGTACCAAAGTAATACGTGAAGAGCATTGCCAGAGGCGCGGCTGCGAAATCGCAAGCTGCAAGTACAAAAGTAGTACGCGAAGTGCGCTGCCGCAGCTTTGTAAGTACAAAAGTAGTACGCGAAGTGCACTCCCGCAGCTCCGGCTGAAAATTTGCAAGTTTTAAGTACAAAAGTACGTGGAGAGCATTTCCAGAGGCGCAGCTGCGAAATCGCAGATTGTAAGATGCACTCCCGCAACTCTGGCTGAAAACTCGCAAGTTGTAAGTAGCAAAGTACATGAAGAGCTTTCAGCGAGCTCCGGCTGCAAAATCGAAACTTTTAAGTGCAAGAGTGGTGCGCGAAGTGCCCATGGCTCCGGCCAAAGTTTTACGCGAAGTGCATTCCCGCAGCAGCTCCAGCTCCAGCTGCCAAGTCGTAAGTGTTTTCGCGCAACGGCAGCGCGCGAAGCGCGCTCCCGCAGCTCCAGCTGGAAAATTGCAACTTGACTTTTTAGTGAAAGTAAGGTTCGGAAAGCGCGCTCTCGCATCTCAGCTCGAAAATCGCAACGTGCAAGCGGAAAAGTAGAATGCCAAGTGCACTTCTGCAACTAAATTCGCCAGCCTTCTTGCGCACGCAGATGCGGACAAGAGAGGTTGGCGAGAGAAAGGGACATGAAAGGTTGGGTGAGCGAGGTTGCACAGCATCATGCGCGAGAGGGACCGTCACGAATGGCATCATGCGCAGCATCATGCACGGCGTCGTGCGCAACGTCACGCGTGGTATCTTGTGCAACATCATGCCTGCGCAGCATCATGCTGCAACATCACGCGTAGCTTCACGCGCAGCAGCGTCAAAACACGGCGTAGCACGCAAGATAAGTTGACAGGATATATTTGTTTCGAAGCGCGGCGCCAAGCTTGCTCATCAGAACTTGCAGAAGCTACGAAGGGACATTGATGCGCTTGTTTCTCATCTGCAGTGGGAGAGGTGTCAGAGTTTATTTAACGTCTGTCTATGCTTCCGGGCCACACGTCGTCAAATTAAACCCAATACTATGTGGGGTCTCTTGCCGGGATGATGTTTTTTGCAGCCACCATTAAATGACACATGGATGCAAAGCTTGACAGTGTGGTTGTGAACAGTATCAGCGAATATTATCATGTTCACTGTGTTCATTACTACGTAAGGCTCTTCAATTGAATAATTGCTAACGGTTCTTAACTACTACCTATGATCGATAAAATCGATTGACGGGCTACCATTTTGTCAATTTAAAAAGCCTGAATGTGGTGTCAAATATCAGTTCCAAGTTGACTTGCAACCCAACCTCCACACATTTGACCTCCCTTGCGTCCGAGTTTTCCCAAACTGAATGGGTTCGACTTAAAGGATTTTCCCCGACGCCTGTGGGATTGTCTCTCCCAAACCGTCTTATTTCTCTAAGTTATTTGTTGTTGTTTTGGGGGGGGGGGGGGGAAGTCCCTTTAACCGGCTTCTGAAGCACTGGCAATATCCTCTTATTTCTCAGGGCGTGGGTGTGGTACCTTGGCTTGAATCTAGGTGCCATGTCTCTCGAAAAGTCAGTCGTAGAGTTGTAGAATCGTGGAGGCTCCTCTGGTTCTCCCATGCAGCGAAGCTGGGCCCTGGTTGCCGATTGAACTTGCCAGGGTTAACCTACGTTTACAACAAGTTGACCTCTTGGGAGGTTGTTCCCATTCGCATCGATCGGAACATGGTAGAGGATTCAACCACCGGCATAAATGGAAAGCATAGCAAACCACTCACCAGTTCCCTGGTTTGCTCATCCAGATTCAAAGCAAACCCTTAGGAGTCGCTTTTTACGCATTTCCAAGTGCAGCTCGCGCAACTGCACTTGGCGTCCGGATTCACGGAAAGGTTGCCCATGCAGTGGCCGCCCCCATAGCCGTAGATGCCCTTCTCCTTGCCCCCGCCATACTTCCAAAAGCCTGAGCTGCAAGCGGAGGCATGCCAAACCACCAGAAAACGAGGCACAACGCATGGAACAACGTGCACAGCGAATACACGCAAACAAGACACCACAAAATGACAAAACCAAGAGCGCACACACAATGCAACCGACAACGGTAACAAAAAAAGCAAAAACACTACATTGCAAGAAAGCTAGAGAGAAATCCGGCAAACAAAAACAAACAAACAAAGAAATAAACAACAAACAAACAAACAAAGACATAAACAAATAAAAACAAACACAAACAATCAAAGACACAAATAAATAAACAAACAAACAAAGAAACAAACAGTCAAACAAGGAAACAAACAAAGAAATAGGCAAACAAAAGAACAAAAAACCAGCCACACCAACAAAAAAAAACAAACAAACACACAAAGAAACAAACAAAGAAACAAACAAACCAACAATTAAACAAAGAAAGAAAGACCGAAAGAAAGAAACAAACAAAGAAAGAAACAAACACAAACAAACAAAGAAACAAACAAACCAACAAACAAACAAACAAAGAAACAAACAAACAAACAACACACAAACAATCAAACAAGGAAACAAACAAACCAACAAACAAACAAAGAAACAAACAAGCCAACCAAAAAAACAAAGAAACAAACAAACACACACACACACAAACAAACAAACAAACAAACAAACGAAGAAACAAGCAAAGAAACAAACAAGCCAACAAAGAAACAAAGAAACAAACAAACACACACAAACAAACAGACAGACAGACAGACAGACAGACAGACAGACAAACAAAGAAACAAACAAACAAACAAAGAAACAAGCAAAGAAACAAACAAGGAAACAAACGGAGAAATAAGCAAACAAACAAACCAACAAACAAACAAACAAACAGACAAACAAAGAAACAAAGAAACAAACAAACAGACAAACAAACCAACAAAGAAACAAACAAACCAACAAACCAACAAACCAACAAACCAACAAACCAACAAAGAAACAAACAAACAAACAAACAAACCAACAAACAGACAGACAGGCAAACAAACAAACAAACAAACAAACAAGCACAACCACAGCAAAGCCGTTGCCATCGAGCTCTGGGCTGCGGTCGCTTGCTGGGGGCTGAAAGGTGGGGCCCGAGCAGGGTGTGCGCGCCCGGGCGGCGGTGCCCTTGCACCCGGGGATGGGGTTCATGGTCCAGGTGGAGTGTTTCGGCACCACCTGAGCGCCCAGTACCATAACTGGTTGCGACCATTGTCCAAAAGGGGCCTAAATGTTCCATGGTTGATTTTGGGGTGGAGTGAGTTGGGCACGTAGGGAATGGATCTAGCTGCCAATCCACCAAAATGGGCGGTTCGGAGCTTGCTCTTTGCAGCATGGGTGGGGAGAGTTCTTGTGGGAACCACCTGAGTCACAATGCAAAGGCTGGTGTGTGGTGTGATGTTTGCCTAGCCCTGGCATTAGCCTGGCACAGCCTGGCGCGCACGACAGCGCGGTATTGAAGTCTACCAATTTAGGGTCGGTTTCAGGTAGGTTTCAGGTTTATGGCAAGTTTAGTAAGGGCAGGCTTAGGGTCGGTTTTAGGGTTGCACCCAGGGACTGCGCCCTACTGCCCTCCAACTACCCAGGTGTTGATTGTGGAAGGTAACGCAACTCCCTCCGACGTTAAAGTGGGCTTTTGGTGAAGAGACACCCCATCGTGTCCCATCCACCATCCCAACCCGGGCCGGTTTGGTTGCCAGTTTTCTCTTGCTTAAAAAGGGACCTTCTGGTGGGCATGACGACATGGGGAATCTCGTTAGGCTCTTAGGCACAGAGTTGCCTCCCACCATCCTGGATTGGCAACTAGTTTCAAAGACCTACCAACCTCAGGAAAACAGACCTCTGTTTTCCACCCACCGAACTGTGGTTACACCGTTTAACGCCATCATTTCCCACAAGGCTATGTTTTTTTGCCCGCATGTTTTTTTGCAAGCGCCCACCTTTCGGCCCGGCAAACCCGGAACCTGCAGCTAGCAAGTTGGGTCCGGCAGAGCCTCCCGCCTTGTTGCTGGGCCCTGGTTTCGACCATGGTCCTCTACAAAATTCCTGGGTGCTCCATGGCAATGTGGGAGCGTACTGATGCATATGCATGATTTTCATAAGGCTCCCGTAGTTTAACAAAACGAGTCCTGAGTTTGAGTCGACTTAACCTGTCACCAACACCCCTTGACGAGGTCGCAACTTTTACGGAAACTCGAATGCCCCAAGGACCTGGGGCTTACAGACCTTGGCCTTCGCTGAACATGCGCCGAACAGAAGCCCCAAAGGTTCACCAGTCGACTCGCTTTGGACAACTGAAGTGATCCGAAGCGGAACTCTTGAGGGACACCCCAAAAAGCAAAAATGATACAGCGCACCACCCGTCCCCCAAACCGCTGGGTGGGCTTGGCTTTGTCCCGCCTTGTCGCCGCCCACCCGGCGAGCAGTGATCTCAATCCGGTCGTTCCGATCGAAGCCTTGCCCGAACTGCAGCCACTGCTTGTCGCCCACAAACCTCGGAACGCCGACTGTGCCCATGTAGCCTGTGACCAACAAATAGGAAGGCTGAGCCACGAACATAGCACACACGTTAACTGTTAGTGCTGACTCGCCTTGTATGGCAACATACTATTGGGCCTTGAAACAAGAGAGAAAGCTGCCAGTGGGACGTAGAGGAAACTAACATGCCACGAGTTGTCAGGCCCTCAAGAAGTCGATGGACCCAGAAGCTTGATCACCGTGCAAAGCGACCATCTGCACCCACGAAATTACCACATCTTACCTGACGAAGCACAGAACTCGAGAGCCAAATTTTTGCCAGCGCAAGGCGGCACTTTGAAGCCGGAAGTTGCAGAATCGGCAGGGTAAGAAGCGCCGCGAAGTTACTAGCGGCCAAGCCCCAGGGCCAGAAATGGGGAGGGAAAACGCAATCTTCGCGCCATACTGTGTGTGCGCGTGTTTTTTGGGGTTCCCCTTTTTGGTTGGCTTTACAGGGAACCAAAAGGATAACCAACTATTTTTGGGGGTCCACAAAAAAGAAAAAACACGCCCTACTCATGCTTGCTGGGGCAAAGAACAAGATTGCTGGGCTAAAAACGTAGAACGGGGCCAGCATCCACAGCACCGTTATCGTAAGCATCACTTTTGCCCGGAGAACAGAAGACAAGTGGCAGTTTCCGGAACGATTCCCAAGGCATCCAACTTGAATCTGCGAATGCATTCAAATGCAAAAGCTGTGAAATAAATTGCGAATCTCACCCTTTATGAGAAGAGGTTCCGGGAGAGAGGTTTGAACTCCATACTGACAGGCAGCCAAATCAAATCTTTTGACCCACGGGAAGTTGAACTTGTTGCTAGGTAGCGAGGAGGTACTTCTCAGATGAAAACCAAAGGACAACAATGTAAACAACCACAGCTGAAGGCGTGATTGCCACCCACCTGCTTCTTCAAAGGGAAGGGAATAATCTCACCCAATTTGCTGTTTCGACCCACTAGCCCAGAGTTGGTGGTGTCTCTTCCAAATCTCTGGGAAGATTAACAAATAGGTTTGTCTCAAAATAGGGGAACCCCCCCCAAAAAAAAAGTGGCTCTTTTTGGTATCCCTTTAACACCAACCAAAACGGGTAAACAGCATGTGGATTCTTGTTGGTGAGAGTTAACATCAGTCTCGCGACCCTTACAAGGAACCGATTGCAAAGGACTCTCGGAAGGCATTCTTGCAGACAAAATCGAACCTTTCAGGTGTGCCTCAGGAAAATAACCCGAAAGGCCAACCGGCGTTCAACAAAATAGTGCTCATGCCAAAATGGGCTGGAAGCCAAAAAACCCAAGAAAATGGACAAGGGGAATGTATCCATTTGTGTGTTTGCCAGGCATGTCTATGGGAAACGCACTAAAACGGTTCAAACGAACGTGCCTCCCACACAAAACAGCCTCATGAAACCAGCACTGCCATCAAAGGCACATCCATGGAACATGAACATTTGAACATGTTTTGCTCTCCATCAAAGTAGGTTTGTGATGCGTCCCACGACACATCTCCTGAAGGCAATGGACTTTGGAGGGAGCCTGTCCTGCTTTGAACCACCACCACCACCCCATCCCTTTCTAAAGCACAAAAACACACCAAGACCACACAACACCACGCAAAAACCACACAACACCACGCACCAAAACCACCCCGTCCCTTTCTTGCCGCACTTGAAACACACAAAAAAACCAAAAGAATTGCGCCATGGCCATCGCACTGCCGCGTCCCGCTAGCCAGCGCCCCTTCTGCTGCAGAGAAACCCCAGGGGCGTCTGCTGGAAGCACTCCTCCGAGATCTCTTTGTCCGCCCGGCAGAGGCGGTACTGATAGCCCCCCCCGTGGTTGGCCGCGAGGCCCCAGGCCACCTCCACGTCCGAGCCGGCCCGCCACACCGTCTTCTCCAGCCTTCCGGGGGGAAGAAAAAAAGAAACGCCGTCCTCTTGGTGGACGTTGGAAGGGGAGCAAACATTTCAACTTCAGCAGTTAAGTGGTTGGATTTCAGCCACTAAACCACAATCAGCCAAAATGTAAAACATGTTTCCCAACAACAAGCATGTTATTCTCACTTCCTGGATGGCCCTTCTTGGTTGCTTTCAGCTTCCCTGCGAAAAGTGAACAACTTTTGGTGGTTTAATTGAAAGCACATGAGTTGGCAAAAAGTCAAAAGTCCTAACATCCAAGCAAAATGCACCAAAGTCTTATTCTTCCTCCCACCTAACATGGGTTTGTGCACAGACCCCCCTGCAGGACCCATTGATACACAAATGTTTGCTCGAGCTTTCGTAGCAAATAAGTGCGCGAGAAACGGTAAATGCAAACACATGCAAACGCACAGATTGCGGGGCGGAGCTTTGGCTTTGCACACTTTTTGGAATTGCGCCCGAGTTGCGGAAAATTGCGCCCGAGTAGCGGGAAATTGCGCTCGAGTTGCGGGTTCGTTTTCTCTCGAGCACTTCACCAAGCATCTAGGCAACCTCAAAAAGTGCTCGAATTGGATTTGAGCAGAAAAAAACGCTCGAATGCCAAAAACTGTCTGGAGCACTTTTTTGTGTATCAAAGGGTCCTCCAGGCCAAGAGGGATTGAAAACCAAACGAAACCGCACCCTAAAAGCTGGGCTGTCCTCAGACCCTCTGCTAAAACAGTGTCACTTTTAGTGGCTTAAATTCGGAAACTACCCCGAATTCCTAAAAGCCCAAAAGGCTAAGGAGCCGAACGGCTGGCCACCCTGAAACGGCCAGACTTCTGGGCATGCCGAACGACGTGCCGAGGCGCAGCTTCGGCAGCTCGGACCCGGCGGCGCCGCTGGCGAAGCCGGGGGGCGGGTCCAGCTGCCCCAAAGGCGGACTGGCGCCGCCGGTGATGCCGCAGACGTCGCCCACCGGGGCGCTGCCCGGGTACCTGGAGATCCGCTCAACAAAGCGGGGCCATGGACTCGCATGCTTACTCGAGTCGAAGCACGCGTTTGCCTGAGAATGAAAAAAGTGCTTGTTCAACCATGCACCTTGAAAATGATTGCGAGTTGTGCCGATAAAGGTCAAGACTGCTCCAGTTTTGGGTGAAATTACCTGCTGCACGATAGCCTCCAAGCAGAGTTCTTGATGACCGACGTGAACAATGGTCTTCAGTGTTCCACTCATCGCTGATGCGCCTGTTCCGAAGTGGAGGCGGGGGGATGGGGGGATTCCCTGGGCGCCCTGGTTCCCCCTGTATCCCTGCTAGTTGGTTTCCCTGACTGGAGGAGATCCGCCCAATTGGTCCATCCGCCCAATTGAGATTGCGTAGTACACCGCCGAAACAATGACAGCGTAACAGCGCCGGATTTGGGGTAACATCGCTGAAAATGACTGGAGGAGATCCGTCCGAAAATGAACACCAAATCTTCCATCACCTGTTTAAACCACCTCGTTTGATTTTTCTTTCAAGGTATGAGCCTGGCTACGGTTCTGGTTGATACGACATTCAATAATGGCGGTTGCCCTTTTGTTTCCCCGAAAAGGAGTACCCACTCCAAAAGGAGCCCTCTTTTCCATAGACTACAGCCCCAGCCAGGCCACCGCCAGGGGTGGTAGGTGGTGGGGTGCCCGTACCCATCATCCGGGTACTGCAGCAGGTCGTCGTCCTGCCCAAACCTGGCGAAAATGCGGGTTGCAGCATCAAAGGAACAGTTTTCAGGATGGGGCGCCCCCGCTGAACCACCGGAAAACCGACATCGTGGAGCCCAGACGATCACGAGCGCTTCTCGCAACCGAAGCCCAGTGAAGGACTCCAATCGGGCTGCATGGGGTGAAGCAATGCATGCCCCTGTTGTTTTCTTGCGGCTTTGCTGTTGCAGGACCAGGGACACGGCAAGGAACACGATGGTTGGACTTTCGAAACTTCTATCGGACATTTTGACGTTAAAATATTGACAACCGAGACAAAAGAAAAGACGGACCAGGGTGGATTCGAACTACCATGGTCATGCGATTATGAACACACGTTCTGTAGCCACTCAAGTTGTTGATAGGTGTTCCTGGAAAGCAACCTAAAGCCCCAACGATTCTTCCGGACCGCACCGAGGCCTGACTCCAAGATCAAAAAAAACCACTACGTTTTCTGACAACCCCCTTTCAACAGCCAGCCACAACAACCAAATCGGCTTTTCTACGAGCAAATCCTCCGAAAAAGGCGTTCTGCTTCTGTTTCCCCGCGCTGTTCGCTTTTTCTCCCGGGGCTCTCTCGGCTCAACGCCTCAGCGTAGGCTCCGCGGGGTCAGGGCAATCTGGGGCCGCGTCGTGGGATCCAGAGATGGCCGGGCAGCCGATCGAGGTGCCCTGGCTGTACCACCTGGGGTAGCCGGCTGGGCGCGTTGAGGCCCAAAGGACGACAAAAGCAACGGGTTGGACCAGTGACGTTTGCAAGATATTGGCTTAGACCAAGGCCTAGTGAAATCGAAACCCACCAACCAACCAACCAAGCAAGCACGCAAACAAATAAGAAGGTGTGAACAGGTTTTAAACTCGCATCCAACATGGTCCACTGCATTTTCTCCTTTAAACATAGGGTCCAATGGAAACTGCAGATCCTCACAAACCAGAGGCCATGGTCATGGGCCGCCCCCAAATTTCATCGAAAGAGCACGCCCAAATCACCCAAACTAACATCACATGATGTTTAACTGAACCAAGAGACACAATGATCTGGCTAGGTGTCTCACAATACGGGGCCCGCAAAACTTGTGTCTCTCCTTTTGATGTACCTTTAAACCAACATAGAAAAAAAATAAGAAACGCCACAACGTGGATGACCCATCCAAACAAACAGAACCCTTACAGGCTTGATGATTCTAGAACAAACACAAACAAACGGAACCCTCAAAAGACAAAACCAGAACCTATCTGAAAGAGAAACATATCCCACGCCACAAAAACACAATGGCCCCTCTAAACTTAAAGTGATGCGACCAAAACTGGGACGGAAACGAGCAGAAAAAACCCTCGAGGCCAAAACGAGTGGCTGGCAGGCGCCCCCCGCGCAGCTGGGTGCCAGCAGTCCCATCCCCTGGGAGTTCCTGGGCGGGGGCTCGTAGAGCGCCCCGTGGCCCAGCGCCCCAAACGGCGCCAACGCGAGCGCCAGGAAAGCCATGGCCGGGGGTTGCGGAGTTCCGGTGGCAGCTGCTGAGGGTTGCGCCGGGGTTCGGCTTGCGCTCTTTGGCGGTGGCTTGGGAGCGCGGTGGGTCTTGTGTCAACTTGGGGTTTGGTGCAGGTTGAGGGGAGAAACTAGTTGTAGGTTTTCGTTAGGCAGATTGGAGAGCGCATTGAAACACAGCTTGGAACCAGGGTGGTAGAAAACACCATGGTATCCCTGGAAGTTGCTTTGGAACCGAACCGATGTCATGAACTTCTGGCCAGTGCAGCGGAAGCATGGACCCGCCCAGAACACGTAAGCACCAAACGTCATTTGCCATCATCAAGACTCGGCCATGGTCATGGGCCCTTTAAACGAATAAGAAAACCATGCTTGTCGAAAATCCTTGAAAGATTGGTGACCATCTCTTGCAACCCAAGTAAAATTGTATATTCACCACGGCACATATGATTTGTGACGTGTCCCTCGGCCAACATGTCCTGGCCCAAAACGGAAGAACAACCTCCCCAGAATCTCCTGGGAACCCGCATGGAAACTTCCAGAACCGCAACAACCCCGTGGCTAAGACCACTGAATTCAGAACCAAAGCGAGCGAGATGTTGGCCCCCGCCCCTAGAAGTTGATTGCAACTCCCTTGAATGTGGCAACATGGATGGGCTTAATGAAACCTTCGAGATCTGTCGATGGATTTCAACACCCCTGATTGGATTTCGGATTTTCTGTATGTGCGAAGTTTGCATGAATCGGCCTTCACAAATCCAGGTCTGGCCATACTAAACTGTTTTTTTAGGCCCGCTTTTGGGCAGTTGCTTTAAGATGGAAACCGAAAGCAAACCACCATTGAAGGGGTTCCTCTATATGTTGACACACACACACACACAAATGGCCGCAAAGGGAACCTCTTTCCTAAGGGAAGGTATATAGTTTGATCTGCTTTCAAACAGCCACGAGTTTGGTTGTGTAGCAAAACCCAGCGCTTACAGTTGCCGTTGTAGTAAGTACGTATCCCAAAGGACTCTTCAAGAAGCAACAGGAATATGACAAGTGCCTACTCTTTTGTGTCTAAGACCGACACTGAAAAACATTCAAGAAGGAAAGGGACGCGGGATGTGGTGTTCTGCCACAAGGTAATCTTGTCTTTGTACTCATGCAGCAGCCCTTGAAAGTCAACATGTTCCCCGTGTCACCAGACTCCCAGCATCCCAGCCCAGCCGGGCCCCAGCCCAGTCCCTCTGTTCACGCCTTCTTTGGTTCCTCCGCGGCCACGTAGCCTACCAAACTGATGGCCCCGCGGGTTTGAAGGTTTGAAGCTTTTGGGTGCGTTTGGCTTTCCAAGGCGTTCCCCATCTCAGTTGCCCAAAGGACCCAGAAATAAAAGGTTGACCTTTTGGGGCCATGACTAAAAATGGACCAAAACTGGAAAACCAAAAGGTTAAAAGGTCGGCTTCGGGCAACTGAGCCATTAACTTGTAGAGGCCTTCTCGAGGCAAGGTGTCCATGAAACAAATGGGGGCTTTCTTGCCAGTTCCCCCATTGACACGAGCACCCTTGGCACAAAACGCGCAGTCAAAGGTTACGTTCTTAGGATTCCAAGAGTGGCACATCAGCAAACAAACTCATGCAACTTGGGGGTACAGGCAAAGTCACTTTTTCACTAGCGCCAAAGCTGGGCATGTCCGTGTTCATACGACCAGTTCTCTTGGTGTGCTATTCAGTGCGCGCCCGCAGTTCCACGAAGGGTGCAAGCAAATGGGGGGAACATTCCATCTTTCTTGCCTCCCATTTGCTTGCCGGGTAAATTGGTCTTGACGGATCGTGCCAGGTCGACCTCCCGCAGGCAACACGACATCACCAACCTGGGCTTTTGACAACCTGCCCTGCTTTTTCACGATGGTCTTCCCGATGCAACAGAAATGAACCAATGAACCACCACCCTTCCAAAACAAATTGATGAAGAAAAGTCGAGCAGGTGATGCGTTCAAAGCATAGACAGTTTGAGTTCAAAACCACATAATCGAAGCAACCAAATACCCCAAGCGACTACCCCAAGCCGCTAGTAATTGCCAGCCAGCTACCAATGCTTGGATTGACAAAAAACGGAAACATAATGGAGCTTCTCAACACTTGCGACCCCCATCCAAGTGACTGATTTGCTTGCTTATACTGCCTTCAAACCAGTCCCAGCAAGGGTTCCCATTTCCAACCTTAGCACATCTACGAACCAAGCTTAGCCATGATATTGTTTGCGTTCCTTTTGTGAACAGCATCCAAGAGCCTGTTCAACCAAACCCCCTTCACGGCTTCTTGGGACAAAAGCTAAGAACCCCGTTAATCTGGAAGGGTTAAGCCTGCAAGACTGCAAGACAGGCCCAACCAGCTCTCGATTCGCCTCGTTTATCTGGGAGAAAGCAACTCGGGCCTGGCCGAGATGGAGTTGACAAAAACGCCCGCCGAACGGGGTCTCTGCAATCCTCACCCCCTAACAAGGGTCCTCCTAATAATGTATATATGTATATATAATCTGGGACGGGTCAAAAAAGGTCCCCTAGTATTCAAGGATTGTTAAGACCTGTGCCTGAGGGGAGAGGCTTGCAATGGAGGCAGTGAGGCCGTCGAGGGGTAAGTTGGTGGGGATGCTTGCAACATATGTGTAGTGCACGGGTCACATGGGTGTTCCTTTCTGCCATCGCATGTTCAATCAGGTTGGATGGTTGATCAGCTACACATCATGCATTTCCCACTTCCAACCGCACGCTTCAGCTTGCATGTGTAGCAGCTTTGACCTTGATTGCGTAAATGGCTACTCAGAACAAACTGTGGAGTGCTGTGGCCAGTACCCACGCTGTTGTGTGTTCTACTATGCACGATGAGAGGTCATAAACACGTTATTCCGCAGTGGCCGAGTATCACTCGCATGAGCATGTCCTGTACAGTCTAGGCCCCTGCCCGTATCACAGCAGCTTGGAGATTCCTCCGATTAGTGAGGATCAGGCTTGTGCTTTCAGAAGGGCAAGCCGTCCATAGTGTTCAAGTCCGAATACACAGAAACCTGACATCAACACAGAATCCGAGTTCAACATCCATTCCGAGGCCCGTCGGGTCAGCCTTGGCAGCGCGAATCATATTGCCCGGAAATTGCCCAGAGAGAATTCCTTCGCCTAGTGCATGTTGCCAGGTGCGGATCTCAATTCTATAGGGCATGAGTCGGATGCGATTGTCAGCTTGAGCCACTCACGCACACCGGCTGGTGTTTAAAGGGGCCACCCCATCTGTAACATAGCCTGCACTTGCTGCAGTCAGATCAACCAACAGCACCCAGTCAAATCGAGGCACCCAGCCTTCAGTGAAGACGGAAGCGCTGTGCACTAACTGCAATCTTTCACCAATACACAAATGGAATCGTGGCCGAGCATCTCCCCAATCTCATTGACGAGATCCATCGGCATCATGGGCTCATGGGGCGCCTGAACTCCCTTTGATGTCTGCGACGAATAAAAGCACCTCAAGCAATCTGTTGATGTTGGGGGGGCAGCTTTTCTTGGGCTGGGTCACAGAAGAACAAATATTGGTCGAGGACTGCCCAAAGCCGACAGGGACAAGAACAAACTATCAAGCTGAGTAAGCGCATGGATCGTGTGAATCAGATTGGGGAAATGCTCAGACACCCAGATTTGTTTGTCTATCCCAGAAAGGTGTGCGACACATGAAACGCAGAGATCCTACATACGAACAATTATACTAGTGGGGCCTTTAAACCAAAACACACAACAAGGACAGGCTGGTTGTTTTGTTTGCTGCTCGGCCTTGCTGGCAACAATCTCACGGGATAAGAACAAGCGGCCTTGAAGGAAACAAACACTAAGGATACACCTGTCTAAATCAACCAATGCCAAGCAACATTTGTAAGAACATGCATTGTTTCTGGGGGAAAACGAGGTGTCGTAACCTGCAAAAGCAATGCGGCGCTGGGTTGGACTCAACGCACACACCCTGCCAGCAGGTTCTGCCCACAAAGCCCCGCCACAGTTCACTGCTCATCAGCGCTCGCCTTGCTTAGATGGTTTCCTCTACCCCCAAGCCGCTATCACAGGAAAAACCGAGTTTGTACCCTTGGTACAGTTGCTACTTGGTGGTGGTATATCTTCTTGAAGCCCTGAAAAGTGGCTCGGGGGTGGAAACCATCATCCAGTTTTGTCCAAAACGGTGCGCTATGTCAATCAAGTCTCATCAAGCTATTGCCGGCAAATCCTAGTTCTGTGCTCTAGACTCGGGACCCGCTCGGGACATTGCAACTTGCCCGCGCGGCGCTTGGGCAAAATTACGGATGCACCGACTGTTCTAAATTATGAGGAGCTCCACTCCGCCTCATTTCCCATGTGCTTCGAGCTATCCAGAATGTGGTGTGTCCAAGACTTGTTCAGACCCCTTTTGGGTTGGTTCTTTACAGCGAAGCCAACAGAAAGCCTAACATGGGGGGGGATCCAGTTCCTGTTTTGGGACATACTCACATAACTCGCCCCCCATACCCCCCCAAACACCCAAGGAAGGCGGACCTTCAGACTGCCGTGCTTTTGTGAAGGTGGATTCTCCTCCTGCGGGTTGCCACTCGAGGCAATCAGCAACCTTCCGGATATTCGGACTCTGAAACTCAGTTGAGCAGTCCCAAAACCCAGGTGACTTAAGCGGCCGAAAGGGGGTTTTGAGCGCTGCTCGGGTACAAAACCGCCTCCTCACAAGAGCCAGACGAGCTTTGGCAAGTCTTTAGGCCTGAACATAATTCTACTACACCATATATCATATCTTTTAGGCGGGGTTAATGTCAACCAACGACTTCTGTGGTGATTTGTGCAGATTCCTAGCCATGACAGTTTGTTAGAATGGCGTACCCCAAAGCGCTTCATGGCAAACATGGCTCCCCCTTCCTCACTTTGCTGAGTGCAAGCCAGCCCGCAGAAGTTCCAACCTCGAAGCAGTCCCAATGCTTCCAGCCATGTAGGAGCCCAAGGGAAACCGCCCTTTTGAAAACAAGAGCAACATGGCGCAGGCCGAAGGGTTACCCATGACCTCTGGCGATGTGTTTTTCATCGATGTTTTGCATGCCACATCTTCCGGCTCTTGGAGGGGCCTCTCTTCATACTTCCTACGCAGTTGGATCAACGGCGTCACCTTGCGGTCATTGCGGTGGCCAGATCAATTGGATCCGGTTCCTCCGATACCTCCGAAAAGAACCAGTTCATTCGCAGTGGATTGGCCAAGCCTGTTGCTTGCCACTAAAGGGGTCCAAGCCCAAGAAGCACAAAGCCTGGGTGGCACTTTATGAAGCTTGTGAAAGGAACCTTTGGGTGACCAGACCTTGCCCCGGGACCTAGAACAAAGAGTGGGGATTTTTGGGGACCGAAAAGCTGAAAGTGGACCAAAAAGGGAAAGGCCAAAAGGGTGGCGTCTGTTTTGGGCGACCCCCAACAAACCTCTCCTTTTGGTTTCCTCTTAAAAACCAAAAGGGGGGTTCCTCAAGGAAAGACACACCCGAAAGGTTAAAAGGTTGGCTCTGAACCGAGGGGAGATAGACAAAACCACTGCCAAATCGCGCAGCTTGACCCAACTGGCCACAGGCGGCCAGACACGCGTTTCCCCCGCTGCGCTCAGCCGCTCAGCTCCCTTCGGTTCGACCGAGTGGCGTGAGCGGACGCGGATGCACACACTCTTTGCGTCCTGGCCAACCTCAAATACTCTAGCACTTTTTAGGTTTCCAAAAGGTCCATTCACGTCCATTCCCCAAAATGAGGGTCCTCCGCACAAGTGTGGGTATCTTCATTCACCTTGCATCAAATGCGCGGCAAGGGCTGTAAACCAGGCGTGCATCCAGCCATCTTCACAACCGAAACTGCGGTGCGTGAATGACTGCCTTGCGCGTGAAACAAAAGTTGCGGTCTGCATGGCAGGCCGGGCGAGCGCTGGTTTGATTCCATCGCCTCCCTGCAAATCGCACAAACTTGGACATGCGAGACATTGAGGTGCACCACTCTTGAAACATCGCATTGTCTCTCTGAAAAAAATACCCTCCCCCAAACTAACATAGAAGGCTGCAGGACCTGTGAGGACATGCTAGTCGGGGGTTCCCGTCGTCCAACATTCCCTTGCCCAACTCCTTGGAATCTCAGGGGCCCCCGCGGCACGTGGTTTCCGATTTTCCGAGCGCGAGCATGTGGTGTGTAGCACGTGCAAATATAATAGACGAGGTCCTCCAGAGAGGTTAGAACAAGGGTACCCGGTTTTTTTCCTTTTTCGGTAGTCTATTTTACCAACCAAAAAAGGGGAGAGAAGGGCACTACTGGGGGACCTAGTAGATGGAGGTGTGCAAAATTGGCCAATTTTGCGGGAATGGCAGGTCTCGTTTTGGCTTCCCTTCGAACACACTCTCCAAGCATCAAAATATTGTTTTTGAGCAAACTCTGAGTAGAGAACACGAGCGTTGCTTTCTTTGAGCAGACTAAGACCACCCGAAAAGCAGTACCAAAATGACACCTTAAGAAAATAGAACCGAGACTAAAACCTGAGTAATCTGACCCCGTGTTACTTAACCCCTGTTTATGGAGGTGTTCCTGGTTTTAGTGGGGGTTCATCACTTTTGGAGGGCAACATCCCCATACACAGAAATTGATTACTAGGGCGTCGCATTCACGCTGGCTTTGATTTGTGAGACACGCCCAAAAAGCGCCCCGTGTTCGGCTTTGGTGCATCCCGATCCCGCATCTAATGAGAGAGAATCTCAGGCGACTGTCCTGAGCCCTGCCCCGGAAGCAAAGAAGAAGAACTTGCTACGAGGTTTCAAGGCCCAAATGAACCAAACCCGTCAAACAAGCTTGTTGCTTGCCTTTGCTCCATGAAGACGTCTGCATACAAAAGGTGTTTAAAATGTGCCTCACATGATACACTCTACCAAGAACAAAATAGCTTGAAGTGGGTCTGTGAAAATGACGACTTCGATTCAAGTTTGCCAACAGGCAACTTGGATCGGGGATCATGTTTCTTAAGTGCTTGCAGCTGCCTTGATTAAGTACCCAAGGGAATCACACTTTGCAAACCAGAAGCCGCAGTACTGTTGGCTAAAGAAGTGTGTAAATCAAATTGCTGCACCGAACCAGTGGCACGTTTTAAGCTGGAAACAATGTGGCCTGCCTTTCAACTCCTTCATTGTAGGCACACCTGTGCGGCTTTGTCTTGCTCCTGCAGTGATCAGTTCGGGGCGGGCTCAAAGAGTCGCTCTTGCAATGGATCCTGTGTTCGGGCCTCTCACGCTCTAGCCGCCCTTACAAAAACCACTCGGCCTTCGACCGTAGAAAAACTGCACTATTTGCCTCCGCCGATCTCGGCGATCGTTCCGCTTCGCCAGACTCCATGAGTCTCCCTATATTTCCCGCCCCACATATCACCCCACATATCGAACATCATCTTGAGAATTGCAACCGTTCAAAAGCAACCAACACTGCACCGCCCCAAGCTTTTAAGCCCGATCGCTTTGCCCGAAAAGGTGCTCCAAGCAAACGGGGAAATATAGGGAAGTCCTAATCTCTTATTCGGCTCAATCCCTCCAGTAGCGCCAGGTTGTCACCTGCCGCAAAGCGAACGAACTTCGCGCGAAAGGGGCACAGGAAGATTCGAGAAAACAAATTGCAAAAAGCTTACAAGGATCCATCAATTTATTGAATAACTTTGAGCAAACTCAGAAAGGGCCCCAGATCTGTGGATGATGGTGGATGCGGGATCTATTGGTAACCCGGATGTTGCAGATGATGGTGGCGTATATATGAATCTATGTCTGCAAGAGAGGTCTAAACAAATTCCATTGAGTCATCAAGCCCATGAACATGGTCTACCCAACACCGTGTCAGCGACAAACAGAGCCGTACCTATGCTTGGGACTACTCCTTATTCTAATCTTCAACTATCTGGGTTTTGATTCTAGAGCACCTGTTCTAAGACACTCACGCACACAACACGCCTTTCAACGACGTGTTTGGGACCACTCCTTATAACCTTCTGGATCCTTCTGGTTTTGATTCTAGCGCACCATTTTTTCTCAGCCACGCACACACACACACACCACACACACACACACACCACACGCCTTTCCTTCTACGGCCGAGGAAACGCAGGCGACGGACCCTGCCGCCTCGGCGCCCTTGCCCCTGCCGCCCGGCTCGTCCATGAGCGCCACACCGCGGTTGTGCAGCAGCTGAAGCCGGGGGGGTTGGCCACGTCCCACGGGTCGGTTCTCTTTTTGGTTTCCCCCACCAAAAACGGGAACCTCCAATAACAGACACACCCAAAAAGGGGTTCCGAGATCTGATGCAGCAAATACGTGATTGTCCTTGGCAAGCGATAGGAACCTGTTGAATTAGAACCCCTGTTCAACCGGGAGTGTTGACCGCCAAGAAGGCACCACGAGTTCACAAAGGACCCAGGCGTTACCAGGAAACAGCTAGGCTGAGAAGGGCGAGGAAACAAGTTTCGAACAAGAGGAAACCGGAATCAGTCTTGAAGGGACTAAGATTGATCAAGTAGTTGAAAGGACCGGACCACACTCATTTGGACCAGAAAGCGCACAAAAGACTTCCCAGATTGCAACCCGCGTTTCAAGCCTGGCGTGCAAACAGGAGGGAAAGGTTTGAATGTCTAGACTCCTGCTGTACACAGTTTCTCAAATGGTGGACCCCTCCTTTGAATTTCGAAGGGAAATCCAAACAAACACACCAATTTGATCGGCTCCCTATTTGGAGACAGGTGGTTCTTAAGGCGGCACCATGCAGCGGAAAGGGCCAAGCCACCTCAGGCTTATTTCATTAGATAGACCACCTCAAACATATTGATTGACGGGGCAATTGAAGGAAACCCAACGGGCAACAAAGAGACAGGCAAATTAAGTCTGGCAATGATTCGACTTGATCTGGGGGCGAATTATTATAGCTCCCAGACCGGAAAGCTTCCAGACCGGAAATAAACAAATCACCCCAAAAAGAAGACCTTCTGCACTGAGCTCGCTTTACCCCTGAACCTGCAACCTGTGAGCTCGTCATCATTTTGGCAAGCTGCAATTCACCCACCCACCGGCCTGCCGGATGCGGTCGGCCTCGGGGAAGTTGTTGGCACGGCGCGCCTGCGCAGCTCTGTCAAGCCTCTCGGGATTTCGTAGGGAGCCCGTATCTTCCATTTTGATCGTGCTTTTTGTTCTTGGTGATACATTCCTTGGCGGTCTGTGTGATAGAAGCTAAGGTCTTTCGAATCATTCATATTCAATCGCCGACGAATCAACCGGTGCCCCAAATTGCACGAAGCCCCCCGACCTCATTGCGCTCATCGATCAGCTTCTCAATCTCCTGCTCGCGTGCCGACGTGGACATGTCCCGTTGGCCAAACATCGGAGCGATTCAACAGCTCACATATGGAACTGACACGTAGCCCAAGAGGGGTCCTCCCTATTTGAGATTTCTCTACCAGCGCTTGCAAGGGTCCGTTCCTTTCATTTTGTGCAACTTAGCCGAGGTGCTTTAACTTTCGACTGGTGAATTTGACACCGTGCGAAATGGATCGCAGTTCCCGCTTTGTTGCTCTCAATCCCCAGCCCCAAGGCCCCGTTCCGTGTGACAAATAACTCTGCCAAGCACAGGATCTCCATGTGCATACTGTTATCACTTTCAGGCTGAATCTCCCTTTACTGGTCATCGTGATATGTATCTTGCTGATAAGCGTCGTGCAAACTTGCACACTATGAAGTTATTTTCGCATGTTTGCAATAGGGAATCACCACACCATGCGGGCGAATGGGACACCCATCGCCAAAGGGCAACTTCTGGTTAGTCTCGCAAAAGGTGACCAGCTTCCCACCGTTTCCAGCATGCAAACAGTCGCCGGACGGGCAACCCGGCCTGGACCGGCGGCGCATTGGGGCCCGGCCTCCGCTGCATCACTAGGCCCATATGGCTTCAAGTCCATGCGAGAAATATCCCGTAAATCACACCAAGATGTTGCAAATGCGGAAATAGATAAATGCATGTCTGGAAAAAGAGGGACAAGAATATGTGTGCCTACATGTGTCTCTCTCTAAATACATATTGTGTCACATATCATATAACTATGAATATTGCCTGTTCATCAAGGGGGTGGCGCGGTTCCTACCATTGCAAACAGGGCTCTTCTCTGGTTCTTGGCTCAGGAAAGCCAGGGATCGGAGTGAAGGACTAAAGACTGAAATGGGTAGGTGACACCAAAACTTAACTCTTTTGCTTTCTGCTCCCCTGCTAAAAGTTGCATCGCGATGAGTCGTTACGTGGCCGGTGGTCAAAGACCACGAACCCCGAACGGGTGAGGCTGTAATGGTAAGCGAAGATCAAACCCCAAGCGCTGTGGCTTGAAAGGTCAGGGAGGCCGAAGCCAAACAACAATGGCTGTTCCTCACACAGGAGGAACAGGCATATGGAAAGGTCAAAAGCCCGAAAAGGACAAAAGCAGAAAAGGGGGATCCTAGAAGGGAAACAGCCAGACGGAGCTGAGGGCAAGTTCCGGGAAGGACCGAAAGAATTTAAAAATGAATTTCGGGGCAGTGGATTGTCCACTCCCCGTCAAACCTTGGCAAAAAGCAGCAGCTTCAAAGTTGGCCACACAGCTGTAGCCGGGCTAGTGGCAGAGGCAATTATGGGATAAAGGGATAACCGAACGGAGTCCCAGGGGAAAAGTCCAACACACGCCGCTGCGGACAAGGTAAAGGCTCAAGTTGGCAGCTCTGAAGACCCCAAGCTGTTGTCACTGTAAAAACATTGGTAGCCAGCGAAAGAACATCGGGTATCGGCACACCTGGAAATGGAGATGTATCTGCAAGGACCAGCTCACCAGAATAAGTAGGGGAAGTGCATGAATAGCTCCACTGCCAGAACTTCCACGGAGGGCGTTGAACAAAACAAAGCCCTGGGCGAAGCTGCAGGGCCCACTGTAAAAGTCCAACATACTGCTGCGGACAAGGTAAAAACGCATGTTCGTTTCACCCACTGCATAGATGGGCAACTGCGCGCGACAGAGGCACCACGCTTCAGGAGTTCGAACGGCACCTTGGGAAGCCACACGGGGCAGGTTGCAAGCGGGGCCACATCCGGCAATTGTGATGACAACAGCCGGTAAAGACCGGACGTCACGCACAGTCGTTGCCTCTCCAAGTGCACTTGGTGTTGAACACAAAAACATCAGAATAAGAGAAAACTAGGATGTCCCCGCAGCCGGCGCACCCATAAACCAGGAGACTCCCGAGACCCATGAAGCATACGCTCCAGTGTCATGTTGGAGCGACAGGCCCATCACTGTGAAGATGGAGTGGACCACCAAGGCTGTAGCTGTGATGCCTCCAGATGGAGCGGATTGGGCAATGCCTCCAGCAATGACTGCAGCAAAGGCTGCAAAGATCTCTGTTGTCGAAGGACGGATTACCAACACCATCTCGAGTGGGCCCGAAGGAACCGCAACGGTCAAGAAAGCGCCCGCTGTCGCGACTCCAAAAGGGACCAGCGACAAGACCGGTGCCTCTCCTGCCCTGGCTCCAAGAACAGCCTCTGCCAGCAGGCCCACAAAGGGCGACAAGAGGACCAAGAGAGGGCACAGCGGTCAAGTGACTTGAGCCACTGAAAGTCAGTCTCTGCTTCCATCGCCGTCGAGAAGCCTCAATAGGCCAGGGGAGACCACACATGCGAGTATAGGCGATTGGAAGCTGGCCGCCGGGCAGCCTGTTCCCAAACTGTCATCTTGCTGCGCCGGAGGCGATCTGCTTTGGCAGCCGCGTCATTCTTCGGCTGTTGTCCCACCTTCCAACACTGTAAAGTTGGTTGGCCCAGTACCTGTATCTGTGTGGAGCAGGGATGGCATCATTCGCTTCCAGACATCAGACATGAGCCCGGACACTGCTACGACCACCTGGCATCTGGACTGAGGGACACATGGACTGACAAACCCAAGCGCAAGCCGTCTCCGCAATGATGATCGGGCACGCTTCATCTTGGGATTTCTTCTTGTCAGCATCAGGCTTCCTCCAAAAGACACCAGAGCCCGATAAACATGGGCCCGTTGCGAAGAGACTCCCATTAGACTGCAAACGTCCTGCGACCATTGTGCCGGATTTGCCGCGTCTGCCGGTTTGCCCAGCCAGCAGTCTTGAGTGAGGAAAACCCGCGGCTCGTCAATTGTCCTGGCACGTGCAAGTACAGCCGCGTAGAGTCGCCTTCACACCTGTCCTTCCCCAACCTCGGAAGGCTATTGTACCCGGAGCGGTGACTGCGAGTGGAGACCAAATTGTGTAGGGTCTCTTCTCCAGACGGTCTCAGCAAGAACGGAACACCAGATTCCAGAGCTGAGGGAAGGTAGCCGATCGCATCTTCATTGTAGACACTTGTAGTGAGCACTGCATACCTGCCCTGTGTATGCTCACCAGGAAGGCCAACCCGCCGGAAGAATGGCAAGGTATGGCGCGGCAAAGGAGTCGTGGTCGTGGTGTTGGAGCCGGACTCCGCCATGGTTGTGGTAGTTGTTGCGGTGGCCGCGTTCATGCGCATAGTGCAGTCCGTACCGATCATGATATACCCGACACATCCTGCCCCCCTCGCCGCCGAGCAAGCAATCTCACAGCGGCCTGGAGCATTCTGGCCCAGTATTTGAACGGGGCCAATGTTCTGCCAGAGTGTACAATTCAAGGCATTGTCAAGCCTATACTCAAAGCCACTCGCAGAAAGGAAATCTGCCGGGGTCGCACGCGTCCCCGCAGATGTCAACACCTGGGGCATGCCATCAACAAGGCGGACCGTGAAAGTGAGGCTGCCAGATGTCACACCAGTGATTGCCGAAGCACGGATCCCGTTGATACGGAACGGTACATCCACGGATGCAGTGGTCGCCACGGCAAGGTTGTAGGATGACAAATCCAGGAGGCCAACAGGCACGCCAGTGGTGACAATCCCTGTGGCGGCGGGCCTCACCGGTTCATCCTTGTAGTGGAGCACTGGCGCCGTTTGGAGATCAAACTCGCGCAAAAGGCTGGGATCTTCTGCCAAATCATCCAAAAAGGATGACGAATCATCGCTATCCTGTAGAAATCGTTGCGCGGTGCCGAGAGCCAGGATCAAAGCTACAGCAACCAACATCGGGGCGTTTTCGGGGAATCCCCTCAGGAAGTGTCTCCCACCCACGAAAGGTGCCTGCCTTGAGCCAAAATGGTTACGGAGTGTTTAGTGGAAAAACACACTAGTTGGCAAAAAGTTAAAGTCCCAACAGCCAAGCAAAATGCACCAAAGTTAAGTTCCTTGGCCTCTTACCTTGCAGCTGAGACAAGCTCATCCGAAATGGTCGGATCAACCTGGGCTCGGGTCTAAATCCCCACTGACCATGCGCACATCCAGGACATTCGCCTTCGGGTGTAAGCTAGGCGCCAAGCTCGGAATGGAGTCATCTAGTTGTCGGAAAGCAGGGTGCTAATACCCCCCACGCCATTTGCGTGAATTGACCTATAGGTATAGTTGCTCCATTGAGGAGAGGCTCTTGGGGTGTCTGTTTGGGGGGGGAACGCAATGGCGCCCCGGAAGAACTGAGGAGCGCTCAATTACCTTTGACGTTGGGCGTCAAAGTCTTGGATAGATCCCCATTTATAAATAATTATTAGGACACTTTTAAAACACCTTGTGGCACTATGGTTTCACTTTGGCTTACCGAGGAAACAAACAACACAACAATAACCATGAACCAAACTTCGCAGCTCCAAACCGACCCCATCGGAACATCCCCCATTCTGAGACGTGCACTCCCCGCGGTCGATGGCGCCATCCGCGCTCTTCGCCGGCTCCCTGGCCGGTTGGATCGACCGGTTGGAGCAACGGGTTCCTTGGGACGCCACGTCTGCAAAAGCAACAAATGGCTGGCCAAGGGGTCTAGGACACGATTGGTGATGAAAATAGGGAGTCTGCAATAGATTGGAGAAAACTGTATATTTGAAGCTGCATGGGGTACATGTGCACAAATATAACATATATGACTCGAAGGTCATCGCCGGAAAACTTCTGCGCGCCTCTTGGCGCCCTTCGCCTTATTCTTTCGCTTGTCCTTGCCGTCGCCTGCGCCGAAACGAGTCCAACTTGGAAGCTGCTCGCTGCTTTTGAACGGGCGGCTCCCATGATTCAAAGGTATTACCAGACCATACCCAAGGATTAACCCTCAATAGCAAAGGCTACGAAAGGGGACACCATCAGAATCACATTAAGAAACAAGGCAAACCAAGCTGTAAATGGAGTGGGATTGGCCATGAGAAATAAAATTATGTAAGATCACCCCCCAAACACACAGCACGGGATACATATTTCTGCTGCATCAGACGTCCGTGGGGGCAAGGTCCGCACCCCCAAATTTGATGAGTTGCCGACCGAATCCGAAAGAAAACGGCCATGGGTTTGAAATTGTCAAAATTCTGCTCATTCGGAGTCATTCCTCAACCTCCATGTTTGGTTCCAGTGTTGGAAGCTCACAGATCTGTGTCCCTCCTTAAGAAGGTGATGTTTCTGGCCTTACCCCCAGCATATGCTAGCATGGCTTTGGGAATGAGTTTCGATCCTCTGGCTGCTTTCAAAACACCAGCTTTGATTCTGCTCAAACCACGTTTCTTGTCCTCAAGCCGCTACAGAAAGATGTGCAAAGCTGCCTCTTCGAAGGAACATACATCCATACATCTGCTCCTGTGTCGCGCCGTGAATGTCACGTGCTCACATGCCCAAACCAACGTCATGCCTGCGATTTGTTCCCTGCCAACAAGTTGGTATCATTGAAACTCAGTTCAAGCAAGCAGTTGCTGGACATACCCTCCCTCCAACATGGAACCACTTTGAAGTTAAGGGAAGCAATTCATTGTGCCCTATCCCCCAGTCACCGGGTTTGTCTCATAGGGGAACCCTGAACATGTATGGGTTTCCTATATTTCCCTGTGTTTCCCTAGGAGCCCCCAAACCTCTCCCCCAGCGCATAACATTTTCTGGCTATCTCTCACATCTTCTCACCCCAAACATATATTAAACAAATGGCCGATTGTTTTTTGTGTTGGCTTGGTTCAAAGCCGCAAAACCAACAAAGGAACACCACCAGAAAATCGACCCGTCATTTTTCGCCACACACCTCCCATCGGAAAACGAAAACGAGAGGAGTAGGAACACTACCAAAATCTCCCGGGCCGCATGTCATTTTTCGCTACACCTCCCATCGAGGAGAAAAACAAAAAAAAACGTGGGAGGTGGGACGAGTGGCCTTCGTCATCGTCAAGGCCTGCGCTGAACGGGGCCCTGGAGCTGTACCTCAGAAACGGGTGCCCGTGGGGTTCCGGAAGAGGGGCGGTTCGGGCAGTGTTTGAAAGGGAAACCAAAAGGGAAACCGAAGCCAATTCAGAGGGTGAACCCGGAACAGGTGGCTCCTGTCGTCGTTTATGTTTCTTATCTTTCTTTTTTGAATACATATGTGAATATATATATATATATATATTGTATAAACGCCTTTGGGGCCAAGATCCATGCTGCAGCGATTGGGAGTGGAGGAGTTCTCAGCTTGAGAGCTCGCGTCATTCATCGGTATCTTACGGGAGCAAACAAAACTGGTGGTAACCCCTCGAACGGAACCATCGGGAACGTCTGTCTTTCGTTTGAGGGCGGAAGGAATCCTTCTCGTGTGGACTTTCAGGGGAGTCCAGAGGAGTAGACATAAAGCGCATCCCATCCTCCCTACTAGGTCTGCCGCCTGCCCAACGAGCGACATACAAACCGTCGTCGGCTCCAGGACAATTCGCTCGTGTCCTAACCAAGGGGGGATCTCGATTCGGGATCCCGAAGTCAAGATCTATGGCGCGCAAAAACAGAGAAATGACCGTCCAACCACAAAAATAATTGAGTGGTTTGGCCAACTCAGAAGCCCACTCACTCACTTGCTACCCTCTGATAACGCCTTCCCCCAAACTGAGCCAAGGCACACCAACTGATTCTCCGTGAAGTTGATTTGCAAGTCCGGCACTGGCTTTCCGTTCTCCCGGCAGAATTGGCGGTACTCGTCATACCTCGGGGCAAAGGCTTGCACAGCATTCCTGTGAAATTGTCAAAGTATGTCACACATCCAAAGGTTTCTCTAGAGGATGCAGCAAACCTTCTGGCAGTCTACCTGCTTTTGGCGCCCGTTTTCAGCTCGGCTGAAGCCAAGGGGGGACCGTTCTTGGAGGCGTCTGAGCAGTGCACACGCGGTTCAGCAACTCCTCCACGCCCTTGACCTCAGCTCGCCGGGCTGCGGAATCTTCGGCAAACCTGCCCTGGGTTTTACAGAAACCTTCCGAGGGGAACCGCCCATTTTGGGGCTCCTTCATTTGGGTATCCAATCCTTTGGGTATGTGTCCAAACAGAGGGCACCCCGCCCCAAAAAGGGTGAACTCCCTCGCAACTCCCTTTCAAATTTTAACGCCATCTGAAAAAAGGTCCGTTCAAAGAAGACAAACCCATTTGCACAAAAGAAGGGATCCCCAACAGCTGCCCGCTCGATTATCTGATTCCATGGGCTCCGCGCCGCTGTCTTGTATCCGTCTTGGCCTCGGGGGTTCGGCTTCCATGGCTGGGTAGGTTTGTATCTGAGCTATGGATGTTAATTGCATGGTTGAATGGCCGGGTGTTCCCACCTCCTTCCTCAATGACAACTCCTGTTCCAACACTGCATCTGTGAGTGGTCGCAACCACCTATGTCTCGTGGCCCTCCCTCGTTTGGGCTGTGCAACTGCCTCGTTCTCCACCAGTGTTGCCCAAAAAACGTTTCCGCCCGGCCTAAAGGCGATCGCTCATCTAAGTTTCTGCCTTTTTGGGCGGGTCCATATCCACCCGCCCATTGCCCATGTTGTTGGCTTTTTGTTTGCGAGGGGTCCACATCCGATTGGGTCGCAACCTCGGGTTGCTGAAACCTGAGGGAATCGATTGTCCTTTGCTGTAATGAGTGGTGGGAGACCACCAAAGCGAGGGAAACGACCATCATCTGGCAACAGGACTGAGTAGCTTTGAACAACCCTGTCATACCTGGTCTGTCCAACGATCAAGGAAATGAGCAGGATATCATACCCTGAAAAAGCGCCAAACGGGCATGTGACCCCTAGGCTCAAAAAGGACACCAATCTGACACCAAGATGTTGACATTTCGGAGGTCCGGCCCGTCTATTTGATTGATCAGTGATCAGAAAACTGGACGGACTCCATTCCAAAATTGGCTTCCTACGACGACCGGCATTGGTCGTCCTCAGAAACAATCATTTTATCTAGCACGAGACTGAGTTTCACCTACCAAACTGATGGCTTCACTTCCTAGACTTGTTTGAATTTCTGAATTACTGCCAGACTGACAACTTCCAGCCAACAACCCAAAAGGACAAAAGTGACATCCAAACCCTGGGCCCGTCTTGGGGTCCCATTGCGTTAAGGCGGCAAAAAAGGTCTCTGCCTGCGAAGTCTTGGCTAGGTCGAGCGTCGCGGGTCAATCACCTGCTCTGTCCAGTTCCAACATCTATTCTAGGCTTCTCGTGAACGGAGTCCATCTGCTTTGAATTGACTTGCGTAGTTGCGGGGCAGCCTGCACTTTTCGGGTTGGAAGCTGAGCATTGATGCAAATTGGCGAGCCACTTGGCCGATGTTCAAAAGTTGTCGGGCGATTTCAATGGGGAACATCAAACGCCTGGTCGTCACAAGGTACCCCCCCAGGCCCCTATTGCCAGCTGCTCAGTGACCCTTGCAGGGAAAAGGGAACCCCCTTTGGGCTTGACTTCCTGTGCAGCAAGTCATCAAACAAACACGGAAAACAGATGTGGAGCCCGCGCACTGAGCAACCCCGCAGGCAAATCTCACTCCACCCCAAATCCCGTTTTTTGCTTGCCGTAGCATGGATAAATATATAGGTCAGCTAGGGGTATCCCCAAACTGATGGGTTTTCCTTTGGATCCTCCAACCTGACAATTGTACCTCGGGAAATAAAAAAAAAAGTAGACTAAATACAAGAAACACACACACGCTTGGAGTATCCAATGATTTCCTCATGCTCTGCATCTCTTGTCTTCACATAACTCGCCAATGCACCCTGTCTTCACATCGAGCGCAACCTTTCACTTGGTGACCCGGACTGGTGCAGGAGATGCAGAGCTGCAACGGCTCCGAGCTCTCCTTCTGCCCCGCGCCCTGCGTGACTCCGAGGCTCCGAGGCTCCGAGGCTCCGACCAAAGCCAGGGGTTCAAGCAGACTTCCCGAGGCTATCAGAAGGGCTTCTGCTGGAGGCAAGATTCGGGGATTGAAAGCTTCATTCTTCATGGTTACCCCTTGGAAAACGGCCCCCCGAAGTCGACCAGGTTTGGAGAATCATGGAGAATCACCCAAACCTGAGACTTCGTGGGGGACCCCCTGATTGATCTGGAGCCCTTCGGTTCTTGTACTTTTTCTTCTGGCCCCTTCCCAGCCAATTGAACACAGGAAGCTAAAGAACCTCTTCGGTTCTTGCCTTCTTGGCCCGGTCTGGGCAATAGGACTCTAAAATGGCAGTAGCAGTTGCTTGTTCTGAGCCCCAAAAGGATTAACTAGTCGCAGGGGGATTTCTGTTAGTGAGGGGGGCCGGCCTCCGGCCCTTTGTGAGCTTGACAAACCTTTTGATTTTGAACAGACTTCGGTAAGACAAATGCACTTTGGGGGAAGCACATGTTTGGCAAATTTGCGGAGCTTAATAGTGGCTTAGAATTGGTGGGTTTAAGAACAGACAAAGCAAGCACTGAGCAAACAGGCCATTTGACCAGCAGGTTTTTTGGCTTTGGGAGCAACAGGCGGGTACCTTCAAACAGAGGGGTTTCCAGGAGGCCCAAAAATGATTCGGTAGTGATTGCTAGAACAACCCTGTTGGCCCTTTGCTTCAGTATTGCCGGGAATCTAGGAGGCAAACGGGGGAACCATTGTTTTGGCGCGGTGGGTTTACGAGAGTCGTGCAGTAACGAATTCCCCCCAAAGATTGGATGGCATCCGGACCGACTGCGCATGTCGCGGGCCATCGCCAACCTGACAAACGTCCTCAAACAGATTTCAAGGGCCCTAATTGCTGGTGGGCTTCATGTTGGATTTTTAATGTGGTTCCTTTAGGGTCTATCTTGGGTTCATTCGAGGGTTTCATTGCGGGGTTTCATCTATCAGCTGTTTCCGTCAGTGACATTTAACAGGCGTCCGCAGGACAGCTCCTGCTTCGCGCACAATCTCCTTACACACGAAGAACACCACGAGGTCAGATGGTTGCTCAATGGGCGGTGGCTGGACCCCCGGAGATTATCCAATGCAACCCGCAGCCTGCCCGCACAGGGAAAACATATGTTGAGAATTATGCTTCACATTTACTCAACCCGAAAAAAACCAAAGCTGGCGTGGGGGAGAATCCAGAGTCTGGTCCACTAGTCAACTTGAACAGGTGAAACCATACTGGTCATGTGCGACATAACACGCCAGAAACCAGTTGGTAGTTGATTCTAGCATTCCCAACTAGTGCGAAGTGGATTCTGTCCATCCGCAGTCGAGCGCTTCTCAAATTGGTGGACCTTTTGGGCACCGCAAGGATACCGCCCCTTTCGGGGGACATTTGGAGCCGGAGCTTCTACCAGTCCGATGGATGGATAGCGCTTGGGCCACCCCCTCGTTTAAGCTCGTGTGAATCAATATGTTTCAAGCAACTTTCTCTCGGCTTCTCTGTAACGAAGCAGTTGTGTTGGTATCTCTGTTGGGTTTGCTTTTAGACACCATCCGGCTTGGTTCCCCCTGAACTTGTCCCGACAAACAATAAGTTCTCACTCTGCTCCCTACCTGGTCTACCCCCAACATATGGAGGTTGATCAACAGGTCCTTTACATGGGATGACCATTGGTTGGAGACCCGCCAAGAAGCTGATATGTCACATGTCCCACCAACTGGAAAAGTTGCCCCCATGCTCATTTGGGGGCCGCACGCAATATTGATCCAACCCCCACGTCTCACCTTGTGACGGAGACCCCCTTCGCGCCTCGAAGTAGCCCGAGCCCACGCCACGCAGGCGCAGCTTCGCCTCCGTTTGCTTCACGATGCCTGAGTTGCCAAAGCTCGCGGCGAATCCACCCGCAGCCGCTTTTTCCCCAAACATGACGTCCCCCCCCCAGGTTTTGGCGGTTTTTCACGGGAAACCAAAAGGAACACCACCATTTTTTGTTTGGAGGGGGGGGTCCCTCAACGAAAGACACACCCACGTCTAGAATAAGGGTTTTAAATGCTTAGAATGCGGTTGTGGGGCAACTATGCAATGGATTACCTACCGCGTCCGTTGCCTGAACGGCACAGTACAAAGAACAACCATTGCCGCACGAATCTATGCGAAGGCTGCTGAATTTCTGAAGGGCACGCCATTGGTACTGTGGTACAAACAGGTCACCCCAACATCTCACGAGCAGGGAGTCAGGGAGTGGCGGCATCAAGCGGCCTTCCGCCTCCCGCAATGTGGCCATGGGTCAAAATTCAAATCGTAGCCCCAGTGAACATCCGATTCAATCCCCACTGAAATAGGCTCTAAAATGGGTAGTGAATTCACCTACCCCAAAATGGGATCCCAAAACGGTTTTGACAACCACAGCCATGTCACAAAGCAGGCACTCTTTTGACTGTTGCTGGCTTCGCTGTGGAAAGCCATATCGATTGGCAGCGTGGGAAGATTGAACACCCGGGGCTCACCATGCAGAGGGTACTGGAAGCGCCAACACGTCAAACAACTCGCACTCAAGAGGGCCATTCAAAGACTATATGTAGAACATGACCTTCAAGCCGCTGTCCCCATTTCTCTGGCAGCCTCCTGCAGCAACAGCAATCTAGAACCCTGGTCCTGGTAGATTCACACAAGCCCTTCATGGACCAGTTCACAAAGGACAACTCTAAACACGCCCGAAGCTTTGGGTACCTCACCCACAAAGAAAGCGTTTTAATCCTTTGTTTTGTTGAAAGGCCATCCAAACCGGCCGGGAAAACCGAAAACCGGCCCGAAAACCGAACACGACCGCCGACCACAAATACCCAGAACCCAAAGGCAGCACGGTCGGCGACCTTGGCACCCGGGCGCTTCATATTGGTGCCCTTTGCGCCGATGATGCGCCGTGCAACCTCAAGGGGCAAACTCCACTTGCTTACCCAGCTTTGAGAAAGCGGCACATTTGTTGAAGTTCTTCTTGAGGAATGAGGGAATGAACCCAGTCCCCTTAGAGGAACCACCAGTTGGATGGTTGACATTGGGGTCATTGTTTCCTTCCCTGCATCTCTCAAGGTGCGTCATTTCCTGCGACTTTTCGGCACCTGGAAGTCCTTGTCATTCTCGATGCCGATGATGAAACGGCAGGTGTACCTGACACGCAAAACAATTAAGTGCAGGTGATATCCCCAACAGCATGCGGTGCTCTTTTTAGTGCTCGCACCACCCCGCAGCCCTCGCAGAACCTCGTGGAACCCTCGTGGAACCCTGGTGGAACCCTCGTGGAACCTTACCTCAGAGCCACCCCGGACCTGGTCCCGGAGCCTATCTGGGCTGAGACCCCAAAGCTTCCAGCTGTTGGGGGAAAAAAACAAGAGGAAGACATGTACAGCATAGGTGGAGGGAATACCTAGCCAAGGAGCCCAGAGATTGTGGAGGACACACCACCCGAACAAAAGCATGGCGAGCAGGATTCCAATGATGTGAGTCTCCAATGAAATGGACTGGCGTTGTGTGTGTCTGTGTGACTGTGTGTGATTGTGGGTACGTACGTAGGTACACGCATGTATGCCGAATGCATGCACCATTCGCATTACTATTGGAAGCTTGAAACATCATCCACTCAGCCCCCAGAAATAGAAACCGCTTGTTTGGGGTCCATGTTCACTTCCATGAGACTAGTCCACCTGAAAACACGCAGAATCTATGGAACACCTCACCGAAACGCAGCGACACCGCGCCGCGCCAAAATTGGCGAGGCACTTCCTCTGGCTCTTCCCTGGCGACTTCTCCGCCTCGGGTCGAGAAATTCTGACCAAGTGGGTTCATCATGTTGGTTTGAGACGATTGAACACGTAAACCAAAAGACAACATCCACAAAATGCCAATCACCTGCCTGGGGCGGTTGGTTGTCGGCAAGCGATGTGTGCTGCAATCATCCAACTCTCCGATGTTGATACCAGGGTTGCTGAGAAGGCGTGCACTGGGGGAGGCAAGATCCTCATCTCGGTGCTTCGCTTCCGAAAGTCTTGGGGCAATCACATCTGCGAGTAGCCTAGGGATAGTGCAGTCCCTCTTGGACTGGATGCAGGTGTTTCCTTTGGGTCGACACGCAAGCAGAGCGTGCTGTTAGGTTTCCTTAGACGAAGCCAAAGCAACCCACAGGTCTTATGCAACTCAGCCCCAAGCGCTGTTGGCCGGCCCTGTGCCTGCTGAAATGGAAGCCTGAGCCGAGTGGAAATGGCAGGCCCGCGCGCCGGGGGAAAAAACAAATGAGCGCCCAGGGACCCACGGACTTTCGTCTCTAAGCTGATTGCCTGCTAAAATGGTCTACAGGGGTTTTGGGGTTGGGGTCCCCACTTCGAGACTAGGGACATGTCGAACATGCAAGTGACAAAGTAGCGCGTCTCGTTCACCAGCTGAATTGGAGGATCGGCAATCGGGGGTTTCTTTGATAAGACCTCGCAAGCTATGATTCCATGGGCGAATCCCAAGTTGAGGAGCGGTCAAAAAAAAGGCAATATGATATGACTGCCACTCAAGCTCGAGTTGAATCCCAGCCTGCGTATCCAAACCAGCGGACACAGAATCATTCGTTCACGTCTGAATCTGTACCCTTTGAAAGGAAATTCAGCATCCAACTGAGATCTCTCGCAACAAATGGCATGGGCATAAAGCTCTGGAATGATAAAAATCCTTTCTGTGCAGAACCTTGGTGCCACTCCCTCGTTTTTTCCCCGCTGACAGCGAGCTGGTTTTGTCTGGGCTGCGGACTGGGGGAGCCGGCCAGGATTGCCCCGGCCTCACGCGAAGCGCGGCCGAAGCAAGCCTCATGAAGGTCGCAGACCACCGAACCTGCGGAATGCAGTCAGTGTACACGAAACCACTCCGAGCCATATATGCCTTTATGCCTTAGCCTTACCATGGAATGAGAATCCTGGCGAATGGCACTATTGGGCACGAATTGGTTTGGTTGGCCTGGTGAGTTGCTTTAAGCTGAGTGTTAGGAGTTAGGACTGCTTAGGGGAGGTTAAGGGTTGGTTCTGGGTTTGTTCATGGTGGGTGCAGGGTCAAAAATCCAAACGGCCAGAATTCCAAACCAAAGCTGCAAAAGCTGCAAACGGCTCTGGAGCCACAAGCTCTGGAGCCAAAAGGCCAAAACAGGTAGCGGCCAACACGAAAGCTGGTCGATCAACCAAAAACCCGTTCTCAGTTGCCCAAAGGACCTGGAACTAAAAGGTTAACCTTTTGGGGCCATGACTAAATATGGACCAATATGGGAAAACCAAAAGGTCAAAAGGTCGATTCGCTTTGAACAACTGAGCGCTGCATTCAGACGGCCCTCTGCCGCACGTCTGGGCTGCGGGCGGAAAACCCCAGCCCGGAAAGGGCACGCCCGGGTACCTCGCAGCCCGGGTGCGAAAGCGGTCGACCGGATTGGACCCGATCCGATCGATCGGAGTCTAGACCTCAGGCCTCAAGAAACAAAATCAGAGACTCAGATCGAGGCAAAGGTAGCCGCGAAGACCGGGAAAGGGTGGAGATTATGTAGTATATTATATATATATATATATGTATATATATATATATATAGATATATATATATATATATATATATATGTATATAAGCCTCTTGCAAATCAGAGGCAAGAATCGCCCGAGCCGCCAAGAGTGGATCCATCTCCGCCAGAGCCGACGCCCCGATTCGTGCCGGGCGCACGGTGCCGGTGGTGGACTCGCCCACTGTATCCGCAAGGTGCCTTCCAATCCGTTGAGCACCTCCCGCAGGGTGCGAGTCCCTGGGTGTCTGGTTCGGCAGAGGGGACTGTCGAGGTACTCTCCCTCAGACAAACATGGAAGCTCGCAGATTGCCTCCGAAAATGCACCCAAGTCTTCCAAAGGGGTCCTGACAACTTCCATGTTTGTCTGGGCGAGGGTAGAATGCAAAAAATAGAAACATTGAGGTGGGAGGCACGGCAGCTGCTTGCCTTCTTGTGTGGCGAAGCAAAGGCATTTCTCAGATTTGGTGAGCTGCGCCCTTCTGGAACGCTTGACCGGTCGCCGACTTGGAAGAACAAGCCATTTTTTATCCTGACTATGAAGAAAGACATCCCTCACACGTTGATCCTGGCCCACTTGGAGACCCAGTCCACCACAGACAACGACTGATCCGAGAAAAACTGGGAATGCCCCCCCCTCGTCCCGATCTGCTTGCATCGCACAGATCCAAGCATGAGTCGAAGACTCATAAGATCTGCCATGCGATTTTGCAGCCAAAGGTCTGTCTAGAAGAGGATTGTGGGAAGTGCAACCAGTTCTGTGATACCACTGGTAAATTGGCCTTCCCAATCACTATTTCATCCATGACGCTCAGCAACTGCCATTGTTTTTCCCTCTGGAAATCACGGTCCACGGCAACCACTTGCAGCCTGTTTGATCATTTCGTCATGCCAAGGGGCCCGCCTCGTGGCTTTGGCCTTTTTGCCTTTCTGTCTTTGGGCATTTTTGCCCTTGAGGGTCTAATGCTTGCAGGAAACTCTACAGGACATCCGTGCTTTTGGTGGGTGTGCCGAGCGCGAATGTGGACCCCTCCTTCCACCAACCCGATCCAACGTCTGACAAAACCCAGCCTTGCCGTTGAGATCATTCATCGCTGCCTCCGGAGTGGCAAAGGTGCACTCGAAAACTTGGATGGACCAAACCTTTCCTTTGCCCAACATGGGCGTCTTTTTTCTTACTGGGCAGTTTCCAGATCCCCGCTAAAAGTCAAAATGTCTAGTCAACCCAACCAAAGAAACACATCAGCCAAACATGACAACTGGGTTAACCCTCCCACCGGCCTGATGGGGATTTGGCGAGGTTCATAACAACCCGCGCCTGAGCCTCCGGAAACTGCTCGAAGATGATTTGGGCGCTGGCCCCGGCCTGGCGGAGCCCATTGCCCAGAGTCAGTCTCTGCGTCTGTGTGTGTGTGTGTGCGTGTTCGTGTCTGCGAGTTCGTGAGTCTGTGAGTTTGTGTGTGCAGGTTTGTGGGGCAGGCTTGAGTGGTACAGTATTGTGCCTATGTCATGTGTGTGTGTGTGTTCTGTATGTGTATGTGTGTGTGTGTGCAGCAGTGTGCATGCTGCTTTGGGTGTTGCGTGGTGTGTGTGTGTGTGTTGCTTGCAGTGTTGTGTGTTCGTTTCTGTGTGTGTGTGTGGTGTGTGTGTGTGTGGTGTGTGTGTGTGTGGTGTGTGTGTGTGTGTGGTGTGTGTGTGTGTGTGGTGTGTGGTGTGTGGTGTGTGGTGTGTGGTGTGTGGTGGTGTATGTGTGTGTGTGTGGTGTGTGTGTGTGCTGTGTGGTGTGTGTGTGTGGTGTGTGTGTGTGGTGTGTGTGGTGTGTGTGGTGTGTGTGTGTGTGTGTGGTGTGTGTGTGCGTGTGGTGTGTGTGTGTGTGTGTGCGGTGTGTGGTGTGTGGTGTGTGGTGTGTGGTGTGTGGTGTGGGGTGTGGGGTGTGGGGTGTGGGGTGTGGGGTGTTGGGTGTGGGGTTTTGTGTGTGTGTGTGTGCGGGTGTGTGCGGGGGTGCTTGTCGCATACTGTTTGCTTGTGCCTGTCGGTTTGTTTCCTTTTTTGGCCATCGGTTGAATCCTTGGTCGGTCGAGTGATTTGTGGTTGACTGACTGGCTGACTGAGCGGCTGGTTGGTTAATTGGTAGAATAATTGACCTGGCGAACCTCTGCTTAAGGCCTATGTCCCTGGCACTGGCCCATCCGCCCCATCTGCCCCATCCCCATCCCATCCCCGGGGGAGGTGCCCCAAAATGGGGTTCCCTTTCCCTTCCCTTCCCAAAAACGGGAGCCATCACACCAGGGCCACCCTCTCGACGGCAAGGACATGCCGCCGCACCCCAGCTTCATCCACGCGGATTTGCTTCACTGCGCCGTAGCGGCTGAAGACCTGAGCTCGACGCATGGGAAAACCATTTGCGAATATGAGGAAAACAAACATATGGCCATGGGTCAAAAGCCCGTACCCCCAGTGAACATGCCAATTTCCACTTGCACTGATGGCTGTGGGTCAAAACCCAGGAAACCCTGGTGAACATCAAAATAGGCGGCAAATGGATGTTCATCCACCCCAAAATGGAGCCATAGGTGATGCCCCATGGCCATATGCCTCAAACCTGGGGAAACCAAGTCTGGTGAGTCAACATAACAATCTGGCGCGAGGTAGGGGAAGCCATGTTCGGCAAATGAGGAAATATATGGGTATTAACCAGGAGGGGTTACGCAGGTTTTGTTCCATATTTCCACTTACCAGGATTCAATTTGGTACCGGTCTTTTGAGCCACAGCCATATAACAATGGCTCAAATCTGAAGTAAGGGACCCCCAAGAAAAGAACCTTGATGACGGGCTCGGGCGTTGTGAGGCCATACTTTGCCACCTGGTGTGCTCTTGGACACTTGCACCATGTGCATCGCAAGCTAAACCAGCAGCAAAGTTACATTGTGAAATCCTGCACCAGTTGGGATGAATAAAATCTTATGAATATTGGGATTCACCACCTATCATTCACAACAGTTCCCACCTATTACTAACCAGGCAAAGCTCCGCCTAGGTCTTAGCCTCCGATTTCGCGCAACCTAGTTGAAGATGCTAAACGAATGCTTGTCCCGTTGGTGCAAGATGGAACAACAATTGAGCAAAGCAGAACTAATACAATACCGAAAAGACAAAACACAAAGAACATTACCAACAGAACAAGGACAAAGTCTTGGCACACCAAGCGCGAAAAATGGTGTGTCCTTGTGGTCCTGTTCATAGGTGATGAAGCAAACTAAGTTCATGCACGACAAACTCATCCGCAAGTTCAAGCTCCGAACCCGATGCTTGACAGCTGACGGGAAGCGGTCTGAAACAACACAGGAATTCCAAGGTGGTCTTGAAGGATTGCTGATTTCAGGCAATCCCGCACCAGACATCAAGGATGGCCAGCACTACCAGCCGCAGAGCAAGACCTTTCCTGCCTTTGACTCATGGACCGCAGAGGGCGTTGTTCAGCTGACGATTGCCGATGCGCATGACATCACCTTCCCGGATATTGAGACCGCTTAGGGCCCCCTGAATAACATGGAGTGAACAGGCCGCCCGCCTTGTGCAGATCATCCTCGGTCAGCTGGTACCTTGGTCAATGGCCAAACAAGCAACTCCAGCAAGCAAGAGACTGTTGCTTCCATTCATGTTGGCATTAAAAGGCTCTACTTGCGCAATCATGTCACTGAATGTGCAAAATGATGCAAAGACATGCAGCAAACAACGAACAAACGAAAACAAACACGCAAACAACCAAACCACAAACCAACACGCCAACAAACCTCCAAAACAGACCCAAACCAGAACGTCAAACAAGCACAACACAACAACACAACAATACACACCACCACAAACAACCATACACACATACAGACAGTCAGACAAACAAACAGCCAAACAGCCAAGCAAGCAAGCAAGCAAGCAAGCAAGCAAGCAAGCAAGCAAGCAAGCAAGCAAGCAAGCAAGCAAGCAAGCAAGCAAGCAAGCAAGCAAGCAAGCAAGCAAGCAAGCAAGCAAGCAAGCAAGCAAGCAAGCAAGCAAGCAAGCAAGCAAGCAAGCAAGCAAGCAAGCAAGCACAGGCAGACAAACAAACAAACAAACAAACAGACAAAGCAACAAGCAAGCAACCAAACAAATACACGCACACAGGCTTTAGTCTCTGAATGTGCTCCATGCTCCAAAGCACTTCTAGACAATGTCGTGCCATTTCATCAATTCTGCTTGCGATATGTCTGACCTTGCCCAACACACATGTGCATATATGCAGTCGCACACACACACACACAGGGTCAACACAGAGACACGCACACGTGCCCAGACCCAGACCTTCATCCAACCCACAAAGACACACAGACACGCACATGTACCCAGACCCAGACGCAGACCCACACACCCACACGCCCAAAAAGACACACAGACACACACCTCTTTTTGCAGTTCGAACTGGCCTGTGGCACTTGTGGGGGGGCTGGGTCATACTGGACAGGTTCTAGGTGCAGCCAACTTTCAGAGTCAAGGGCAGCGCGACACACACCAATGGTGGCCACCGGTGTAAACATCTGATGCGCATGGATCCCGTGATCAGATGCGCTCCGAAAAGCCGAGCGGCTGGAACTTCATTCCCTCCACGGACACCGTGATGGCCGGCTCCGCTGGCATGGCGGGCGTGTACCTGGAGCTTCCTCTTTTTTGCTTTCTACTTGTTCTTGTTTGTCTGTCTGTTTGTTTGTTTGTTTGCTTGCTTGTTTGTTTGTTTCATTGATTGTTTGTCTTGTCTCTGTCTGTCTGTCTGTTTGTTTGCTTGTTTGTTTGTTTGATTGTTTGTCTGTCAGTCTGTCTGTCTGTCCGTCTGTTTGTTTGTTTGTTTGTTTGCTTGCTTGTTTGTTTGCTTCTTTGATTGATTGTCTTGTCTCTGTCTGTCTGTCTGTTTGTTTGCTTGTTTGTTTGTTTGATTGTTTGTCTGTCAGTCTGTCTGTCTGTCCGTCTGTTTGTTTGATTGTTTGTTTGCTTGCTTGTTTGTTTCTTTGATTGTTTGTCTTGTCTCTGTCTGTCTGTCTGTTTGTTTGCTTGTTTGTTTGTTTAATTGTTTGTCTGTCAGTCTGTCTGTCTGTCCGTCTGTTTGTTTGATTGTTTGTTTGCTTGTTTGTTTGTTTGTTTCTTTGATTGTTTGTCTTGTCTCTGTCTGTCTGTCTGTTTGTTTGCTTGTTTGTTTGTTTGATTGTTTGTCTGTCAGTCTGTCTGTCTGTGCGTCTGTTTGTGTTTGTTTGTTTGCTTGCTTGTTTGCTTGTTTCTTTGATTGTTTGTCTGTCTGTCTGTTTGTTTGCTTGTTTGTTTGTTTGATTGTTTGTCTGTCAGTCTGTCTGTCTGTCTGTCCGTCTGTTTGTTTGATTGTTTGTTTGTGAGTTTGCTTGTTTGTCTTCTTGTTTGTCTTCTTGTTTGTTTGTTTGTTTGTTTGTTTGTTTGTTTGTTTGGTTGGTTGTTTGTTTGTTTGCTTGCTTGCTTGCTTGCTTGCTTGTTTGTCTTCTTGTTTGATTGTTCTTTTTCTTATTTGTGTTTCTTTTGTTCGTTTGTCATTGTTTGATTGTTTTTGTTTGGTTGTTTGATTGTTTGTTTGTTTGATTGTTGTTTGTTTGTTTGCTTGCTTGGTTGCTTGCGGTTTAGCTGTTCCTTGCTTGTGTGCTCGCTTGCTGGCTTTCCTGCACCCTTCCTGGATTCATCATGGCCCTTTCTGAGACCGGAGCAGTAGAATCATTTCTTCCTTTCGCCGTCCTGTTGCAGTCCTGCCCCAGGCAGAGGTAAAAGCTAAAGCGCCCTTGGAAAGTTAGCCCTCCAGCTTGTCAACCTCACGCAGGCCATATCAAGGAGTGAACGAGACAATCTACTAGCGCCGACTAGTTGCCGCCCTTGAGGACTATTACTTGATGAAGGGGCGCCACTTCCCGTGGCTGGTGCTGTCTCTGTCTTCCTCAGGGCTCCCGAGCCAACCCTTTGAACATCACCGACAGGAAACTCACTTTCAACTAGCCCAACAGCTGATGTTCAAAACCATCCGAGGGGAAGTCTGGGGAACCCGGTTCCTTGCCCAGGCAGGCGCACGGAGCAGGCGGAAGCCCTGGGAACATGGGCCTCGCAAATGCGAATCGGGAACCCTTGGTTCGCCTTGGGACTGAAATTCCGGTTGGGCCGACCCAAGCCTGTTGGTGTCTCTTTAAATAAAGGCACCCGGAAACTTAACAACGCGAACCGGGGAGCCACACCTTGATATGAAAATGAGGATTGATGGTTGAGCAGCAACTGCCTAACCCTGATGTAATTGAGTGACTGTCTCGAAATGGGCTTTCAAATCCCCCCCAAATCGGGCCCTGTTTGCGTCGGTTCCCCTTGAAAAAACAACCACAAAAGGGGGAACAAGTGTTTAAACGAGCCAAACCCAAATGAGGGACCGAGCCTTTCAAACTCGACTCTTCGCCACGCTGGCCGATGAACTTCTTGCAAGGACCCTCTGTCTGACGCGTGGGGAAGAAGCTTGGGATGCCGAATCGAGCTGTGGATCCACGATGCTAACAGGTAAGTCTAGGGCAAGCCTATCGGTTTTGAGAGTTTCTCTTGGGGGTCCTTTAAAGTCAAGTTGGAGCCAAAGGGACATCAGCGCCCTGTTTTTTTGGGGGGGACAGGTCCCTATCTTGTGACAAACCCAGGTGAAACTGGCCAGCTGGTACGCTTCGTCACTTGGCTTGCTTCGGCTTCGGCTTGGCTAACTCGGTCAGGCTCAGGCCAAGTGATATGGACATCTGGGCAAAGCTCTAAGTCAAAGCCCTGTGAACGTCATCATGGAGGGCGCAAGCCCTTTGGCCCAGCATTCCCTCTGGACCGTTCCCGGTATCATGACTGCGATGGCCAGCAAGTGAACGGAAATCTGCCCATGGGTCAACAACTAATGGGCGTGTGCCAAACAAGGGCCTTTGTGGGGACTCTATGAAATGGGATCCAAGCAGTTCCAAGTGGCTGGTCGTTCAGGGTTTCTCTCCAAAAGGGGGAGTGGGGAAGGCCCCAATTCCATTTTCACCTACGAGAGTGAACATGGTAGTATACATGAAGAATCTAGCGTGCTGGCAACCTCCTCAAATCCGAAGACGGGGTGATCTGCACAAATGGCTGAGGCAATGGGTCTCCATGTGGTGAATCGCCACCGAGGGAATCGCTTGGGAACGCAATTCTCCAAGCCACAATCAAAACCAGGCATTGAAGTGGTAAAGATTTCCTGAAGGGGCGCAGATCCGCACCTATCTAGTTAGGATAGTCCCTGACTGCCCGGTTGCAGGCAATGCCACTCCTGCAATACAACTAATAAACCTTCCCAATGACTTCAGCTCCGAAGCTCGGCCAGGGCGACGGGAAAGACTCTTTGCCACCCTGCTTGACCTTCATCTACTCCAATCGGAGTAAGGCTTTCCGCAACCTTGCTTAACAAGTTGTTGCTTTCCCGAATCGGCTTTGAGCAGGTGAGTCAAATTCAACACCTGGCATTAACATGATCTACCCAAACCAATGTAAAGAACTACAAAGGCGTATATCCGCACCTGGTTCCGGTGGGACTGTCCCTTAACCTTCACCCAATTCCCCGAAGTTTTGACTCTGGCTCAACTGAGAGTTTCTCAAAATGAACCCACTGTTGGTTGACTATTTGAAGGGAAACCCAAAAAACAACCCTTTTTCGGGGACCCCTGGTGTGGGCAGCCCCAAAAAAGCCCTTCCCATCCCTACCCCCCTATCTGTGTATGTGGCCGTGGGTCAACGCCAATGGTACCATTTTGGGGTAGGTGCACCACCGATTTTAGTCGAGTGGGGATTGGGATGTTCACTGGGGGTACGATTTGGCCTTTGACCCATGGCCATGTGCCAACTCCCCTTCTGGGCTATGGATCTGTGGCCCCCCCACGAGGCCGCCGGGAAGGTGGAGGGGAAGCTGCTCTGCTGCAGGCCCTGCTGGATATACCTCGAAAAGACCGGACGGGGACCCATGGGATGGATTTTCTCAGATGCCCAGTGGATTTCCATGGGAAAAAAAAGGGCACCCGTTGTTGGTGTTGGTTGAGTTTCAAGGGGAACCCTTACCCAAAAAAGGAAAAAAGGGCACCACTGGGCAACGGAGTTTGGGTTCCGGTGATTTGGTTCTTTGGGTGGAGTGGTTGTGCTGGTGATGGGAGAAGAGGAGCCACAAATTGCCGTGGTCCTGTTGGCTTCTCTTTGAAGACAAACAGGGGACCCTCACAAAAAGACACCCAAGAAAATGCGGACAGTGGTTATCCATGTTTGGGGTATGGCTTGCAGCTGGCCAAAGAACAGGACGACGAATCGACTGAATGTGTCCAAATATGAACTGGTACAAGGTTCAGGGTCCCGGCTATAGGTTCGGCGCTGGTGTTGAAGCCTTATGGTTTTCTCAAGCGTTGCTTCTCGACTTGCTCAGCGGCTCAAGAAACTTTCGGTAGTCATAGCAGTCTGCTTTATTTTGCCAACATGTCATGCTTTCAATAGTGCTTTCATGCTTTGTCTCAGACATGCTGTTCAAGCAAAAAGTGCTCCATCATGGTGCCACCATGTGTGCGATGCTATGATACCTGCGCGTAAGTGATGTGTGCAGTGCGGACGCCTATGGTAGTGCCACCATGCCAGCAGTGCTGTGACACGTGCACGTGAGCGGGTGTGCTTGTCGTGGTGCCTCCATGTGTGCAATGCAAGGACATGTGCGCGTGAGCGGGCCTGCTTGTCAAAGTGCCACCATGTGTGGATTGCTATGACATGTGCGCCTGAGCGGGTGTGCTTATCAAGTGTCACCATGCGCGGAGTGCTATGACAGGTGCACATGGGCGTGGGTGCTTCTCATGGTGCCACTGTGTGTGTGTGTGGATTGCTATGACTATGACACGTGCGCGTGTGCGCGTATGCTTATCATGGTGACACCATGTGTGCAGTGCTGTGACGTGTGTGCGGCGTTTCATTGTCTGGAAACCGCACGGAATTTCCAGGTGGGCGGCAACCTTTGGGAAACCAAAGCCCGCTTTTTAAATCCATGGGTTCATGGCTACATGCCTCCATGGCTACATGCCTGCCTACCGGCGGCTGCCATCCGAGCGGGGTTTGCCTTCAAGGGCCCCCGTTTTGTTGGACATCTGAGATCTGAGGACCCCCCCCTTCATTAGGTGCGGAAACATAAAGGTCCCTTTACACTTTACACTGAGGCGATTCCATGGAAGCTCCCAGAACCCTTTGACAGAATATCAGGCACCCCTAACTGAACAATCGGCCAAGAGCCGAAATCTGGGTGGGTCAACTGTAGGGGAAATCCTTAAGTGGTGGCTTTCCTGTTAGTTTCTCTTGGCTTTCCTGTTGGTTTGCCTTCAAACCTATCAAAAGCCACCAACTCCACACGGCAACTGCGGCGCACTGCATCATCTGCATGTACGCGGCAGCGGTGGCGGGGTCGAAGGGTGGGACCTGAGAAGGGTCTGGGTCGCTGGGTCTTTCTCAAAGGATTTGGTCCATGCCCTGCATTGGCAACGGTTTCCTTTTGGTGTCCCTTTAGATACCCCCCCAAACAAACACGGATGCCTCAAAAACTGAGAAACTCTCTATTAGAACGGCCACTGTTGAGATGGTCAGCAGAACGAGTCAGCTGGAGGATTTGTCATTTGGGACCTGAAAAGGGGTCTGATGCCCTCTGACTAGTTACACCCAATTGTTGGAACAAAAAAACGATCCGCCGCTGTTTGAACTTGTTCATTTAGGTCAGGTGAGCAAGCAAATCCAAGTGTTGATTGAAACTCGCGCACAAGTAGTTTAAGAAGAAACCAATCCAACTGTTCGTGGCCTGGGACCTCTGAACCGAATGCAAAACGGGGGTTGGGGTGCCAGTCATGCAGTGGTTTCCAAAAGGGCCCTCTTTCGAACGGAAAGAGAACCAGAGAACCAACCAACTCCTTTAACTTTAACCATCTTAAGGGTCCAAACAAGTGAGGCATCTCGCAGCTTCGCAAAAGTGCTGCAACCCCGCGGGCCACCAAGTACAACAAAACCTACTTTTGGACACCCATGATATTGGTGCCCAAAAACTCGCCGCGGCCGGTTTACCCGACTTGGCTTTCCGTTTGGCGTCCCTTTAAACCAAACAGGCACGGGTTCTAAGTACTAAGAAAAGGACCCATGGTTCCACTTCGAGCCAACATGGTCTTAAGAAGGGCCAAGGAAAGCAACACCCATATGGGTGTCTTTTCGTTGAGGCACTTTTTGTTTGGTGGTTTCAAAGGACTCCAATTTTGGGCGTGCCCCGGAAACAGACACACCCACAGCTGCCCCAAAACCTCGCCGGCGTCTGAGCAATCTTCGGCCCCGGCCGAGCCGTCGGCCGCCGGGGCGGTGCCGGGCGGCATGCCGCCCAGCATGGCCTGGCCCCATAAAAATCCAAGCGGGTGGGGTTGGGGGGGTGCAATATACAGACTAGGTCCTCCAGTAGAGAGGTTAGAAGAAGGGTACCCTTGTTGCTGTAGTCTATTCTAGGAGGGGAACCCTAAAAAGGCACTAAATAAGGGTACCCGATCTTTTTTTCTGTAGTCTATTTTAGTAGGGGAACCCTCCTCCAAAAAAGGGTAGAGAAGGGCACTACTGGGGGACCTAGCAGAGCTAATGAAGGAACAACTCGCGGCTTTGCGCGGCGACGGAGGTGTCACAAAGACACCCACACTGAAAATGGAAGGTAGAACCAGTGTTGCTCTTGTGATCATGACGTAAACAATTCTCTCATGATCATGACAAGCATTCTCTGATCATGACTTGACCTGGTCTTTCCCTTCTACCCCATGCCGATTGTGTGGGCCCTTGTTTCGCTTCGTGAAGGGCGTCGATCCGCCAATCCGCTTGGGGCAAAGATCTCAAGGGTGGGTTGGCAGATTTCTGGGGACTCGGGCGCCTTCTTGGCGCGCCTTCTTGGCCTCATTCAGCAGGCAAAACAATGGGAAAACACTTGTTTGGGCTGCTTTGGAGGAACACCAACGGAAAAAAAAAAAAAAAACTTTGGAGGGAAGTTAAATTTCGTTTTCAGGTGCCAATGCGCTCCCATACTTGGAGACAAATCCGATTGGGGTTGCAAGGGTTGACCTTGCCCAGTGAAACTACAAACACCAGGTTGAACCTTGATCAATCTGGGTACTCCGCAAATAAAGACACAGAAGCCCCGAAAAACAACAGTGTCTGAGACATGTACCTCCTTTGGGTTTCCATGTTGATCTGCAGGACTGAAATTCGATCGAAACGAGCGCTTCCCCACCCGATAGACCTATAGATAGGGGACGAAACAGGTATGACAGCTTCCTTTGGACACTTACTAAGCAGCTATAGGGACACATTTTGTGTGCTGTTGTGGTCTTTGTGGAAAATGCATTCGTCGTTCAATTGCCAATGTCCTCCCCAAACCAACAGGCCAGGGATTTTGTCTGTTGCTCATATGCCCCGGCAACAGAACCACCGGTCTATGCGCCTGCATGGTAGCGGGATCTGGCATTCCTGGGTAGTTGGTCGCCTCAGGCGCGCGGTAATTCGCAGGCCGATCGAGTGCTGAAGCCTGCGAAATCAACACCGGTCTCGAATTGAAACAAACGAAAACTAAAACATTCAGTAAAACACCCATTGTCAAGGACTTTCAAATATTTAGTGCCTGATTCGTTGTTGCCAACTGTTGGAAGAGCGCTGAGCTGAAAGTAGAGTGGACCACCCACAACTGGCTGGGTCCAGCCAACGCGACCAAAAAGTGTCAGACCAGGGAATGGTTTGTTGGATAGTGCTACAAGGTAGCCACAAGGAGCCAACAACCGGGACAGGTTTCCCAAAACACCCGCATCATCTGAAGCAAATCTTGGCAAGTCAATGGCCCCACTCCCAAGCTGGAACTGGGGCTTCGGCCATCGAACTGGAGTCTGCTGGTGTTCCTGGCGTTGGAACCCAAACCCGGACGCCCGGCGGGGTCCCTTGGCCGAAGGGCAAGCCCTGTTTGGATCCCAACGTTTTGGGTCCCGGGGTCGAGCCTCTCAGCCGAACGCGCCTTCAGTTGGAAGAAACACGCCCATGGATTAACTCAATGTCGGCTCAACCACGCACGCCTAGGCCCTAGGTACCCTCTCCTTGTACATTGTACCAACAAAATCTCTACCGCCGTCCACACCTTTTTGGCTCCAACGCATGTTGAAAGAACAAAGACAATCAAACATGGCCGAGGAAAACCCGCTCACGAAAGCTCTGTGCTTTGCTCCGGATGCCAACGACTGAATGTATTTCTAGCGGAGGGTACTCGGTTTTGTATTTTTTGCGGAACCACAGGAAACCAATTTATTTTCCGGGGTGCCCGTTTCAAGATCAATGATTCAATCAGTGGGCCGTGTAACCCAAAGACTTCATGTGCACGTAGGTCATACCTGCTGCGACAGGAAGTCAGGTGCCATGCGAGTCATCGAGACATGTGGGTCATTAACCTCGTAGCTTCCACAAAAAGTCTCCTTGACAACGGGTCAAACACAGGAAACAAAACAACGCAAACACAATAATTAGGGGTTGATACCTGCTTTCGGAAAACATGACTTGGGGAGGAGGTTGGCCTCAAGAACAAGTGTTGGCGAAAGAAGTGGTATTCAAACAACGAGATTCTGCATGAATTGGCACCCAAGTATCAATATGGGTGTGATTTCTCGAAAGGTACCCGTTTTAGATTGGCTCAGTGGGAAACAAACAGGAACATAGTATACTTTGTGATCCCTCCAAGTTTAACATGCACATACCCATGCCATTTCCTCACCATGACTTCGTGCCACGCACCAATACATCAATACATCACTACATCTGCGCCGAGCGAACATGCGGGCCGGCCTCCGAAACGTGGGGTGTTTCGGCTGCTCAATTAAGACAGTGTTGCCACGTCAAATTACCTCGGCTGAATGGGAGCGTGCGAATCCATACGCAGCTCTTCGACCAAATGATGTTTTTTAGAGCTCACCAATGGCCGGATGAAACAAATGTTTCCTTCCGCAAGACGGCTTAAGGCATTTGGCTTTTGCGGTTGGAGTTCGGGTGCGCCGGCTGAAGTGACTAACAAATTACATCAATATTAGCTCCTGTAAATAACTTGTGGTTCGCGAAAAAGCATGGCCTCAACTTTGGGTTTAGCAGACACCTTGCAAGGGCCTCTGAAAACAAACTGCCACCACGAAATATGTGCTTGCCAGTGATGTTCTACGGTCTCTTTTTGCGGTTTGTCTATCAGATGTCCTGAAAAAAACAAAAAACAAACAGATGGTTCAAGAAGCATCTCTACCTCAGGCCCTATTTCAAAATTGCTCCAACAATACAGAATACCAACACGAAGATCCTTGTTCTCATAGCCACTGGGGGGTCGTGGTATCGTCGAGTATCCTTTTTGCGCTGCATATGCCTCATCGCTTTGGTGTGGGGATCAACTGCCTTCCTTTGAGCAAGCAGGGAGTGCAACAACAACAAACAAACATTCAACAGTACTCCAATAGGAGCAAGCGACCGCCATCGAAAAGAAAAAGGCTCATTGGCCGCCGGCGAGGTCCACTTGCCATGCAGCAACCACTACATGAGTCCTGGCTTCTTTCACTATACCAACCCAGCAATTGCCCATCGCAGAAGGCCAATTATTTGTAGAAATGTGCGGACCGCAAAGCAGCAAGGTAGCTCTCCCGCTTTTGATGGAAACACGTGGCGGCTCTCATATGTCAAACTGTGTTGAAGTAGTGAAGAAGTAAGAAGCAAAAGGGTTGTTGGCACTTTGCTCAGCAAGGCAGCCCGGCACGAAAATGTTGACCGCCCGCCCCAAACTCTTGCCTCACATGTTTGCTAAACTTGGATTTGACAGTCTTTGCCAACTCGACCCCACAGGATCCCGCCGATGCTGTCAGTGCAGAACACACAGCCCATGCGCGCGATCGGCTGATCGCCTGTTTGAAGATCTGAGCGCCCCACGAATTGGCCAAAAGCGTTGCCTCGGGCGCCGCCTGAATTGCCTTTTGGAGCCGCGGAATATGCGAGGCGCACGGATGACAAACAAAAAACGTCATATGCGGCACCATGAAGCACAAGCGCCTGAACGTGGGAATCCAAATTGATATATGGCCATGGGTCAAAAAGACCCATGCCCCCAGTGAACATCCCAATTCCCACCAAAATAGACTAAAATGGGTGGTGCACCTACCCCAACATGGGATCCCATTAGTTTTGACCCACAGCCATATGGAAGCCTTGTCGGGGTCATTTGTCAATTTGTACGGAGACTGAAAGCAGAAGAAACTATTTAGAGGGCCCGTTTATCTTCGCAGATTGGCAAACAAGGGAGGTTGCTTCCTCCAAAAGAGACCGGCCGGCCCGCTGTGTGGCCGCTTGCCGCAAGCAGGTCACACGTCCCAACCTCCCAACCTTCCATCCAAAAGCCTTCGGCCGTCCATTGCACCAAAGCCACCTTGGAGAAGTCCCCTTCACTGCCCAACCCTGCGAGAAAAAACGCATGCGCGTCAAAAAAGCCACTTGTAGCATGTGGGCCTTTGCACTGTGCACGGACGAGGCAGAAGATGCCGTTGTCGGCCTTTGTGGCCCAAACTGACGGCAAGGGTGTCTTGTGGAGGTACCGATTGGGAAAATAGTCAGGGAAACACAAAAGAGAACCGGGCCCCACCTTTTTCTTTGGGGGAGGGGGGGCATTTCCTATATCCAGACACACGCAAAGTGACCATTTCACTCCAAAGTGCCCCCCACCCCTTTTCGCCCTCAAGTGATCCGTGAAATTCCCCCCCCCACCTTGGGGTAACATCCAAGTGGAAGACTCGCCCCCCACTATGTCTAGGTCCTCCAGTAGAGAGCTTAGAATAAGGGTACCCTTTTTCTTCTGTAGTCTATTTTAGTAGGGAACCCCTCCCGCCAAAAAAAAAACAAGGTGTAAAAGGGCACCAATTGCTGGGGGGCCTGGATGTTTAGACCCACTCAAACGACAAAAGCTCCGTGAGACTGGCGCCAGTTGTTTCTCGCTCCAGCGGCTGTCCGCTCAAGGCCCGGCTCAGCCTGAGGCCCTAAGCGATGGAGCCTGGCACGCGTGCTGAAGCTGAGTTGGGGGGGGGGGGGTGGGAGGGGCGGGTGGTGGGTGGACGGGTGGAGGGGGCTGGGGGGGCTGGGGCTGGGGGGCTGGGGGTGGGGGGGAGGTGTTCTGTGCAGTGGGATAGATAAACAGCTCCTTTCCCAAACCTGAGAGTCTGAGTGTCGCTTCTGAGGTTGCCCCTTAGCTGGACCTTGGCCCTTGACTTGTTGGGGAAAGGGTTGTTTCCAAATACGATCAAACGGAATGTCACTTGGTGCTGTGGGTCGCAGACTGATCTACATCCGACGGATCCCTTTTGCCGCTGGAAAGAAAGATGCAGGCATTGCCATCCTTTTTTAAGAGGGTTCCACAGGTTTAGATTGCCAGGGCCATCCTTTTTTAGATGGGTTAATCGACCATCAGCTGCCTTGATCAATAGACATATACTTGCCGCTCGTGGTGAACTGAAACCTGGAGATCCCAGGAACCAAGGACTCCTGCGCGCAAAAAAGATGGGAGGACCTTCGGCGTGATTCGAATCACCCGCGGCTTCTAAAAGCAAAGACCCCACAGCACCCGGAAGGCACCTCCGCCTGTTTTCATATGCAGGCTGCATCCCCTCTCAACAAGCCACTGGGAGCCTTTCCATCTTGGGACCCTGTTCGGCCAGGGGTGGGAAACTAGAAGGAAACCACAATTTTGGGCTCCCCCTATTCTGACACACACCTAGATATGGCCCTGTGAATGATCTGTGTCCTTTCCGGGTAAGCTGGCTACCTCCTGTAACTGGAAGCACTGAGTTTTGGCTTCTCTAATTTATAGGGCACATCCTCGAGAAAATCCCATCCAAATGGGGGCTCTCCTGTACCCTGAATGATTCGGACGCACGTGCGTCCTCTAGCAGACGACACATCGCGGAAGCAATCAAGTCATGGACGTGCTGAGGGATTAAATCTGTTCTGTGAGTTCAGCGGGCAAAGACGTAGAATGCTTCTGGACGTTGACAGGCCTCAACCCACAAGCCGCCAGAATCCGCCCATGCTTTCAGTGTCACTCCAGTTGTCTTCCAAGCCAGCGGTTTGCAACCAGAGCATCGGAGTCACTGCTTTTGAGGTTGAGGTTTGGCTCCTTCTCATAAGTTAAAATCACATAAACCGGGATACGTGTCTCTAGCGTGTCTTGTTCCCTTTGTTCCCTTTGCAACAACCACATCTGGGTATGTCACCATGGGAGACCCCTTCATTGGCTTCGGCTTCAGAGTTTTGACCCCTGACTTTCGTTTCAATCGCATCAGATTCCCGGAAGTTGAACTGACCAAACTGACACATCCCAAGAGCGGCCTCCTAGGAAAGATGCTTCCGGTTTATTTTCAAAATCCCTGATTCCGGGTACCAAATAGGCTGGAAAAACTCGAAAACTATCAGGTCCCGCTGGCGATCGAAGCAGGAAAATAGCTCAGGGGTGGTCTTTTAGGCATTTGACCTTGGGGCGCCCTGGTACCTATCCCTCCCTCTGGGAAAACCTAACCTCAGATGCCCAGTGGCCATGGGGAAAAAAGGGCATCCGTTTTTGGTTGAGAGGGGAACGCTTCCCCAAAAAAGGAAAAAAGGGGCGCCACTGGGCAACAAGGCAATATGCATGGGCTATGAATCGCGTCGAACCAAGTGCTGGCCACCAACCTCGCGCACCTCCTGCCCAGCCCATGGACATCGGCCCCGGCACAAACTCCTCGACGCTGTTGGGATCTTTGAGATCTTTTTGGGGGAGGCGAAACAGGTGCAACCATGTGGGATCTGGCGCTCGCTTCGAAAAGGAAACCAACAAAGCAAATTGCGAGCTGTCGGATGAGCTCCGAATAAGGAACTCATCTCATGTTGGTCTGTCATCGAGATGGGTTCTTTGAACATGTTCGTTTCGAAAACCAACCTACGTACCTACTCGTTTCGGGATCTGTGTTGTCGGCTTGACATGGCCCTCGGTTTGACGGTCCACGCCTGGGGGCGTATTCGGCAACCCTGAATAGCAGCTGAAGCTAGTGCAAGTTGCCTAAGCTGTGCAAAATGAAGCGTTGGCCGATCCCAATCCATAGTTCTTATAGGAAAAAAAAAAAAACATCACCGAAGCCCTGCATGGGCCCAAAAAAATCCACCAAACAGCCAAGGGCGGAAAAGACGTGCCCGCTTTGCACTCCCCAACATGAGCCTTTCCCCCCGTAAAACCCTCCGGTGTGGCCAAGAGAGTGCCTAAAGGAACCAAAGGGCGATTCCAAGCGACCCGATGTCCTCTTTCTTAACGGGGTCAATTGTGATTTGGGGAACCCGCGTTCTTGAGCTCCAATAGTTCTTGAGCAACCCAAGTTCTTGAGCTCTATGTTGTGAACCCGAGTTCCTGTCGAGATCTTTGGTGAGCCGCCGCTTTACTATCGCAAACTTGGAGCCTCAAGTCCCTCGCGCGGGAGTCTTTCCGCGGGCCTTCCCGCGGTTGGCGCAGAGTCAGATGCCCGGTGGCCCATGGGAGCAAAAAGGCACCCGTTGTTGTTGGTTGAGTTTAAAGGAGAACCCTTATATACCCAAGAAAGGAAGAAGGGCACCACTGGGCAACAAAGGAAAGGAAAGTAAGCTTAGTAGTAGGGAAACAAAGCTTCCGCACAAAATACATAAATAAAACACAAATCCTTCCGCAGAAGCTTCCGCGCGTGCGGAGCGTGCGGCTTGGTGCACATTTGCAAGACACATGTTTTCAGATTGCTGCACAAAACGCAGCTCAAATGGGAAGGCCACCTCCAAAACAAACAAAACTAACTTAAGCAAACCAATGGTTGGGTTTGTCTCAATCCAAGCAACTCTCGTGAAAGCCAAGTGTGTCCCGTTCGTTGCCGTTTAAAAGGACCTCAAACAGGATATCCTCAATTCCAATTCGAACCCATTTGTTGCTCCATGGAAAGTGGCAATGGCAACATGTCGGAGTCCGTGCGCGACTCAGTCTAGTTGTGGCCAAGGAATACAAAGATTGCATGCAGCACTGAATTCCTGGCGTTGTAAACTCAAAGCTATGACGAAACAACAACTGGGGAAAGCAAACTATCATGTTTGCGGAAAATATGTGATACCAAAATGGGCCCGCTGTCTGTCTTGTCAATTTAAAGGGATGCCTGTAGACCCAATGTCCCACAACCATGTATGATGAGTGCAGTAGCAAAGCTGTCGCATTCGCCGCACTTTCGCTAAGAGGTACCCATCCCTCGATAGATTCCACGCTAGAGGAAGGAATACATAATGGTATGGGTGCCTGCTGGGTTGCCTTGAAGACCCACCCACGTTGGGCGTCCGAATCTCATGGCTGAGTCAAGGAACATTGGCCGAAGGGTTCATCAGAAAGCTGCCCAGATCTGGCTCGTCCCAGTCAACGTCAACGTAGGGCTCCTGTCACAGTGAGTGCTCACGGGTCTATGTCCGCAAGCGTTCAAGACCTGCTCCTACCATGCGCATGGCTTTGTTGCGCTTGGGGCATGACTCTGCTGAACTCGACAACGGCCTTGTTCATGGTGATGCAAATAGTAAAGAAGAAGGCTGATGCGGCGACGAGGACGACAACGACGACAACGGCGGCGATGACAGCGGCGACGACAGCGATGACAACAGTAGCAACGACGACGACGGCGGCAGGCACAATGATGGCGAGCACGATGATCATAAGGATGACAATGGAGAATATAAAGGAGATGATAGTGGAGATGATAACGACAACATGATGATGATGACGATGATGATGACGACGACGATGACGGTGATGATGGTGATGACGACGACGATGGTGATGGTGATGGTGATGGTGATGGTGATGGTGATGATGATGAGGAGGAGGAGGAGGAGGAGGAGGAGGAGCAGGAGAAGGAGGAGGAGGAGGAGGAGGAGGATGACGATGATGATGACGATGTTGATGACGATGATGTTGTTAATGATGTTGATGACGATGTTGATGACGATGATGTTGTTAATGATGACGATGATGATGATGATGCTGATGCCGACGATGACGAAGAGGATGACGATGTTGATGACGATGATGTGGTTAATGATGATGGTGACGACGATGCTGATGAGGATGCAATGCTGTTATTGACGATGACACTGATTATGCTGTTGTTGCTAATGATGATGACGATGATGTTGTTGATGGTTTATGACGGCGATGCCGCTTTTGCTTACAAGTCCTAAGATTTCAAACGTCGAGCTCTCTGCGTCCTCCGCACGGCCGTGGGCCGTCACGGTTCGCGGGCCAGCGGCTTCTACCCGTGGAGGCGGAAGTCGTTCTTCAGCCGCGGGCTCCTCGTCCGAGCCCAGCTCCAAGTGGTCGAGACGTGCCTACGGGGCGACCGTGGCGAACGGGGGGACCCCCACGCGTGGGCCCCACGCGTTGCACGAAACCAAACCTCAAGCCTCCAAGAAGGAACTCTCATACACCCCAAGGTTGACACAAAACAAGGAGGGAAGCTTCCCCTCTCCCCCCCAAAAAACCGAGAAAAAAAACAAAAAATCATAAGTGAGGTGCTGTTGAGCTGGTTTCCCTCCAAAAAGCCCCACCACCACCGCGGGTTTCCCTCGGCCCTGCGTTCCAAAACTTGCGATCGAGACATCTCGAAGGCTGCGGAAGGCGAGGCTCTCTGAGCTGCTGGTTCTGGTCGCTCAGCTCCCGCAGCTCCATCTGCTTTTGGGCCAGCGTCTCAAAAGCCTTACCTTGGGTCAGTCACCACACCACTGACCCGGGCGGAGAGAGAGAGAAACAAAACCCAAAGCAAACTGGAGAAAGACGTGCGTCTGTTTGTCTTAAGCCAACTTTGTACGGAAGCCACTAGCTGGTCAAAATCCGGGTTGAGGGAGCCACTCACGTTCTGAGCGGAAATGTTCGACTCAGTTCACATCCTGTGGCGTTTAAGGATTCGATGGTTGGAATCTGGGTTGTTTGCCACCCCGTGTCCGCCCCTGATTCATCAATAGACTTCCAATGATTTGCTCAGTTGCTCACTTGAGGTTGGCTAATTGCCAGGGTCAAAACCTTGCTCCACCTTGCTGTACCCCCGACAGGCACGGCACAGGACAACCTAGCTCCGTGCACCAAATAAACCCTTGAGGCAAGAATTGAAGCACTCTGTGAAAATGCAATTTCAAAAAAAAGGTTTCGAAAACAACTAGAGCAAGATAACTTGAACTGCATTGAAATCACATTGGGCAGCAACACATAAAGCACATTACATGGAGCTGTGTCAGTAGAATGGGGTGGCTGGGTTTGCAGTTTCCCTTGTTTGCTAATTCATACCCCACCCATGAAGCACCCCCATCTCAAAACGCCAAAGGCAACAAGCCGAAAGGAGCAATCTCCTGATTCCAGCCAGCCAAGTTCGGTCAAATTCATGGACCGAAAATGGGGACTGAAGGACTCCGAGCAGTGTCAAAAGCATGGGCCCCAGAACAAGCCAAAATTATTGACCCAAACAAAATCCCGCGAGCCACAAAGTTGCCTGAAGAATCTCAACACGTTCGCCTCAAAGTTCAACGACCCTTATTGCGCCCATCCCTTGGAAGCAATTTTTGCAACTTGACGCGGGGATTCTGCCTGCTTTCACCTTGTCCCAATCAGCAGATTCCAATCAGCTCGTTTCCGTTTCAGCTCCCTGGAGCCCAAGAGGCTTAAGTCTTCCTGGGTCTTCCGCTGCTTTGTTGCCTGCTCGTCCTGCTCTTGCTGCCTGGAACGTCAGGTGTGTGGGGAGGTGGTGTGTTGAGAGCACCCTTTGTTACGGCGGGCCAAAGATGCTTGAAGGGAAGCCAAACGGGACACCCACTTCTGAGGTTTGTTTGAGGTGTTTGTTGCTTTTAGGATCCCGTCAAATGTTCACCAGGGAACACCCCCAAGCCTGAAAGGGATGCACGGGTGTGGGTGGGTGTTTGAGATTCGGTACTCTTTTTGATGTTGGTTCAAGGGAACCAACAGGCCGACCCACCATTCTTGGTATCCTCGTATTCTGACGCACATTGATTTGCCGAGAAGCCGCCGATCCGGCCGCCGCGCGTATTTGTTTGAGATATCTGGGACATGAGGTGGACATGCCCCAGAGTAACCCACGGTAGTTCAAAGGGCGGGGGCGATGAGTCTGCAGCCTGCCAAGTGCAGACTTCCTGGCCCCAGGACCGACGTCACTCCCCGACTGAAAAAACATCACCCCGACCAGCAGAAACTGAGCGTCCAAACGGTGACGGGGTTTTACCACGGCCTGTCTAATAGAAACCCTGGCAGGCAGCAAGCCCTGCAACCGTCAAGTGATGGTGTGGTACCGAGTACCAAACTGCAGAGGGCCCTTCATTTCTTTGGGGCGGTCAAACCACGGTTCAAGCATTCCCGCAGATTCCTTTACCCATGGTGTAAGAAATCAATCTGTGGGTCCTGTTGCGTAAGTTCAAAATCAAGAAGGACCATGCAAAATCAATCAATCAATCAATCAATCAATCAATCAATCAATCAATCAATCAATCCATCCATCCATCCATCCATACATCCATACATCCATCAATCAATCAATCAATCAATCTGTGGGTCCTGTTGGCAAAATCCGTTCAGCCGGCAAAGTTCAAATCAAGAAGGACCATGCGAGTTGGCAAAATCCCGTGCCGGATGTCATGTTCACAACTGCTTTTTTTCCAGAAAAACGAGATCGAAGCCTGTAAAACCCATGTGGCCCTGGCTTTCCCGGCTCCGAATGGCACTTTTCTGATTTGACCTGTTGCCTTGTTCTGGCCAAAAAAAAATTGCCTGCTGGAAAACCAACATGAGTACAGCACTCAAAATAGAAGACGTACCTAGTGTCCGCCTTCAAAGCACAACGCCTCTGTTGATTCCCTTCCGATGGCCCGGAATAGGCACATCGAAAGCACTGAGCAAGGTGCACTGGTGGCACAAGCAAGACGTAACGTCATGTTCTTCCAATTCAAACTGCCTAGACGTTGATTGCAGGTTGACGAGCCGCCTACTATAGACCCCAATAGCCCAAATCTCGGAAAGCCAATATTTATCAATCCCCCGCTAAAGTTTGCTTGGACAAGGTTTGGTGGAAGGATTAGCATAGGCTATTGTTAGGAACGATGTGCCAGATGTATTAGAGGGCAAACATCTTCTCGATGTAGATATGTTTTACTTATATATATATATATATTGCGGGAACAAAGTATCAGTTGTTTATCCCATATTTGAACTGCTTCTAGCAAGTTCACAAGTTGCTTATGATGTTCCGATCTGTGAGCTTCTGGAGCATCATATTTTAGAGGGGCTATGCTCTTGGATCTTATACTCCATTTGACTTATTTTTTCTATAGTTGGGTAACTATTCGAAGAATGGGTCCAAATACCCATTTTGGTTACGATCACGCCCCCGAGCCTGCCGATTGGTTCAACTATATTCTGGTATGTTTGGTGCTATGTGTTCTTGTGGCGTATGGTATTTCATGTAGTAACCCCCACACTTCATAAAAGTCTGATGATGATAATATGTCAAACAGGAAGAAGTTCCAACCAACCTTCGCTGGAATTCCCCTCATTGCCATAGAGGAGACGCCCGAGAAAAGTCCGCGCAGGCGCGCCGAATTATCTCAGTGACTAATGGCCCCACCAAAGTTCACAATCACAGAAATCTGGCTGAACTATAATGTTTCACCAGCCTGAAATATGGTGGTTTGGGGGCTATTCCCCACATACACCATTTGGGGTGAGGCCGTGTGAGGTCGTTATAATTCACCCAAATATATGAAGATTGTATTGGAAGAACATGAGGCGGTAGCTCGGTCTTTGCTGCTCCAAGAAAGCTAGCGACATTCCTCCTGTGCTTATCAGATGACCCTGTTCGCCCAGTGTGACTGCCTTCTTTCATGCCAGTCCAGGTGCATGTTTAGCCTAACACCTTTGGCCCCGCAAGAATTGCATGCGGCATTCCTCAGCGACACGTGCTCTGGCATTTGAATGGTTCCAACCAACATCAACAAACGCAGTGTGTGTGTATGTGTGTGTCTCTCAAAGAGACAGAAGTGGCCGGCATGCTCTGTGCGACTTGGTGCTGCCGCTCAAATGGGAGCAATCAGAGTAATAATGTGGGCAAGAATAGTTTCTGGCCTAACTTAGCTCAAGTGACCATTAATTTTCTGTGACTCCACACCAATGGGAAATTGGACAAAGCGTAAGCTGCTTGCTCTCGCCAAGCAAACTCAAAGCCATCTCGAAGCGAAGCAACTCAATAAGTTACCAACCAATAAGTCGGATATCCTTTTCGTTTTCCCATTTTGGCGTTAGGGACATCACAAAGATCACTGCCATTTTCGGGGGCCCTCAGAAAAAAGGACGCCCCTTTCAGACATCATAAAGAAAACAATCCAGGATCCTTGAGACACGCCCAATTACCTCTAGATGATTTCCAGGTGGACTTGCCACCTGAAGCCCTCGTGGTACCAACGTGGCTAGAAGGGTCATAGGTGTGTCTGTCTTTTGCAGGGACCTCGCAAATTCGTGTTTTCTTTTGGATTTCCTTTACAATCACACAACAACGTGGGGGGGCACCAATGCACACAAAGCGAAACTAATATACACATGACTATAAAATAGCCCCCATGAAACCAAGTAGGTTTCACCTTAAATGGCCAATGAGTCCTTGGGTTGCGCTGCTATATACCGCTGGCACCACTTTGAGGGGGTGCGACACTAGGAATTTGAAGTGCAGGCCTTGGAGCAATCCCCCAAAGTCAAAATCAAAATCGTACTGTGAGTGAACATTTAAAATCCCTACTAAAATAGACTAAAATGGGTGGTGCACCTACCATTGATTTTGACCCACAGCCAAACCAGCAATCGGACTCCATAATCGGACTCCATGGCAATCACTTATCTAATTCGTGACCCTGTTTTGGGGCGTCCCCAAATGAGGTGGCACCAAAATCTGCGCAAAATCTAATTGGTTCACTCCCGATCTGTCACCATATTCTTCGGTACCCCAAGCGAAAATGCCGGGTTGCCCCGCCAAAATAGTTGCCGAGCCGTGCGCCGAGTGGGTGGACAATTCCCACTGCCTCTTCTGGGGGGGGCTGACTTTTTTTGCTTGGGGAAGCCATCAAACAAAAGGCTACGCCCAGAAACACAAGACCACATTTTCCGCTGAGCACAATTCCACCAAGAAATGGCTTCCTGCCGACAAAACATGCAACCAAGAAATGAATTCCACCCTTGCCACCAAGAACAGGCTATCACCTTTTCTGCGAATCCTTCCCGACCCTAAACAAAGCTCCAGAGCACGCTTCCCAACAAAAATGCAAAGGCAGGGTTTCCCGAAGGAAACAACCTTTACACACTTTGCGTGATTCTAAAATATTGAGACCTTCCATTTTGTTTTTGTTTTCTCTCTTCCCTCTAAAACCCCATCGAAAAGGGCACCTTCCTCAAAAAGTTAAGGAACCACAGGGTTGTTTTCTGCTCCCCTGCAAGTTTAACTTTTAGCGGTTTAATACGGAAAACCCATTTGACAAACAATTAAAGTCCTAACATCCCTTGGCAAAATGCAGCCCACAGTCCTGTTTCCTGTTTCTCGGGAAGCGATTTGCGCCTCTTCTTCAGGCTGCCTCTCAGCCTCGACAGGTCCTGGCGGTCGGCTTCCAGCTGCTGACGCTCCGCGTCCAGTCTGCGCTGCTCCGCCTCCACGGCCTCCGTCCGACTCAATTCGACACACGCAATGCCAAAGAGGGGTCGGTATTTTCCGGTTGTAAGTATGACTTTAGTATGGCTTTAGTATGTGTGGTTTGTCAAATAGGCCATCTGAAAAAGAACAACTAGCTTGCGTTGGCTTCCTCCTGGCAACATCAACAGTTCTGGTCGCTCATCAGCACCCAGCATTTTGGAAGCATGTGTTGGGCTATTAGGTTCCATGTTTGCTTTGGGGCATACTGCTCCGCAGCCCAAAGAGACAACTCAAAGGGTTGGCTGAAGAATTTCAAGGCTAGGTTTACGTAGCACGCGCGTTTCCTGGGCAAAAACCTGACGGCCTATGATGTTCTCTCGCTCGAACCTTGGCCCACATCTGGGGTACAGAGAAAATGACGCTGTTCCATATATATAGTCCAAACTCAAATACCATGGGTGTGTATATTTCTTCGGGGGGGGGGGGGGCTATAAATGGTGGGTATCCTTTTGATTTCCTTTTAGAACCACAAAACAAGGAACCAACCCGCGGAAAAACAAACCCAAATTGCCTTGGAGGCAGAAACCTCTGCAGCACCTTTCAATGGATGTCGGAACAACTGACGGTCATTGGACAGTTTGTTTCAACCTGGCGTCCTGAAGTTATGAATTTGGAAGAGAGTTCTGTTGGAAGGATGGTATTTCATACATTGGAAACCAACAGCAAACCAAACACTTGTGTTTCTTGTAGGCGCCAAAATTTGAGAAGCCCCCTTCAGGAGGCAGTTTCAAGAACAAACAAACAAACAAACAAACAAACAAACTAACTAACAAACAAACAAACAAACAAACTAACAAACAAACAAACAAACAAACAACGAGGAACCCTACACATGGAATATCGCCATCTCTGCGATGCCAATCAAAACCGAATTCTGTTCACTCTGGGGGCTGGATGTCCATAATGTTGGCACCCGATTGGTAATGGGATAGTGGACAGTTCAAAGTTGTTTTCCTTACTGTGGTTCATCCCCCACCCAAACAATCACCCACAATCCATTTTGACTCCATGTTGGTTGCTCAAACACAAAACCCAAACCCAGCTGAAACCTCCGAAATTTGACAACCATCCCCCGCCTGAAACTGTAAATTCCTTATGAAACCGTGTAGAAAAAAAGAGGACAAGGGTATCCATCACAGAACCCACTGAACCACAACAATGGCACTGTTTAAGGGGACCACGTTAGTTGCAAGCCCCCAGCCCCCCCCAGAAAATAAACTGTCAGTTGCTTGCTCAAAAAAATCCCCGTTTCATTGGTGGCCCACGTACTTAAAAGCATTCCCCTTTCAATTGGTGGCCCCCTGGCTTAAAAGCACTCCCCTTTGTAATTGGCTGCTCAAACACAAAAAGCCTGCTCAGGAAGAAGCGGTTGCAATACTAAAGTAGTATTCCAAAAAGTCTGCCCAGGAAGAAGTGGTTGCAATACTAAAGTGGTAGTCCAAAAAGTCTGCTCAGGAAGAAGTGGCTGCAATACTAGAGTAGAATTGGGCCCCAAGATCCATTGTTTGGATGTCCCACAAGTGCGCAGACACAACTGTAGCGCCGCCATTGTTGAGGGGGAGTTTACTGATCAAGTCTCCAACATTACCAACGCAACCCTCGCGCGCAGGAAGCCAGCACGCAAGGAGCCGCTCAACTAAGAACCCTTCACGGGGCAGCACGCGTGACCCTTTACAGGGGCGTATGCTCCAGCACCCCAACTTGCCAAATCGCACACACATGTGACTACTGCTAAACCTAAACCTACTAAATAGCGTCTGCGAAAACTTGAGCAAAAACAGTTGCAAAGAAAAACGCATGGCAGTTGACCAATGTTCCTCTTCCTGGAAATTTCATGCCCAGAAACGTCTGGGCGTTTTGGGTGCTGGGGGCGATTGTAAAAAAAGGTGGGCGTTCTGGCAACAACCGCTGGAAAACAGCCGTCGTCTAAGGTGACGCCGGCATGTTGAGCCAACAAAATCTGATATCAAATCAATACCGTCCCTTTGCAATGCCTGGCATATCCTTTTGCACCATTCCCAGCACAGGCAGGGAATCAAGGATGCAATCAAAGGTGCTGCACATCTCCCAGTCTACAAAGAGTGGGGTCTGCAAATATGTTTGTGCACAGGCATACCTCCAAGAACCCAACGCGGATCTTTCGGGAAGAGAACGAACACAACAAGAACTATTTTGCGAACTCCACGTCAATTCGCGGAGGGATACACCAACACTAATGGGTTACCAAATATATAACTCCTTGCAAGGACCGTTTGATCAACGCGCACGTGTCAATCCACATCAAATCTGCAAATGTCCAGCTCTTTGGGCGCCAGCCTTGCCAAACAGCAACTATCCCAACCCCTAGTGTGCTAGCAAAACAATATGCTCTTTGCCACCCCAAGTCACGCGCACACACACAATTAACTTGACAAGGATACAACAACTCAACACGACCTGCACGGGATGTTGCTTTCAAAGCACCCCAACCAAGAAGTTTACCCTAGCGAATCTTTGGGGCACCTTTTCTTTTCAAGCAACAGGAGGTCAGAAGCCATTTGTTTGGAAAGCAACAGGATAATTACGTGTCACAATTGTGGAGTGCCCAACAAAAGGTATCGAGGTCCTCCAGTAGAGAGCTTAGAACAAGGGTACCCTTTTTTCTCTAGTCTGTTTTAGTAGGGTCCCGAACCCTCCCAACAACAAAAGGGTGAGAAAGGGCACTGCGGGACCTAGGTATTGTTTTTTTGGTGGCCGTTTCACCCCTGACATCCGTAGCCTCAAAAACCCGAAAAAAACGACGTCTGGCGAAGCCAAGGAGCCTGGGACTCGGCGTGGAGTTTCTCATCCAGCTGCTCCTGACACGCACTCGAGGCGTTGTTTGATTTCGGGACACCGGAACCGCAAGCAAACGGCAAACCCACAAACCAACAAGGCAAACAACAAAGCAAACCAGCAAACTAACCAAAGCAAACCAACAAACCAACACAGCAAACCAACCAGCCATGGATAATACCATAGATAACAACAACCAACAACCATGGATCAACAACAAGGCAAACTCAAGCAGCCATGTGGGCAACCTTATTTAATTGACTTGCCAGAGCTCAAATGGTGGGCTCTCAAAATTGTGGAACATGTAGAACCCGTTTAGCTTGTAGACCTTTCTTAGCTCGTTGCTCAAGGGAAACCGAAATGAATTACGCCGTTTGTTGGGGGTCCCCTATTTGGAGAACACACCCACCCTGGTGACTTGTGAGAAAGCTGTACAAATGAGTCATAAGTGAAACCCAACCAGCATGTCTGGGCCAAGCAGTGAAAGATGCCGAGGAAAAGCAGGATCGAACCATAAGGCAGGTCTAAACTGACTACAACGTAGATGAGTGAAAAACATATAGAACAAATTAGAGACAATTGTGAATAAAATGCTTGACGGGAAGCTGCCACAAAAACAAAGTGAATGAAAGCAAGAAGGACATCGCCCTTGACTGCCACCCCTCTGCTCAGGAGTGTGTCTCTTCTATGTGCCTTAAGCAACGAACAACATACTCATACGAGTCAAACCCATGCCAAACTAAGCGGCCAAACATCTCAATAGGAAGTCTAGATGGCTGATGGGTCCCGACCGCCCGCAATGGGCAATGGCTGGAAAAAACTTCAAACATCGTTGCACGTTCTTTGGAGCAAACACTTGAGGGAACTTGACCGTTGCAGAAGAATGTGTCAAACCGAATCATTTGTCGAGCCCGGATTAATCAACTTGCCCGCGGCGTGCTTCTGAAAGTGAGGGCCGTCCCTCTTCACTGCTCCTTGTTCCCAGAAGTTCCCAAAAGGGTCACCTAAGGCCCTAGCTTCAAGGGAGGTCGAACATGAACGCGAGTTTTCTGAGAGCGGTGGCTCTGTTTTGAGAGTTGTTTCCTCAAACGAGGACCCTCCTGTATGGTGAGTTTCATGTCAAAGCATCCACAGGGCCTACTCTTTCGATGCACCCTTCTGTCTAATTGCATGGAGTTTGGCCTAACCCCTCCTTCAAAGCGGCACGAAAGGTGCCAAGGTCCCGAACAGAGCCCTAATGCCGCGATAAGTTGGGAGGCAAGCCACGGTCAGAATATGTTGTTGCCCAAAAGGGAATAACAAGTTATAAGAGGACTTGTCGATGAAATCAGGTATATATAAACGTCGATATTATATAATGTATACGTAACGTTATCTATAATACATAACATTAGTGCCTTTCATGGCCGCAACTCCAGTGGTTCCTTGCTCAAAGCGACTTGCATCTTTCTTTTTGATCTAAGTTCCCATCCAACCAGCTGACGTCCAGGCACGGCCCTTACGTTTAGGCGAAGTGAGAAAATGGAGGAACCTCGGAGCTCACCTCAGTGAGAAGATGTTCAGCGATCGCTTCACATGTATCAAAACGATGGGCACTAACATGGTCAATTAAGAATGTGAAGAACTAAGGTGGCGGCATCCATTCATCGGGTTTTGATTGCGGCTCCTTTGATTCATATCCCGATGGAATCGTTTTGGAGACCGGACCCTTGATTCTCCGCGAGCGGATCAACCTGGGCTCCATAAAATATGCCAAGCATGGCCCAAGGGAACTGGCTCAAACGGTGATTGATGTGTGAACCAACATGTGAGCCACGGATGAAATTCTCAGCTTCTTCCTTATGGGACAATTGGGGCGGCCACTTGGTGTTGTCCCCCCTCGCCCTCCCGACACTGAACAAGTAAACCCATCAGTTGATCCTGTGATCACCCCTGTCAAAGCAACAATTCCTGAGAACCTTCATCAAAAAGGGACCTTAGGACGGCTGTCTGGCTTGTGTCCCCAGGCTTCTGTGGGAGCTATGTTTGAGTCCATTGCAAGTTCCAAGCACTGACACTCATAGCCATATGACATGTTTTTGACAATCCTTCCGTGTGTCTCTGAATAAGGGAGTCCTCCCCACAACATGGGTGTGTTATTTTACAATTTCCTGAGTGGGTGGCTCTCCCCCCCAAGGTTTACTTTAACATTCCCCAAATGGGTGGCTTCTCCCCCACCAAATACGTACTTAACTCAATAAACACACAACTAAAAACGTACAAACACCTACCAAAAATACCAAAACAACACATACATGGGTTTTACTTTGTTCCCAAAACAGGGGCTGGCTTCGGCACGAGTCGCCTTGTACTTCAGCACCTCCTGGCGGTACTTCACCACTTTGCGCTCCTGGCCCCGGCGCTCCCACAGCAGACCTCAGGCGTCGCGAGATGTCGCGAGCGGTCTCGAGCGCGCGCTCGACGTGGCCGGGGGTTTTTGGTCCAGTAGTTCGAACTCGCGGCGGTGACCGAAAGTCTTCCGAGTGGCTGTGGTGGTAAATTGTAATGGAAACATGGACGATTTAACCTGCGGTCCAATTCCTGGTGGTTTAACTTTGACCCAGACCCAGGCCATTTTCAGTACCCTGGGATTTTACTCTCTAGCATTGGTCAAGGGATGCAAGCTGCTGCGAAACGTTAACCCAGGCTTACTTGACTGCTTGACTGACCTACTCACAACCATTTAGTTGTTTAAGCCACCTGACAGGCGTCCCCCACCCCCTCCCTCCGGCCCCAGACCGCTTTCGTTCCTTGCATCCTCGGCGCTTCGGTGGTCCTCCAGGAAGCCTCGCAGGTGGTCCAGGCGCTGCAACAGCCTCCCGCAGCCCATGCTGCGGAACAATCCTTGGACCTCCTCCCAGCTCGGCTCAGCGTCCGCAGGGCCCACAAGGCCCTCCTGAGCCTCCAGCCGGATGGGCGCATCGTCGTGGCGATTCTATGTGTGTTGTTTGACTTTGTGTGTATGTGCGCTAATATGTTTGTGTATATCTTGAGACTTTCGTAAGGTTGGTCCAAACAGGAAACCAAAAGAACAACAACCATTTAGGGGGTCTCCCTCCATGTTGACACTTCCCGTACGAGCAAAAACGCGGCTCGGAAAACGCCCGAACCAACCGCTTTAGCAAGGGTTGCTAAAGGGGGAGCTCGGGACTGCGTGAATCACTGTTTTTGAGCGCTAATTTGCATCTCTGCTCTTGTATGGTTTTCCTGGTACACAAGTGGACGGTAATGTGCAGCGGCTTCAAATGACAAGACGCATGACCACAAACTAAATTGAGCATTCATAAGTCTGGGGCGGCAAAGGTCTTGATTTGTTGATGCTCCTGGCTTGCCAGAGCTTGTCATTTCTTGACATTTATTTGCCCTTCCAAATGCTGAGAACTACGACTTTGCAGATCGCATGTCGCATCTGGGGAATTTTTGTCGCATGGGCCATGTGATCCAAAACTGTTGACGTTTCGTTAGACCTATTTGAAGCAAACTAACCGGCATGCCCATTGTGGGCGCCCTGTACGACACACCCGTTTCATGGTCAGCAACCATTGTGCCTGGCGAAAGTGGACGAGCCTCGTCCAAACGTGGGAACGCTTAAATCCGGTCGTCTCTATGTGGGGCACTAAACGAAAAAGGCTCAGGCTGAAATCCAATAGGCTGAAAGGATGCAACGGAATCCTTTGAAACTTTCAGGATGAAGCCTGAGCTGAAACGAGACGCATTCTCGACTGAGTTGTAAGGTTCAGAAAGCCTCCGCCAGATGCACATTGGTCAAGAGTCCGGTTGTGGCAAGCTTGTCAGCCTGGCTTCCGGGCCTGGCTGTCAGGAATGGCCCCTTGGAACTTCGGCCCACTTTCAAGGGGGGGCCATCCATAGCTGAATCCGAACAAGTGGTTTCACTTCCGGAAACATCCGGGGAGCGAGTTTCAGATGCCTCAAGATATGGACGCCCCTTTAGAGAGTGCTCGATACTCCCGTGAAGAGAACCCAGTCCTTCCATCTGCTGCCGGAAATAACTAGTGAGCAGCAAGGACTAAGCCCCAGACCCCCAGTGGCCATGGGAAAAGAAGAGTCGGCACCCTTTAGCTTATTCACAAGGGACGCGCTCCAAAACGAAGTGCCAAGAAAAAAGGCAAAGGTCTCGACAAATCGCTAGGTCCTCCAGTAGAGAGGCTAGAATAAGGGTGCCAACTTTCTTCTGGAGTCTATTTTAGTCGGGGAACCCTCCCCCAAAAAAGAGGCACTACTGGGGGACCTAGAATCGCATCCCGCCTGTGTCATATCGGCCCAAAAGAACCAACGCCACTTCAAGAAGAAGACGAGTGGCAGCTTCGGAGGTTTCAGGCTCCTTCATGCGCGGAGAGAAAGCCGCGGATGGCACAACCCGATTCTCAACCTAAGACCAGGTCGGTATGCGGGCGTATATATATGTGTGCAAATATACAGACGGATTCAGATTCTGCACATGTGTAGTGGGTCGCGACCTGCCTTTCGCAAATCCCAATCTGAAGGGCAACCTTGCTCAAGTCGTGTGTGTGGGTTGTCCACTGCTACATGCCCCACTTCTGGATATGGACAAACCACAATGGACATACTTCGCCGATGCTTCAAGTAAACTTTACGATGGCTCGCAGCGCGTTCGCATTGAACTTAGGTCACTGCACGAGATTCCCTGTGAGGGCCAATGAGAAACACCTCCCTCGATGGCTTTTCATGTCGCTCGCTGCAGCTGGAGCCGGGGAGAGCGGGTCGACATGAGAGCTCTGCCAAATGATCACTGGTGTGAGTGTGTGTGTTCGGTTTCTGGACGAGTCTGGAAACCATCCAGCGGATGCCAACTGCTGGACACCCCAACCCTCAATCTTCGCTCTTTTTGTCCGACCTCTCTGCGTTTCGGTCGCATGCAAAGACTGGTGACACGTGACACGATGGAGACCACACGGCGCCATCACTGCGGTGGGTTCACATGCTCAGTGACCTCAGCGACGGAGGGGACCCGGTCCCCAAATCCAGTGAGTGCAACTAGAAATGGAGATCTACAGCTGCCACACCCTTGCCAGCCCCTGCCAGCCCACCCAGATTCCATTGTTGAGGGTAGGGGTACCACAAAGCCGTCTGGCTTTCCTTTGGATCAAAGCATATTACCTGTGCAGATCTGGAAAACAGGGTAACAAACGATTTATAACCTCTCCCGGGCCCCCAGTGGCCCTGGAAGAAAGAAGCCGCACTGAGTCTTTAGCGGACAAAGACATCCACCCACGCCATGTTCCTTCTTGTTACACAAGCAGACCACTGGTGTCTGGGTTCCAAACTGCGACATCTCGCTGTCTCCAATTCAAATATCATTTTTGGAGCTTCCCACTAAGTTCTCTGTGCTCGTTGACCTTGTAACCCAACTCTCAACTCCACTTGGGCTCCGTGTTTATATGCTTTGTTTGTTTAGGTTCCATGTTGCGCCAAGTGTTTTGTGCTCAGCAAGAACGGCTGCTCCAAAGGGAACTCTTCAGCTCTGCGAAGAGTTGCTACAATCACATTGACTTTCATGTTCCTTTCTGACCAGGGACACTGGCTATATGTGTTGGAGCAATCTATCAGCGAAACGTCGTCGGCAGAAACCATGATAGCCTTCGGCTCCTCAAAGCAAAACAAGCAGCCTGAACACAGATTTGTTGCCCACATCCCAGCCTATTCCGGGGTTGTGAGACCTGATCAGTCATCTTATAGCACCGCTAGGCCTTGCCACAAACAAACATACACGTAGTGGCAAGCATGCCATTCAATTCCCTATATAAGCATTGGTTTTCTGCAAAGCCGAATACGCTTCCGAAAGTTGACATAAGGGTTGCGCGTCTAAAGTCCCCTTTTCATCGGAAGCTCTTGCAAAGCCCATGATCTCGTCACCACATAAGAGAATATTCAATGATCCGACGACATTATCTCGGTTACTTTCTGCTCCCCTGCTAAAAGTTTAACTTTTAGTGGTTTAGTAGAAAACCCATTAGTTGGCAAAAAGTTAAAGTCCTAACAGCCAAGCAAAATGCACCAAAGTTATAAGGGGCCCAACTTGAATCCAGGCCCGAGGCCCTTTTGTAGGTCTCGTCCAGCGCGCCGCGCGCGGCCTGCCAAGTTGCCATACCCGCCATGGCCTCAACAAAACCAACTGTAGCATAATATTAAGTGCTGCCAGGGGCAAAAAAAAGAGGATGTTGTCTCACCACACCCTGTTCAGCGGAGCCAACACAAATCAGAACATCTATAACCAATGCGGGTTACGTAAAATGGAAAACCCTGTGGTGTACATCATTTGTTTGTTTTGCGTCCACCAACCATATTTGAAAACATTCCCTATTTAAACTCACGGCCACATGAACTGAACGGTAGTGAAATGGCATGGATTGGAGCCACTGATGGTTCCACCCTCATATGGCAACAGTTTCTGAGGTGAAGGGTCGCGTCGCTTTGCACACAAGCGTATGCATAGGAACACGAATGCAGCATACTATGAATCACGTGCCCAATGTATACACAATACCAGTTTTAATCAGAGAAACCAGAATCCCATACAAATTCCAAAAGTAACCAACAGCAAGAGGGTGCCTAATCCTGGACTTTGCTGCAATCTGCATATGCTGAAGGAACACAATGCAAATGGGGCCATCCAGTGTCGGACAGTTCTGGCAAGGCCCGTGGGATTGAGCAGACCAAGTTTCATCCTAAGGTGAGTGAGGGAGTTGAGCAAAACAAACACAGCACCCCCCCCCCAGTTCTAAATGCGGTAAATGGAAACAAGCCCCCTTGCAACGTGCCAAGGGCAACATGTTAACATGGGTATGTGTCAAAAGGGGATTCGTAACCAAAAAACACACACATGAAGGAACCCTTCTGGGATGGTAAAGAGAAACAAAAGGAACCACCTGGAATCTTCCCTACTAATTTTGAGAAGCACCCCAAGACCCATTTGAGCTATCTTCACCCGTATGTTCACTCAAAAAAAAGGAATACCACGCCACAAACAAAGCAAGAAACACCCCATCTGTTCACAAGTTCAAACAAGGGGTGAGTCCTTTGGTCTTCCCTTAAACCCCCCCCTTTTTGGGGGTCTAAGACACACGAACAAAACCGTTCACCCGGTCGATCGGTGCTCCAGACCCCAAAAACCCACCCCGTCCTCGGAGAACCTCTTATTCTCTTGGGCGATGCGGCGCTGGATCACCTGGAAAAGAGCGAGGCGCATCGCCGGATCAGCGCGCCGGAGCTTGTGCTGCAAAACCAGCACTTACTTTAAATGAAGTATCAACACCTACAACACAAACAAAAGCAATGGGAACAACACAAGCAAGTGCTACAACAAAGGCCATGGGTACAACAGAAGCAACATCAACAACAAGTGGTTCATTAACATGTAAAGTAGATTCGGATTCATTCACCTTTCAGCAACCGTAGCCTTCAACGAATCCTTAAACATCATATCGAATCAAGCAAACAAGGGGATTGAATCCCCATCATTTTCAGAAACACACATTTAGAATCCGGAAAGAAACCCGTTGCCATTTCAGGCCATTACTATTTTCAGAAACTTCTAAATGAATTTCCTCGTCTGCATTGGCTTATCCTACCCGTACCCCAAATGGCTCTGCATGTGCCTGTCTCTGGTTGATGTACGTGCATGTGTAAGTACATAGAGGTGTGTGTGTGTGTGTGTCTCTTTCTTTCTTTCTCTCTCTCTCTCTCTCTGCGAGCGAGCTCAAGAATGTACACCTACGTGTACGTCTATGTCTATGTTTGCGATGGTCGCAAAAAAAAGGGACTCCCTGACTCCTCGGCTTTTCTGGCAAGAGGCCGATCGGCCTCTGAACCAAACCGGGACGAGGAAGCCAAAAGCTCCCAACCCCCCCGGAGGATTTCTGAAAGCTACGGGATCGAGAGGTCTGCAAGGATTGATTTGTTGGCTGGGGCTCAACGGTTTGAAGCTCATGCCTGACATCCTTTCTGTTTACACATCCAAGTACCAATCATACTACAAAATCGTACACATATCACTTATAGGCGTTCTTTTTCCCACTTGCGATGTTTACATCTGCAAAAGGAAACTCCCATGGCTCACGCAATGCCGGGCCTCTTGCGCTGCCCTCCCAAAGCTATTGCACAACCCTAAAGCTTCCAAACCCACCCATTCCATAGAAGCACAGACAACAAAACACGATAACTACCAACCCCAACAAAATGCCGCAGACATCCCCTGCAAACCGCCCACTCATCTCTTTACAACTTCTGTGATACGGAAGTGGGATTCCCGTCTCACTTCAGGGGATTCACCGCGGCAACCTAAACACAAGACACCCATAGGAACTCCGCTTTCCATTCCCAGGCTTTTGCATCCATTTTCAATCTTTTTCCGCTTTGTCTACGAGAGCACCGCCAAAACCTTTGGCTTCCCAGTTTCCGAACGGTTCGTTTGCCGTAAACCAAAACCAACAATTTCGCACTTGGCAAACAGGACCCCCCCCCCCCCAATGTGACCCCATGCTTCCCCCCCAAAACGAACCGTTCGACGGCCCGCTCTAAAGCCGCCTCTCTCTGCACGTGCGGCAGGTTGAAGGTATGCACCAGCTCCCGGACCACCACTTCAGGCTCCTGGCACTTCGGGAGATGCAAATCCCGCATGGGTTTGCGTTGGAACCAATTTGTTGGACGATCAGAAAACTTGCTCTGTAAGTCCAAAGCACAAAACCGGGGATCCCTAAGGAAGGGACCTACATCACTGGGAGCTTTGCAGTGAGTGGTCTTTCCATATTTCTCCCGTTCAAACATCGCCCTGTTAAATTCAAGGCGATGTAAGAAAGGACGAAATTCGGATCCCGACTCCCGAATCGTGATTTCCCTTTCAGAGCGCTGTCAGCCCCCAAACATCAGCCCACTGAACTGCAAACAGCCCACTTTTCCAAGAAGACACGCCAAACAACTTGGCCCAAACGACGGTTTAGAAACCTCCTGGCAGCTCTGACTCTTGTGGCAAAAACTTCAGGTGAATTGAGAGTCCAAAGAAATTCAACAAGCGTCCATCCGCTGTGGCTTCGTTGACTGGTCAAATACGGGCCACGCAGCCAATACGCTCCTTGGCTGCTGCTGATCCCTCTGCAAAAAGTTTAACTTGTTGTGGGTTTAGTGAAAAACCTCTTGATGTCCCAAAAAAGTTTAAGTCTAAAGATCCAACCCAATAGGAGCGAAGGCTCAAAGCACCTTCCTCTTCAAGCCCTTGTTCTTGAACTTCCGGACGCGCGCACAACTCTTGGGTCTTGTGCACAGTCGAAACCTGTTTAGCCTCTTTCAGCGGCTCAGACTTCTTCGTTGAGGCTCGTTCCACTTGTGGATCACCACACATCGGTCCACGGTCAATGAGTTGTCCATTGCGAGAAACACGCGGCGCGGGCACGGTTTCCTGAGGCGCAGTTGCTTTCAATCCCTGTGTAGGAAACCACTACAAAGGGATCCAATGACAATATCTTTCCTACCAAAAGGATGGATTGAGGATTGAAACAGTCCAGCCAACAACCGTCAAGAAAAAGAGGGAACGCATCATCGCCCTTCAAATCAGGAGGGGAACATACAAGAAACACCACCAGGGAAAATGAAGGCGTGCAGCAAAGCACACACACACACGCATCAAACACTCGAAAAACCAAAGCCGACGGAAGGAACTCACCTTTCCGGGCATGGAATGAAGACATTATATCTTCGAAAGTATATCAGCGTCCGTCGAAGAAATAGGTGGTCTGGGGTAAGGACATCTGAAGTTGGTGTCCCTGTTTTTGTTCGTGGTTTCGCTTCACCCCTGCACAGGTGATGTCCCACCGTCTACATCTATAGTGTATTCTGAAGAAACCTCAAAATATGTAGCAGCCTTCCAAATGGTTGTTGGACACAAATGAATATGATGTTTACTACAGTATCGCTTCTTCAAACATCCCCACAGCCCCAGTGAAACGCCAGATGCGCGTAAGTAATTGATTCCTAACCGAATGAAAGCTCGTTCCCTTGGTTGCAGTTGACCCCTCTGCACAAGTGCTTTTACTTGCGGGTCCAGTGGAAAAAACTCCGACTCCCAGCTGTGCCAACCAAGAAGTTAAAGTCTAAAGATCCGGTACTCTTGGTGGGTCCAATGGAAACTCCCAACTGTTTCAACCAAAAAGCTAACGTCCTAAGATCTGTCACCAAATAGCCATAAACTTCCGCGGGTCCAATGGAAAATCCGAATATCAAGGATTCCAAGCTGGAAAATCCAGTGGAAAATCCCAGCTGCTTCAACCCAAAAAAAACACCAGGTTCTAAGATCCGGTTGGGTCCGGCCGTAAACTTCCTGAGTCCAATGGAAACTCCAATGGAACAAACAAATCCAGGCTGATAACAAGTTCATGTGTCAACCCCTCCCGTCCAGTGGCCCAGTTCCAAGCTAAGGCCCAAAGATCTCCCATCCGTTCCCACGCGACCGAAGAGACCGAAGCGGAGCTCGAGGAGCTGGGAGCTCCTGGGCCGAAGCCTCGAGCTTGTCCACCACCTGGTTGATGTACTGCGCCTGGGAAGGTTCGCCCGGGTCTGTGCGACCACTCGAAGGTGGACACCTTTTTGCTGGGACGTACACTCCAAACAATTAGGCAGAAACCAAACAAAATAAAGCATGAGAGGTCAAAAGGCCATCCACTCGAATGTACTTGATATTAAGTGAAAAAACAAAACAACATGTCAAGAAAATTGGACCTTCATGTCCATGGCCTGGACGTCAAAGCGTTGCAATAGGTGCATCGCCTTTCTTGTAGCAGGGCTTTGGTAAAAAGCCACCAACGGCGCGGGTTACCCATAGCGATATGACCAGTCGATGCGAATCCTTGACCACTTTGAATAGCCCAGGAAACGGTTGGCACTCTTCTTCGCCGTAGTTTTCACTTGAAACAAACTGAACACCGTCATCGGAGGTGCCCCCAAAGCCACACCCATTGATATGTGAAATAGGGTTCCATTTGGAGAGCCATTGACAACCTAAATTGGCAACCCTTTTCACACATATGACCGATGAACAGGACACCACCTGACTCCCCACTTTTGTCCCCAAGGTGTCGCGCCTTGAGCCGGGCCTCTGTAAGAGCCCTGGACTGCGCCGCCTGCGGAATGGGCTTTGGGGTTCGGGGGGAAAGGGGCGGAAAGGGGGAGGGGGGGTGGACTGGAGATATGGCTGTGGGTCAAAACCCAGGAAACCCCTGGTGAACATCAAAATAGGTGGTACATGGGTATTCATCCTCCCCAAAATGAAGGCATAGGTCATGACCCATGGCCATAGATGGAAAAGGTTAGGCAACGTAGTCCCTCTTGTATCCCTCTGAACAGATCCGAGTGCCTCCCCGGGTGTCATGGCCCATGGGTCAAAGTGTCCGCTGTTGGGTCAAAGTTGTCTGTGCGGCCAAAGCCACTTTTTGTTTGGTCCAAACAATGTTGTTTGGTCAACCACTATGTTTCTTGGTCAAAGCTAGTGTTATTTGGTCGAAGTTTGTGCTGTTTGTTATCCACAGTTATTCTTGTTTCTTGGAGGGAATCGGGCGTATAAGTCTCGAAGAACATGAGAAGGGTGAAAGAGTGGGGAGCTTTGGAAAACAGTGGCGCTGGGGGAAGAAAAGGAGACGGCATTCTTTAAATAGCTGCGGCTCCAGCTGGAAAAGAGGTGGCAACATCTCACCACCTTAACCTAGTTTGGGCTGGAGTGTCTCAGTCGGTTTCGGGCTGGACAGGCTATTTGGGCCCCAACCGTACTAACACATGCGGGAGGTTCAAAGTTGCCAACACCATGACGTGTTGCAGTTCAGCCCAGCTCCCAACAAAAATGCGGTGGGCCACCGTGCCGCCGAACAACGCCAACAAAATACAGGGGTTTGGTGAATTCCTCCAGCGGGAATTCTTCGGATTGAGGATTGGACCATGTGGCGCTCGCCCCAGAAACACTGAACGTACACGTTGCAGGCCGGCCTCCTCCACCGTGTTGGTGAGCACTTCCTGCGTGAAACAAACGGTCTAAGAGCTCAGTAGTTGGACGAGATCGGTGGATTGGTGATTCTGCGCCTGTGATTTGGTGGTTTGATGGTCGGGTGGTTAGGTGCTATGGCAGTGGCTGCGTGTGCCAGTTCAGAACTGAGCATGCCCAACGCAGCCGCGCTCGTGGTCGTGCTTCTGAGGGCCGATTGCTTCCCTTGTTTGGACGCATGGATCCACAACTGCCAGACCTGGCACAATAAGTCACCCCGAATATGAGTGGAAACCCTCACAAGCAAGGAACCAAGTTGCCATGAGCAGGTTGTGAGTTGATGAGCACGGAACCTTGGACGTTGTTTACAGTAAGGCCAAGGGGAAACTACAGTAAATGTACATTTTGTGCAGGGGTTTCCTCGTTTAGGAACCGCAGAAGCCATAAGGCACCACGGACATTACTTTTGGTGGCGAGGTCGCCTTCCTCTGTTTTATGAACACGACCCACAGAATGCCCGGCAAGAGCCAAAGGCTCCCGCGGCCACTCCTCCAGGTAGGAATCTACGGTGCCCTGATGCACGCCCATGATCTGCCGGAACATCTCGTCCTGCGGGGATGACATTGGCATTGTTGCAGTTTGTGGTTCATTCCAAAAGTGTCGCCCTTTCCTACTTGTTCCTACTACCTCAGCGCTCTTCTGCCCATTCAAAATGACGTGTTTGGATTCTTGTGAATACCTTGTGAAGCTTAACAAGCACGCAAAGTGACCTACAGGTCACAGACTTGGCTGTGGACTGGACCAAGCTGAGCAAAAAGGAAACGGAAAAGTTCGGGCCACCACCACCGCGTGGTTTAAAATGGCGGGGGACATTTGGGCCGCACCTCTAAAACCAGTGGGCATAACTCTCCATCCACGGGTCCTATAGCCTGTCCCTGCAGTGGGTGAAGGAAAAGCTTTCATCTCGTTCCTCTTCCAGTGACCATTAAAAAAATCGGGTCACCCTTTTTGGCAATTAGTTGACAAAGGGGGCCCACCCAAATCCAGGCCACAGTTGACAAAGGAAATCTCAGGGTCTGGGCCATTCCTCCCCGAACCTATTCAAATCTTTCCTACCATTTGGTAAAGTCTCACATGCCCACTAACCATGGGAAGAAAGGGCATCCTTTTTGGTGTGGATGAGTTTAAAGGGGCAACCCGGAAACAAGGGCGCTGGGCAACAGAGAAGCGCAAAGACATGAGCTGTAATTTTTCTCCCACTAACGTGTCATGGGGAGGTGCCTGGAAGATGAATTTCCTTTTGGAGGGACCCCTGTCAGCTTCCATGTTAGTGGCAGGGAGGGTACCAAACCTAGACCCTCGTTTGGTTTCGCACCGGGCCCTCGTTCCTCCCTTCGATCGGCTCGTGGTCGGCTCCGCGCCTCGCGCTCCCGCAGCCTCTCTTCGGCTTGGCGCCGGCCGCTCTCCATGGCCTTCGGGCCGCAGTGGGATTTCCCGGGGCTCGTTTTGGACCTCGCACTTTGAGTGGGGAACCCAAGGGAACCCAAGGGAACCCAAGAAAACCCAAGGGAACCCAAAAGAACCCAAGAAAACCCAATGCCAAGGGAACCCAAGGGAACCCAAGAGAACCCAAGGGAACCCAAAAGAACCCAAGAAAACCCAATGCCAAGGGAACCCAAGGGAACCCAAGAGAACCAAGGGAACCCAAGGGAACCCAAAAAACCCAAGAACCCAATGCCCCAAGGGAACCCAAGAAACCCAAGGGAACCCAAGCCCAAGGGAACCAATGGAACCCAAGGGAACCCAAGAAAACCCAAGGGAACCCAAAAGAACCCAAGAAAACCCAATGCCAAGGGAACCCAAGGGAACCCAAGAGAACCCAAGGGAACCCAAGAGAACCCAAGAAAACCCAAGGGAACCCAAAAGAACCCAAGAAAACCCAAGGGAACCCAAGAGAACCCAAGGGAACCCAAGAAAACCCAAGGGAACCCAAGGGAACCCAAGAAAACCCAAGGGAACCCAAAAGAACCCAAGAAAACCCAATGCCAAGGGAACCCAAGGGAACCCAAGAGAACCCAAGGGAACCCAAGAGAACCCAAGGGAACCCAAGAAAACCCAAGGAACCCAAGGGAACCCAAGAAAACCCAAGGGAACCCAAAAGAACCCAAGAAAACCCAATGCCAAGGGAACCCAAGGGAACCCAAGAGAACCCAAGGGAACCCAAGAGAACCCAAGGGAACCCAAAGAGGGAACCCAAGAGGAACCCAAGAAAACCCAAGGGAACCAAGAAAACCAAGGGAACCCAAGAGAGGGAACCCCAAGAAAACCCAAGGAACCCAAGAACCCAAGAAAACCCAAGGGAACCCAAGAAAACCCAAAGGGAACCAAGAAAACCAAGGGAACCAAGAAAACAAGGGAACCCAAGAAAACCCAAGGGAACCCAAGGGAGAACCCAAGGGAACCAAGAGACCCAAGGGAACCCAAGAAAACCCAAGGGAACCCAAGAAAACCCAAGGGAACCCAAAAGAACCAAGAAACCCAGCCAAGGGAACCCAAGGGAACCCAAGAGAACCCAAGGGAACCCAAGAAAACCCAAGGGAACCCAGAAACCAAGGGAACCCAAAAGGAAAGAAAACCCAAGCCAACCCAAACCCCAATGCCCAAGAAACCAAGGGAACCCAAGAAACCCAAGGGAACCCAAGAACCCAAGAAAACCCAATGCCAAGGGAACCCAAGGGAACCCAAGAGAACCCAAGGGAACCCAAGGGAACCCAAGAAACCCAAGGGAACCCCAAGGGAACCCAAGAAAACCCAAGGGAACCCAAGGGAACCCAAGAAAACCCAAGGGAACCCAAAAGAACCCAAGAAAACCCAATGCCAAGGGAACCCAAGGGAACCCAAGAAAACCCAATGCCAAGGGAACCCAAGGGAACCCAAGAAAACCCAAGGGAACCCAAGAGAACCCAAGGGAACCCAAGAAAACCCAAGGGAACCCAAGGGAACCCAAGAAAACCCAAGGGAACCCAAGGGAACCCAAGGGAACCCAAGGGAACCCAAGAGGAACCCAAGGGAACCCAAGAGGAAGCAATCGAACAGAAACAGGATGTAGAGACATGCGCGGAGCTGCCTTGCGGATCTTGCGGCAGGGTTTGCCTTGTGACCCTTTTGGTTGACATGAACGGCCTGTGTTCTGTGTCCAAACCCGCTAGGTCCAAAATTCGGCCAGGCCCTTTGGTCCTGAAGGATCTTCGATGCTGTTCGGGGGTCCATTTCATCTGAGTTCGATCCTAGTCTGATTTTAAACCTCATTTCTTGAGCTATATGAAGGGATCCCCATGTGGGGGCACCTTTCGTTTCAAGCAAAAGGGGATGAAGCGCGAAGTTGTCATTGAGATCAACCAGCATTGCGGTGCACCCCGCTCGTTGCCTTCAGTTGGATGGAGACAAGAAACACGGAGTTTACAAAACAGAGCGTACACAAGGCCTCTGAATTGCAAATATCTTGCGAGCCCAAGATCAAACAGGATACCGTATGTGTGCCCTTAATGGAGACAAGAAACACGGAGTTTACAAAACAGAGCGTACACAAGGCCTCTGAATTGCAAATATCTTGCGAGCCCAAGATCAAACAGGATACCGTATGTGTGCCCTTAAAACATCGCACAGGTACCGCAGGGAAAGTAGAGCAAACGTGGAGGACCCGAAAGTCCAAAAACTGTTCAAGTGAGCTTCACGCATGGTTGTCCTCTTGGTGTCCCTTTAAACCACCCCAAAGTGGTACCTGCCAAAACAAAACACCGGAATAAAAGGCACTTCTAATCAATCCCCCAAAACTCAAAATTCCTGCAGCTGATTACGTCCCAGCCTCCGAACCCTACCCCTCACCTGGTAGGAATTGTTCTCAGTCAATACGCACAAGGTCTAGTCTGCGTATTCGTCCACTGCATTTGACAAACTGAAGGACACATCAAACTGGTCGCCTACTACAATGCCTTGCCTGGGAACCTCAGGGGAAAAACACAGTCAGACCTGTGCCCACCCACTTCAGCCCCCAGTACCCATCGCCAGCCTACCTTCGTTGCCCTCTCCCCACCAATCGGCCAATCACTCGCCACATGCCATGCATCGCCAGGTGCGAATGTGTCAGCATCTCAACATCAGTTAGACCACTGCAATTGCTTGGCGTCATGATCGCTTCCTCCAAAGCATCCACGAATCTTTGACTTCGACCAGCAAAACATGCTTGCAATATCCTCTTCCACCCCGTTCTAATCTGCGTTTCCATGCCTTGCTTCCGACAAGACGAAGCAAACCCAACCCGCCCGGAACTTCGCGTTTCAACAACCAGTCTCCGGTTGCGTCCTCCAACTTACCCTCCGGTGCATGCAGCTTGTCCTTTTGGGGGCCCTGGAATCAAAAAGGGGCCCCTGGGCACACTCAAACCCTGGCATCAAAATGGACGATTTCCGGCCGCGATTGCCCCAAGCTTCATCTACCCAGTGGTTCTGATTGGATCTGGCGCAGGGTTCCTTTCTTTCGACAACCCAAAGTGGACTTCAACCCACAAGCGGGAAAGACTTCCCCCAAAAAAACACAACACCTTTTAAGCTGAAGTCCACCTTGGGGTCGTCCAAAAACAAAAACGCGGAGCTCTCTGCTCCGGTGAGCCTGGGCCGCATGGCGTCGACCCACGCCCCCCGGCCGAAGCCGCCGCGGCTTCGCCTGGCGCTCCTGGCGATCCCTCTCCGCCAGCTTCACCATGGCCGCGATGCGCCGCTCCTCCTGGAACCGCAGCAGCTCCTGGCCGAGCGCAGCTTCAAGCGAAGATGAGAGCAGAAAACGGACAAATGCGCATGGTTCGAACGGTTTCTGGAGGTTTGCGAGAAAGAAGGATGCCTGGAAAGAAGGGGGAAGCTAGCACTAGAAGGGAAAATGAGGGTGAACGCAACCATCTGATGTGTGGGTCCAAGGAAATTCATACAAATGCGCATGGGAACATGAGGGTTTGGGAATGTGATGTCAAGGGAAGCCCAATCAAAGTGACATGGGGATGAGAATCAATCCCGCTTGGGCCTCTCAGAAAGGGTTGTTCTCCAAAATCATGGCTCCAGCGAACCATTCAGCTGGATGCAGTCAAACAAGGAAACCAAAAATTGGCCCTATGTTTGAAGTCACCCACATCAAGAGAAGAAGAAACAAAAACTACAACACGCCAATCCCCCAGCTATAAATTGGCCAAGAACAAACAAGAAAGATAGGGCTGGTTTAAAGAGCAGACCATAGTGACATAGGGGAACAGCCTCCTCACGACTTCACCAAGGAAAAAACAAACTGTCCCAGTGTTGCCCCCAACTAACACTGCCATGTTCAGATTCTGGCCCATGAGCCGTGATTTGTGCGCACGGGCCTTGGACAACTGGTCCAACGTCTGGGAGATGACGCTGCCCTGCACGGACCTCACGGCGGCCCATCGGCTTCGGCATGATTGGCTTCAGACACCATGCCAAGGGGGGGGGTGGAACTTCTCAACTTCCTGAGTACGAAACAATACAATCTGCAATAAGACTTATCACATATCTTTCTATCTCTATATATATAATATACACTTGGAGAGATGCACCATCAACTAGTTGTCTCATAATAAGTTGGATTGATACCTCGATACCCCCGCAAATTTCGGCAAGGAATTTCTTTGTACCAGTCGCTTGCGTGTGGCTCTCAGCCCAGTGCTCCAGGACGCCTTCAAAGGCCTTGTCCCGCATCTGGTCCACGTACCTCGGAGTTTGATCCCCAAGGGTTCCGCATGCTGTGAATTTTAAGTGGGGACCCTTTGATGGACATCAGAATCCGTTTTTCATTTTATCTCCGGGACATCAGAATTCGGTGGGGATTCGTTTTTCTCCAACAAGCACTTAGGTGGTTCCCTAGAACAAATCACAGCTCTAGGTGCCCCTGAAGCAAAGGGAAACTCAAACTTTTTGCAACCAAAAAGGCGGTGGTTCAAAAAGACAACAGGGGACATGCAAGGACGTCTGATGAACGGAACAAATCCCCCGGACCAAAAGCGAGTACTGAAGGGATCTTGAGTTGTGTCGTCAAATAAGTGCCACCCATTTTGGAAAAACCGTTTTGGCGGTGGTTGGCCAGATCATCCACGCAAGTACCTGGCCCAGGGAGGGGCAAACGGAACCTCTGGTGAGATCGGAAACCTTTTGGCCTGCTTGCTTCAGGGGAGGTACCCTTCCACCGACGAACGTGGGCGAGCACAGGTTTGTTTCAAAAACGGAAGCTCCAAAATGGGTGATTCCCTTTTGCTTTCGCTTCAAACAACTCCAAAAGGCTGCCTTTTGCCTCAAACCACGGATGCTTTCATAAAAGGCCCCTGGGTTCAATGGGTGCATTCCCTACCCTTGCCCTGGGAAGGGTGTACAGTCGCCTCTTTGAAGGACGTCTGCAGCCGGCCATAAGTCCGGGCTTCGACTGAAAGAGATCGCATGTCGCCTTGACTGCTTTTGGGAGCTTCTGAGGGCCGAGTCAACGCTGGCCGACGATTTCACGGAAGAAACTGAAATCGTAAAACAGCTACGGATTTTGGCCCGTTTGCTCACTGAATAAACTGAGTAAGTGGCCACTGAAGCCGTGGCCCCTGATTTTGGGAATCCCTTGGACGCCACTGCTCGGTTGCTTTCTCGCTCCCCTGCTAAACGTGTTTTTAACTTTTTTAGTGGCTTAATTCGGAAAACCCATGAGTTGGCCAACAGATTGTCTGTCCCAACCTCCCTTGGCAAAATGCAACAAAGACTCGCTCTTCAAACGCGAGGAGTCTCTCTCCGCCCGCGCGGTCCAGACCGAGGGCCGCACCGCTTCTCCTCCACACGGGTGGCGGTCTCCGCGAAGCGCTCCGCGGCACGGAGCTCGTTGATGAGGTCCAGGCCTTGCCAGCGACCATGGGAAGCCGCAGGCTACGACGGGGCAAGCCTTCCGAGGGCGAACTGCCAACGGCTATAGTTCTAGGGGTGGATTCCGATTCCATTCTTTTCAGCCATCGTTTTCAAAAACCAGCTGTTTCCCCCCTTTTTTATGGTTTCCTGAAAAGAAGGAAAGAATGGGGAAGGTACCCTAGAATAGTTGATAATTGGGGGGGGGAACCATCATGTAAAACCGTAAAACATAGAGGTCAGAAGCCCTAGTACTATAGCAACGGGAAACACTGGCAACTTAGAGATAAGCCCTGGTCGCCTGATACAGTGGTAACTGGAAGCTCCGGGATCATGTTTGCACCGCTCTTTGCAGTTCGGCAGAAAACTTGTTCCGTTGGATGCTTTCCATGTTCCATTGGTGACTGGAGGGCCAAAGCTCAATTTGGGTGCCTTGATCACTTGGGATGGCTTTGGTTGCCGAAACCATCATCATCCTGCCCTTGGCCCTTTCCTTCATGTTTTCTTGGTTGGATGCTTGTCTAGTTTGGTAAGGGGCACATAGGACTTCGCAAACGTTGACCCGGGTGCAGCCTTTAGGTCATAAGAGTTGTTGGACGGCAAACTGGGCCACCTCAACCGCAAACTCTGAAACACCACAACCTCAACCACCACTTCGACCACAAAAGCAACCCCTTCGTCCAGGCCATGATTCCCAATGGCTCACTTGCGTGGATTGGGGAGAACAACTGAACAACCCCCCAAACCTTTTGCCACTAGACTGGTCTTCACAAAAAACACCCCGCTGCAACCCAAAAAGGGGGGGACCCCCAGAAGGAGATTTAACGTGCAAGTGGATCGGGCTTTCTGAGGTTTCCATGTTCATCTGGGGAGTCGACCCCGAGCCAAGGGCAGCTGGTCAGGGGAGCTGAGGAGACACCTTCCAGCAGAGTCGCCGCCGCGAGCTCGCGGCTCTCTGGGTTCCGAGCGCTTCTCCTTGCCCTCAAACATGAGGTTCTGGTACCTCCAGTGATTCCGCAAATCTCCTCTAGGGCAGGTTGCTCTGAAACCACCCTTTAAGAAACAAAAGGGAAAATGAGTGGTTCACCACCGTGGCTGGGATCCACTGGGTGGGGTTGCTCCCTGTGGGTATTCCGAAAGCTGAATTGTTTGATCCCCAAGTAAAGGACCTGTGTCATGTTGAGCTTGTTATACCCCCAGGTGAGCTCGCTATAGGAAAATTAATACATTGAAAAACAAGTATGCTCAACCCTGTTCAAGCCAAGTACTTCAAGCACCAGTTACAGGACGTGTTCTTGACTGACCTGGCAATGTGCGGCCCTGAGCCTAGCATTTGGCCGTTGGCCAACGGGTTTCCTGGAAAGGGCGCATCAACTTGTGCCACCGTTTGGAATAAGCTGGTGCTTGATGTTTAATAGCTCCCTGATTCAAACGAATGACCCTGTCAATGTCCCCGAGCCCTCGTCCAGTCTGGGGCCCTAGAAAGGTCCGCCAATTGCTTTCTGAGAACCAACGCCAAACCAATACCTTGAACGATGCTACTTGAAGCGGTGTGTGCAACATGCGATGCTGTTGCTCGTTGCGTACTGGAACGGGCGGAGCCCAATATAATGTCTATAACATGCTCCCAACCACCCGAATTAAGGAATCCACCAGTACAGAACCATCACCATAAGCTCGTTATACCAACAGCTCACATGCCTCGTGCAAACATATACACCATTTGGGGCAAACACATGCACTGTAAGCAAGCTTATCATTTGAACAACTTCAGACTTACTGGTGAGGATGGGGAACTTACTGAAAAACCAAACCGAGTTGGCTTACCCTACTCAAGAAAAAAAACAAAAAAAAGAAGAACAAAAAAAACGGTACGTGCCAGGCAAGTGCGTGGTCACCCACTTGGCACTTGGGCACCGCTTCTCTCCCATCACTCGCATGCAGCCATGGCGCGCGCGGCCACGGATAAGGCGCTGCAACAGAAGGACGGCCTTGGCCAGTGCATGTGGCAGGCCGTGCGACTCTGAGTCGGCCCATTGGCAAGCGGAGGCTGCTTTGAAAATAGGCAGGGGGCGGCCCAACTCTGACAAAGGCCGGGGTAAAACGAAAAGAGGAACCCTTGCGATGGCCTATCTTTCCATAACAACCATCCTCTGTCTCAACCGAAAGATTGCCTGTGCATCTTCCGTGATTGTTGAAAAGCAAGAGGCTTTTGGTGCAAAACAGCTCCAGAAAACGATGTGGTAACCTCCTGAAACAAAAACAGCTCTGCGAGGAGTTGCTCCGGACACTCAATCAAAGCCCGTGAATCGTTTTTCAATCCCCTCAGGCTGTGCTTTCAATGGAGCCAAACTTCTAGTTGGTACGGTCTGCCAACAAGGCCCTCAACGGGTGCATCACTTGGCCCTTGGTTGGCGAGCTGGGGGCAAGCCTTCTTTAGCCGGAACATATTCAGCCATTTCGCTTTAAAACACGCAAAGGACAAATGAAGCGCACCAGGCATGGCCAGGTTCCTTTGAAACCAACCAAGGAAAGTCTAGCCAAACATATGTTGTCTTTTTCTCTTGCCCTTTGCGGACCGCTTGTGTTGCCCCAGTTTTGGGTTACCTTCAAATCGCCCAAAACAACTCCATCGCCCCACTTGAGCTGCCCGCAGACTCCTGCTCCTCTTCTTCCGGCAGGACCTCAGGCGGATGTGGTCCATCTCCCCAGCCCTTTCTTTACCTTGGCACTTCGGGGTACCCTGAACTCACACAAAAAAACATGACAGCCTGAAAAACGTGCTGAAACTGGCGGGCGCTTGGGAAGCCACTACCAGCAAAGGTCGTTTTGGAGGACATCAAGCATTTTCCCACAAAAGGTCGGCACAAGCAGGGTGGCAGGGAAAGCCTAAGGGTAAACATGGTGAATAATCCACTGGGATCCATCCGATCCCCTTGCAACTTGTCTTGTTGGGAAATTGAAAATTATACGTGAGCCGAGTTTGTCTAGCATAAGGGAAACCAAAACTGGGTTTTTGCACGTTACGTCGCGTGCCAAAGCGGTCTCAGGAGCTCGTGCCAGTCTGGGGTGGCAAGCAGAAATTGGCCGCTTGCAAAGTCTGGGGAGGGGTTGGGCCAACCTCTTGTTTCAACGCGTCTACAGCATTGTTGATCAAACCACCTGTTCTCTGCAACGGGGACGGAATGGTTGGTTTGGAAAATGTTTCAAAACCCTTGCAAAATCATCTGCACAACAATGGTGAAGAATTGAACAACACATGACCCTTGGTGAAGTCAAAGCAACAGAATCCTTTTGGAAGGCGCAGTGCCCTGTACACATCCACAGGTCAAGCCTTGTCCTTCCGCACCTGCCATGAGGCGAAGCAGTCGGAACAAAAACTAATCAACCTCAAACCTATCTCAGTTCCAGCACTACTTTTCCTACCCACGATGGAACCTCACACTTCGCCTTCCCCCCAAAAAAAACGAACACCACGGCGGGTGGGGTCACCCCTACGGAGTACCCGCGCGCCGAAACCGCGCCGGGGATCGATCCCGATCCGCTGAGAGCGGGGCGTCGTTCTTGTCCCTGGGCGAGTCTGGCCGCTCCAAGACGTTCCTCAGATGGAACCTGAAGCGAGCCGAAAGCGGAAGGCGTCAGAGATCAGTGCCCAAGAAACCGTTAAAAGGGTGCCACCGGTTGTAACACGGGGTTGCACCTAAATAGAGGAACACCCCAAATTGGTGGCTTCCCTTTCAACAAGACCAGCTGTGGTACCAAATTAAAAACACACACACACACACACACACACACACACACACACACACACACACACACACACACACACACACAACACACACACACATACATCTATGTGGTATCTTCATGTTTGTCTAGCCTTCTCCGCAAAATTGCATAGATTTCTCCAGGGGTCACCCAGTCACCCACCTCCCCCAATTCCATTTACAAGGGTTGACAATCCAGCTAGCAAATGTGAGCCAACCGTTTCACACGTCACATACATGCTGCAACGACCCACCATCAAACATCTTAAGCTTTGATACACCTACTGACATCCTGCCCCGATTCTGACAGCCTTTGCATGTCTTGGCTGCGATACATGTCGTGCGTCCGAGCAAATGCAACGTGGTCAAGGCAATCGAGGTCTCTCTTCGAGGATGGCTTTTCATAACTTAAACAATTCAAAACAAGAGCTAACGTCATAGACCCCTGAGGGTGTACCGCTGCGTGTGTGCCCCAACTTGCTACAAGTAGCTCCGCCCTTATCCGTCCTTTGGCTATAATTTTGCATACACTAAAGAATGTCACATGGGCCAACGTTGTTTGGAGGCACGGGTACATCTGAAGGAAGAGGGCTGTCCTGGATGTCATGTCAAGCTCTCAGCTCATAGGGTGGCAAACGCCATGACCCATCTTCGTTGCAGCTGCACCATCAAAACCTTTGTCTCAGGAAAAGTCCAAGCAGCCCAATGAATGGGTGATTTGACACAATTCGCCGACCCCAAGCTAAATTATTTACTGAGGGAACCGTGGAGGCCGCACATGCACACAGCAAATGCTATATATGTTATGATGTTCCTCCGAATTGGGTAGTGCTGGTGGCCCCAAAGAAGCTGAACTCTCCTTCATATCTCTAACATGTATGTATGTGTGTATTGATGGTGCCCGTTTGCCGAAATTTCAAAAGGGGGGCTAATAGGTGCTTTTCCCCAAACCCTAAATACCATAACCAGCAGGAGTTTCATCATCCGAATTGGGTCAACCAGTCTTTTCATTGACCCAGAGGCTCCCGATTCATTTCGGGCTCTCAAACAGCCACGTTTTGAGACCCCCAAACACCCCCGGGTGTCCAATGGAGGGTCTGGATCGTGCACGGAAAGCCCCGGGACATCCCGGGACCTCTGGGAGGAATATATAAATCCTAAGGCTAGGAGCTGCTGCGATTGGGCGCCCGACTTCTTCAGCCCAGTACCAGGCGAGGTGTCGCCCTGGCCATCGAATGACGCCCGGCAACTCGGGCTTTGGAGCAGCCGGCCATGAGGGAAACACCTGCTAGTGGATTCTTATGGGAAAAACGGGGCACTCACTGTGGTTTGGGGCAGTGAGTTATAATGGAACAGCCATGATGGCGAATTTTGCGTTCGGGTTGCCGAAGCAGAAGACTACACCTCTTACAGCGTGAGTGTGCCTTTTGATCTTTGATTGTCTTTTCAAAGGTTGCTGTCCACTCGCTTGACACATGGAACATCGGGACCCGTTGAACCATTTCTCAAAGCGCAATCCGCAAGGCGCTGCCCAGGGTCTGAGCGGTAACCAAGCAAGCAAAACGAAGCGAGTAGCGCAAATGAATTTAGTTTGATCCTGATTGATCGTGATAACCCATGTCAAACCAGAGGCGAACCACTAGTTCTTAACATTTCAGCTGCTCGGCTCTAGTGGATGTAGATGTGGGCAGAGCCTGCAGCCACTTCAGGTTCCCAGACCTGCCACCTAGCACCGCCCCTTTGACGTTTGCCTCGGTGTCAAGGCTGCCATCTCAAGCCTCAACACCCCTTGCAAGAGTTGCAGGCACTTCACTTCCAACGACCTCTTTGTTCAACACGGTGGTGGAAAGTAGACCACCAAAACCCAAATGGGGTCATCGTGGAAGCCGTGGATTCGGATATGTGTTGCTCAAAGAACCACAATGAACCAACATCAACAGGTGGGAGTGTGTGAACATGAAACAACAACTCCTGTTGGAACAGTTTATTTGCAAGGGTCCCAGTTTCACGACGCCACCCGTTCGACGCATTGGAAGCCCGCTGCACTGAATCTGAAAGCTACTGAATCTTCTGTCCATACCACTGGTCTTTTGTTCTGGGTTGGGGGCTGTTGAACCAGTACGTCAAGCTGCGAAAAGCCTGCCGCAGGCGGCACCAAGTAGCACCAAGGTTCCAAACATACACTAACCTGAGATTCTCAAAATTCAGGTCCCCTGGTGGTTGGCTTCCTCTCGGTCTCCCTTTTACCACCATGCAAAAAGGAGCTCTCCAACTTTGATACCGAGTCATTTCTGAATTCAGCGGTCTCTGGACAAGACTGCTGCATCCGCGCCACTGCTGTTCTGCAACCAAACTGAGAACTCGAAAGCCGAGACTTCCGACTTCGCCTTGCCGGCTTCGCCCTCGTTCTGCTGCAGCTCCTGGGATGCGCGGAGTCGGGAGAACTGGAATGGGGGTCCCCTTGTGGCTGGGTTTCAAATGCAAACCAAGAAGGAAAGCAACCCCAAAATGGGGAGTCCAAATCAACACATTCACCATAGTTGCAATTTCAGAGGGACCAAACATAATTTTCCTTGGGGGGGACCAAACGTGTGTTTCAGTTTGACGGGACCAGATGTGATGTTGCAGTTTTGCGGGGCACCAAACTAGGTTCCAGCTGTTGGGGGACACTGCTTTCCATCGGAGCTCAATATAATTTGGCTTTGAACATCACCGCACTTTACGGAAACTCTTTTGCAACCGGCAACCAAAAAGAGCGCTTGAAGCCACTAAGAGAAAGTGTAGGGAGCCCTGCATAATAGATTGAGAAAACTGGTGAATGAAAGCTCTAGACATGCCGACATCTTTCACCCAACGATTCTGACATGAGTGGATCAACGACCTGTTGGCTCTTGAAAGGAGCTTCACAAATCATGGCAAAACCGGCAAACGACAAATTAAGTCCCAGGTAGGGCAAGTTCGACCGGGTACGCTAGATGGAGACTCGCGTGGCATTGTAACCGCAAAACATCTAAGCCCCCTAAATTCCAAAAGTCCGCCCCCCCAAATGAGTGATCGACCAAAAGAGCAGTCTAAGCTGAAGAGGGTTGGTCCCAATATCCCAGAAGGGGAGACAGTTGAAGAGACAACAAAGGAAACCAATGTTTTATCCTTGGGGGTTGGTCATCTTTCGGAGCATCCCTGAGAACCATATGGTGCCAGGGTCAAACCTGTGTGCCGTGGGTCCATGACCATCCCGGCAAGTAAAGGAATCTGCTTATGACCGTGGCACATACGACGGTCAATATAGATCGTGTCCCCTGACATGGGATTTAGTGAGCCCACACGCCGTGTTACTTTGGTGAGTCTGCCTCATGTCGTTCCTCGGTGGCGTTCTGCTCCCCTGCTAAAAGTTTAACTTGTAGTGGTTTAATGGAAAACCCATTAGTTGGCAAAAAGTTCAAGTCCTAACATCCCTTGGCAACATGCACCAAAGCTTCCTTCCCTTGCAGTGGGCGGAACATGCCGACCTTTGCTCATGGCCCTCCTTCTTGATACTCTCCATGGCCGTCTTCAGCGCTGTCGTCATCTCCAGCTCCTGCACACACAAAGAAGTCGGCCGCTGAACCCCTGCAACTCCAAGCCCAAACTCCCAGCAATAGCCAAAGAGTGGAAAGGTGTTTCATGCTTCTTAGCATGCCAGGGAGTCAGGAGCTGTCTCCCCTTTGTTTGAAGGGCAACGTCGTATTTGCTTGTATGGCCATTGTCGTTTCGGTCATCTGCGAATGCAGATGGCATGAACCACGTGTATGTCAAAACCGGAAATGCCGGCACGACGACTGTGTTTGTTCGATCAAAGGCGCATGACCAAAACAAGCTTGCTTATGAGCCGCAACACAACATTTGGTGTCCACCAAAAGTACATGGCAAATTTCGGACAGTCCCCTGGTTTTGCTAGATTTGTTTGTATGATCAAATGGCATGTCCCGTTGCTTTTCACATGCCTCCCAAATCAACCCGTGACGACCCGTGACTCTTGTCAGTTGCTGATAATCCGCTGCCAGGCTGCCCATGAGGTACGCCCAGAGGAGAAGCTGACGCTGAACTGCTGTCAAAAACTTCAATTGTCACTTGCCAGACCTGGTCCAATTATCCGGGCGAACTACTGAACATGTTGTTAGTTTATGTTTTTGTTTTGTTTTTTTTTACTATCTAATTCATACATAGTATATAGTTCACAACCTGCAAACAGGGAATCCCCAACTTGGAAACTGGTGAACTCGCACTAACAACCCGAATGGCCCATCACTAACTAGCTCGAAACCTGAAAGAAAGACCCCAAGAAGAATCTTCATGGGCCTTCGCACGTTTTGCCTTCTGCTGCAGGACCAGACGCTCTGGCGCAACGTGCCGTGAACTGAGACGTCGTCGCGTTTGGGTCGCCTGTTTGAGGGCCTCGACCTGTGGGGGTTCTGGATGAGACTTTGGGGCCATGAGCCATGACCAGGTCCCTCCAAAATTGTTTGAGGGGCCGGCAAACCATTGCCCTCCAAAAAACTCACCGGGCAACACAAAACCAACATCACCTCAAACCAACATCACCTCAAGCACATGCAAGAAGGTTGATTCGGCGATTTCACGCCAGCATTTGCCTACATGGGTCCTTGCTTTTGTTGCTTCAAGGTGGCCAAGGATGTGTAGTCGGTTGATTGTTGAAGCATGATGGTAAAGGCCGCCCCGCATAAGGTTTTGGTTGAGATGATTGGTCAATCGACCCTCGGTTGCTTTCTGCTCCCCTGTTAAAAGTTTAACTTTTGGTGGTTTAATGGAGTTGGCAAAAAGCTCAAGTCCTAACATCCCTTTGCAAAATGCACCAAAGAGCCATTGTTGATGAAGGGGGCGGGTTCTGCTTCGTCCGAAAATAAGAATTCCGGCCGATTTGGCCATGTCCCACAGAGGCCCACTCCTTCCGGATCTGATGGCTTGACTTCTTCTTCTCCATGTCCTGATGCCAAAGCGGTGGGTTGGTTTCTCGCTTGGGTTCAGCTGAAGGCTTACCTTCCCAGTCACGGAAGCTGACAGTACAAGTGGGGGTTATCTAAAAACAAAAACAAAACGGACAAAAAATGGGGAGGAAAACAACCGAACAAAAAACAAATTGATAATAATAAGGAACACACAAAAAACAAAAACAAACGCCTCTTTTGAAGGGCTCATGTCCACCGCAATGGATTGAAACGGGGTAGTGCTAGTTCAAGGTCAGCGGGCTTCTTGTGGAGTTCTACGGCATAACAGCCATGCATGAGAAATCAGCAAACCCTGGCCATCTCTCGCGGAGAGTTTCCTGTGCACAAAACAAAAATGGTACCTGCGGTTTTCACATTACCCACAAATTGGCTTCCCAGGTCTAACCCCGAACAACATCAATCAGACCAATCTCAGAAACGCAGGCGAAGAAAAGCTCCCCATCAGAAACTTGGGTTGCTTCCAATAATTTGTCCAGCTTGGAACTATCTTCTCAAGTCTCCAGGACCCGAAAAACGAAACAATGAAATGGATGGAACCTATACAAAGCTTCTTAGCCGCTCCTGTCTCCGCAACCAATTGTTTGGTTGCTTGCAGTCCCCACTAAAAGGGACACGACCAAACCAACTCAAACCTGTCAAGAAATGTGAAGGCTGTGTTGTCAACATGTTGACTCGCCTTGGGCCCGGCTCTCCATTTTCAAAGATCGCAGGGCCCGGTGAATCGACTGATCTAGCCACGGGGCCGGCTTTAACAAACACGACCGTGGACAACACGACACAACGTGTCCATTTGTTTGTGGTTCCTTAAGAAAATGCTCCCAAGATCTCGAAACCTATTGCAAACCAGGTGAGGAATGCATAGAGTATAGAAGATCTGCTTTACGAGAACAACATACGGGAACTGGCTCATTCAGGTGAGTTGTTGTTCCACCTGCCCATCCCGCGATCCCACTTGAGCGCCCAATGAACCCTAGAAGAAATCACTTTCGGGATTGACCATGGGAGCCCACCAAACGAAAACGACACATGAGTCGCAATCAAAACCTGGTGCTAAAAAGGTCTACCCAGAATCATGTACAGGATTAAGAAGGCGGCCGCAGCTAGTTATGGGTGGGATCGTCCCTTACTAACCTTCATCTATACCCGGGTTTTGATTGTGGCTCACAGGCTCCCTTTCCGCTGTTCCGCTTTTCTTTCTTCAGGGTACAATTGGTTGCCGTGATTCAAAGGAACAAGACACATATCATGTTTGTTTTAAGGGCACCCTTGGTTGCCGTGATGTTTAAAAGAACCAAAGGAAAACACTTTTCTTTCTTCACGGTACCCTTTGTTGCCGTGTTTCAAAGGAGCATAGAGGAACCAAACGAAAACGAGCCCGTTCTGCAGGTTTCTGCCCATGTCGAGCCATTCTGATGACACGGGCCCGGCCTTCGGATGCTTCTCCGGCGCCCGCAGCACCGAGGGATGCAGCGACCTACGAGGGGATCCTCTTTTGGCGCGGTGGTTGCCATCCCTGTGCCATGGAGAGATGTTTTTTTTTTCCACTTCGTTTCATGAGAAAACGTTGGATTTACCTCCCTCATGATTCACCAATTAAGCGCGGATAAAAATTGAATCATTACTTTTGATCAGTTCATTTCATCGGATATATTGTATTTTCCTCCCACAATGTTCACCAATTATTAAGCGCGGAAGCCTTTGAATCAGTAATTTGAACCCTTGCAACAAGTGACATGGAAGGACCTGTGTCGGGCAATCCCCAATATTTTGTTCCAAGGCGATTCCCGAGGCTTGTCTTCACGGATTAATGTTAGCGAAAGCCAATCTCTATGAGACATGAGCAACTCGTTAAGCCCAGTGTTCGACAAACCACAGGGTTTCCCTTCACCAAACCCTCTTTAGACAGGAGATGGGATGAGATGGAATGAGCTTTCGCTTCCCTTTTCAATCCCTTCAAAGTGACCGGTACACAAAACAAGGCTTTGTTCCGCTCATTCTCCTTCAAACCAGCCATAAAATGTTATACCCTCCAACAAAAAGGGGTTTTGTTCCGTTGATTTTCCTTCAAACCAACCATAACATGTTATACCCTCCAACCAAAGGGGCTTTGTTCCGCTGATTCTCCTTCAAACCAGCCATAAAATGTTGTACCCTCCAACAAAATGGGGTTTTGTTCCGTTGATTTTCCTTCAAACCAACCATAACATGTTATACCCTCCAACAAAAGGGGCTTTGTTCCGTTGTTTTTCCTTCAAACCAACCATAAAATGTGATACCCTCCAACAAAATGGGGTCTTGTTCCGTTGATTTCCTTCAAACCAACCATAAAATGTTATACCCTCCAACAAAAATCCGTTGATTTTCCTTCAAACCAACCATAAAACAAAAAAGCGGTGCCAGCATCCAGACCCTGGGGACGCCCACGCTTCCAGCTGCACCAAGCCAGGAAAGCTGGCAAGGTCCTTGGTGCGCTGGACCAGGTGACATGCAGCGGGGCTCGCTGAAAATTTGGGAACCAAAGGCAGGGCGTAGAAGCCCTTACTAAAATGGCCACTGCAGGGGGGTGGGGGGTGGGGGGTGGGGGGTGGGGGGTGGGGGGTGGGGGGTGGGGGGTGGGGGGTGGGGGTGTGGGGGGGTGGGGGGGGGGTGGTTGGGCACCTTCAACACCACCGGGGGAATATCTACGTGAAATTCCAAGAAGCTGCATCAATGTCATTGGCATTGGGTGCCTGGTTGAATCGTTGTTCAAATGGCTCGGCTACACACTGCATACATCAACAAACAAACACCCCTAGGCCTACCAGAACACTTTGCATGCATCAATACATTCCCCAAATGCGGGTATCAACTTATATCTCGAGATATGTAAGGGTGTATCAGGGCCGTAGTTGGCAAGTAACAGGTATTTTCCTTTGATATCATGGTAGGTCTAGCCGCCAAAAAAACAAAACAAAAACTAAAACTAAGACATTCGGCTACTGGCGCCTAGCAGTTGGGGTAGTCTAGGACACCTCATTCGGGCGTGCTTCGAAGACCCGATCGGAGGGTAGACATGTGGCCTCTAGAGGAAACTCAAAGGGAACCAATCCAGCCAACACAATGTCGGTTGCTTTCTGCTCCCCTGCGCAAAGCTTAACTTTTAGTGGCTTAATGGAAAACCCATTAGTTGGGAAAAGTTAAAGTCCTAACATGCAAGCAACACGCACCAACGCAATGCTCTACGCGGGTTCGGGCTTTCCTCCATCGAACCGGAGGTTGCTGTTGAAAGCGCAAGGGGCCACAGTTTGTTGCCTTGGGTGGATTGTCCCAAACCAATATCCAACATCGCCCTTCAGCTGCGTGTCTGCGACTGATTGAACAGTTCAGGGCCGTAGGAAATTACCACTTACGTGATACAACACAAAGGCCTTCCCAAAGTCTCACCGCCCCAGAAGGGAGAGATTCTCGATATCACAGAAGTGGTTGGGTCAACCTCTTGATCCCACAACACTGGTGGACTTCAAATAGTTCTTTGCCCAAACAAGATATCAGCAACGCCCTTCAGCCTCTTGTTTGCTAGGGATTCAATAGCTTTTTCAACGGCAACCCTCCCAACCAAAAAAGGGGTGAGAAAGGGCACCTAGCGACCGGACCTAGTCGCGCATTTCTTGGCCGCAGCCACAAGTCAGCGGTGGCCCCGCCCCCGCCCGGCGTCTCTGAGCTCCCGGCGGAGGGCTGCACCTGCGATTTGCTTCGGGCCAGCCGGCCGGGCGCCGGAGGATTTTTCCCCGAAGCCATGGCGCAGGAAACTCACCGTGAATGGGAAACCAAAGGTGAGGTTTCAATCCAAAGGGGGAAAACAGAGGCAGCTCTGGCCGAATTTTTTGGGAATCCCTGCGGAATCCGAGGAAAGGATCTTGTGCCTTGAAGTGAGGGGTGCTCAGGTTTCATGAGGTGTCGATATTCCGGCCTCTAGTCAACTCAACCTGGCCCTGTCGTTGTCAGGTTGCTACGGCCTCGATCTTGGCCGTGTTGTAATCCGGCACGTGCCCGTGACCTCACCAGCCGGCGGCTGCAAAAGAGCCAGAGGATGCCCTACATGTGACAACTGCTCTCAGGGCATGGGAAACTCGAAAACATCGGGAATCCCTTGGGCGGTGGAATAGGGAAACTGACAGGAAAACGTTTGCCTTGAGGGGTCCATTTTGCTTGAGACACACAGGCACAAAGAAACATGCTGCGGTTGTTCTTTACACCTGTCAAGCAACCATGCTCCTTCATGCAGCTGCCTCGCCCGCTGTGTCTGCTGCGATTTGGTCTACAAGAGTCAAAATGAATGACGCTTCAAACATTTTGTCAATAATCTACTTGCCAGAAGGATACAACAGCATTCCATGTTGCCATCCTTCTTTCTCTCACACATTCATATTCTGGGCAAGGGGCTGCAATTATTGGCCGTCCCGGAAAGCAGGGTCCTCAAAAATATTATTTTGATCAAGCCTCATGTATCGGATGCTGAGAGAAAACCACCTGATAGCCTACCCATGGCTTGCGCAGTGTCAGCTGCCCGAAGCGATCGGTTGCTTCAGGTGCCAGCGGGCCAAAGGAGCGTAGACCTCGCGGGAGGTCCCCTCCCGAACTTCAAGCTTTAAAGATGTCCTCCTCATGTTGTACTTGGCACTCGCGCGCACACACACAGAAAACTTGCCAGCCATGACCATCTTCCTTCAACAATTATGCTAAGAACATGACAAGTCACACGAGTATCTTCCTTCTGGAAGCAGGGAGAGATTTCTCAACAGAAGGCATTTGCATAAGGACCGTTCTTTCTTGTGGAAGTAGTTTCCAACAAGCAGCACAAAGCCCCGAGGTTAAGTGCGTGTGTTTAGATACCAAACACCTGCGTGAACGAAGTTGCAAGAATCAGGGGAGGACACAGATTGAATTCAGCCGGAAATGAGGCTTCCTGGTCTTGCAGTGAAGTTTGGCCCCCTTCGGGTTTTGTCGAGGGCATGTTTAGGTATGGGGGCTGCAGGTATAGAGGTCAACTGTTTGTTGTCGCCAGGCTCCAAAACAAAAGCACTCACAGAGCGAGTTGGGCAGGAAGTGCTTCACTGGTGCCTGTCAAAGATAATGGCTTTTAGAGCATTTGCCTCTAGTAAAGCCATGCGGACGAAGCATTCTACTGATTAGGATGGCTGTACAACAAAGCACGTTGTGCTGCTGCAGCACACTTTTGCATGGAGGGACATGGAAGTGAATCAGCTGTGCACAACTTTAAGATCAGCTCCGATGTGTGTCTTGATCAACAACAGCCCGATGGACACGTGCCGAAAGCAGAACGCATGTACTGTGGATGACGAAACCCCATGAATGGATAAGCCACCTCCCAAGTAGCAAACAGTATGACTCTGTGGCTTTCCTTGAGACAGAATGCCTCCGATGGAGCCCACCAGGGAATCTCTGGATTTTTTTTCTCTGTGGCCTTTGCGAGGCGCAGGTGCGCTGGCTGAAAGCTTTAGGGCTAGCGCTCACTTCCTGAGTGGCTTGGTCAAAGACAAACCAGACTTTGTGTACTTAGCTGATCTTCCCACAGAAGCACAGGTAAACTCGGACGTTCCGAACTTGACCGCCGGCGTGGTGTTGAACCTCGAGCATGGGCTTGCAGGAAAAGAACAAACACGTGCTCCTTAAAAAAGAAGGAGCTACATAAAAGGGCACCCTGACTTTTTGGACACCCACTGTGCACCGCTGAGGTCGCACCCACCCTTACCCGTGTGAGGTCGGTATGACTTGCACAAGTGTAATTTCACAAGAAGGCCATGACTTCAAAATAGGGTACCGAATAAATGTTTGCATTCCTTTGGGATTCCCTTCAAAATGCAAAAGACACCCTTCCTCATATCTTGAGCCAAATCCACTCGAACCCATTTTGAGCCGTTGCCTCGGAGGTGAAGTCGGCATACTCCGCGATGACGTCGCGCCTCAAGGCACCAAGAGCAACGCGGTGCACTCACCCAGCCCCGAAATAGCCTAAACAACCGGGTCACTTTACAAAAAACATATAGGAAATTTGGGAAATTTGTGGAAAATTGGGGAACATGTGGGGAAATTTGGGGAACATTTAGGGAAAAGTGGAAAATTTGGGGAACATTTGGGGAAATTTGGAGACATTTGGGGAAAAATTGGGAAAATGTGTGGACATCGGATGTAGGTGGACCCTTAGTTGTGGGAAAATGGAATTTGATGGGTCACTTTGGCGCTTTGCCATGCAGACCCACCGATACCTCCGTGACGTCGGCGCGGTTCACCTCGTGATTGACCCAGCTCCGATTTTCTGGGCCCATGGCGGCGGGGATACCCTCTGAGCGTTCTTTGATAAGGGACCCCAAGAGCTTGGCTCGTGAAATCTCCTTCAAGAACCATGCAAAGGTCCATGAGGTCTGTCAAAACCACCTCCCTCTACCATACAAGATACCTAAAAAGTAAAAAGGGATAGCCCAAGCTGCTCGCGAGGTTTGGGTTGGGAACCATCCCCTTACCGCAGGCACTGCCGGTGGGAACACGTAGGCGCATTGCTCAGGCTGTGGCTTTTGCCCGGGAGCATCGGCCTGAGCGACGGAACTTAGAGCCCATTGGCAAGGGACGCAGACCGTACCTTTGGGTTCTACTGAGATCCTAAAGTCTTGGATGGTAGAGATCTTAGAGTCTTAGACTCCCGGTGAAAAGGTCTGTCTACAGATTATCAGGGGCCCCCCCAAAGCAGGTTGGTTTACTTTTCAGGTCAAACACACCCATACCACAATTCGAAGGGAAGGAACAGAACGGCTCGACTGGGATTGGGTGTCCGCAAGATATCCATGGACTAGACCTCTCATTTTAGTGGGCAGCCCAAAAGCCTTTCACCTTTGTTTCCACCAAGGTAAGCTTATCAGGAAACCCTAGACTGGAGCCCTCAGTACTCATGCATTCCCCAGCTATACCCTCAAGGTAGCCTTTCAGCCAAAGGTCCGTTCAAAACTCTCTCCCGGATGTCAGATGCAGCGGCTACGTTGACAGGCAGCAACCTGTCCCGGAAACAAACACAAGGCGGCATGAGCGCGGGACTTTTGTGCGCTCCTTCTGCATCTTCCGAAGCACCTGCGAAATGAAACGAAGCGAAGCCACTCGCGATGGAAGCCACGTGATTGTAACCAAGAGGACTAAGAGGACCCTGAACATTTTGAGGCTCCATGGGGCCGCTCTTCGCCCCAAACAATAAGCAAACGGCTAGCAGTCATGGTGTCAGCTCACATGGGGGGTGCCCACCTCACATTGCGTACAGATCCTGAAGACGAATTCCCTCGCAAAAAGCCGCAGAGATCTCCTCTTGCCCAAACGCTATTGAAGGGCTCCATGAGTTTCACAATGCGAGTGTCGATCTCTCATCCAGGGCCAAGCACAACAAGATCCTCAAGCTCTGTGCATGGGATGTGGCAAAGGGATGGTCAGATTTATCCTCCCCAGAGCCTCAAACGAATCATGGCGGCTCAAATTGAGGGTCTGGACCAACAAAACATGAGTTTCTCGTGATACCATTCCGGTTGCTTTAGGTGCCAGTGAAAAACAGTCCATGCCGATTTGAACCAAGAGGAACAATTCAGCAACACCGCTGAAAGTAAGAATTAAGCGAAGCAAGTGAAAGCTTGCTTTCGGAGAAATTCCAGCAAGCCAACTAGTTGTCTGATCCCTACCCTCAGTGGGACGGCTGGGGGAGTACACACACACACAAAAAGGCCATTCAAGTCCCCTTGCTTCATGGATTTTGGTTTCCCGTTGAGACAACCCAACGGTAGAATCCTAAGAGGGAACAGCACCTAAAGGCTTATTCTTCAGAACATGGAACCCACAAAATGACGTCCCCACAGAAAGTTCCTCTACCCCTGGAGAGGAGGAACCCAGCTGTCTCCACCTGGCTCTGTGAACTACAAAGAGCGTCCATGGGGTTGGGAAGGGGGATTTCAGCTCCGAAGATGAACCCACAAACATCACCCCTACGGGAAAATCAGACATCAACTGGTCCAAAAGGGTGTTGAAAATAGGTGTCCTTTCTGGAAACCAGATGGCCCCTTGTAATTGGGCATACCACCCCTCTAAACCGGTGGAACCAAGCAAAACTATCCAAACTAATGTATTTAAAAGGTGACACCTAAGCTACCTACATGCCCAACCCAAAAACATCACCCTAAGGGAATCGTCAGAAATCAAATGGGGCAAAAGGGTGTTGAACATGTCCCTCGCATCGAACCAGGAAAATCCTGGACCCATCCAGCCCCATCGCCTTGGTGCGTAGCCGCTGGCAGGCCGCGAGCTTGCGGTCCCTCTCCTGGCCGAGGAGCTGAATCCGCATGGAAGGCGGGGCAGGGCGGGTGGAGGGGAGGGGTATGGAAATCCAAGGGAAATCATGGCAGTTTGACAAGCTGGCACAAAATGCATTCGATTCTTTCAAGGCCTGAGGACAAAGGGTGCTGACGGAAAAGAAAAACGAGAACGCGAGAGATATGCGTGGAATGGTTGTAACGATCGAGTTTGACGACATCAAAAACCCGACAAATCAGCAAACAGCTGCCCACAATAAATAGCCTCTCTCTCTGGCTCTTCCCCATCTCTCTCTCTACATGCCAAATCGCCGTGGTACAAGGTGACCTAAGTCCGGCAATGCACACAGGATTCAAAGATTCTCCACCATCATCATTTTGCTGGCTGTCCTCAAATCCCCTGCAAGTTTAACCTTAACCTTTATTGGGTTAGTTACTAAACCCGAAAAGCCTAGAACTTAAGGGGACGGCTGGGAACCGCCAAGTTCAGTAAACACATTGATTGATCCCAGACGCCGGCCCAACCCCAAAAAACAGCATTCTTTCTTGGCAGCCGACTTTTCAGGGGCCCGCCCGCTCCAGAAAACACGCTGCAAGAAAGCAACCCACATTGAAGTCTCCCTTCACACCCGCCGGTCCGAACCTCCTCTTTCCGCTGCCGCACTCGGTCGATCTGGCGGGATGGAAAGGGTACGGGTTGTTTTACGCATTGGATACCCTTGACATGTGCATCGCACCCTTAAAGCAAATGACACATGCGAAGGGAAACCGTTGACATGTCTAAACAGGGTGAACAGCTGATTCAGCTGAGCTGAACAGCGGTATGAAGCAAGTATCAAACTATGTGTGTGTGTGTGTGTCATAGTAGTTTGTAAAGTGATCATGAAATGAGTGTACTCGGTGTTGGAAGCAAGGGAGAGGTATCCAATGGTGGAAACATCCAAATGGTTGACTAGAATGACATATGGTAGTTACACATCGCCATGAAACCTAACTGCCAATGGTTACCTGAAAGCGTGTCTAGCAAGTTATCCTTGGGTAATTGAGGCACCACGCAAAGAACAAGTTGTTTCGCGGCCGACAGTGATGCATACCCTAATGCCGGTCTAAATCGGATCCATATGACATTCCGCTCGCCAGTGTGGCCGTGTGGTCTGGGCATCTGACTTCAGAATAAACAATTACTCTTTCGTTTTGACATTTACCCCTTCGGGACCCACGCTAATACTAAACAGAGATAGACTTAATACCAAAAAGACTGTGCTTCATGTCAAAAAAAATGGAGCCCGTCCATGAAGTGGGTCGCATGAGCCGACCGCGGCTTCGCCGAACTCCCACGTACAAGCCTTGCCCAGCTGCGAGTTCTCGCGGTGGGCGTCCCGCTGCTCAAAGGCCTCCGCACATCGGACGCCGATTCGCAAGGAGCGCCGCGCGAGGCGACCAGTCGACGACCGAACGGGGAGATTTGACGCGTGGAGACGACCACCAGAAATTCAGGGGCCTGCAACCACATGCAACCCAAGCGGCATTCTCGGCGTCCCTGTAATTTGATTGGTGGTTTGGATTGGTGGTTTGGATGTTGGGGGGGATGTTGGGGGGGATCGTTTCCCATTTAAATATCGACAACATCCAAGGGTTCAAACCCGCAAACCACTTCGCCAAACAACCATCCTGCAACTACGGGAAACCCAGTCTGTGTCTTGGACTAAAAAGGGGGAGGACGGTGGACTTCCACTGTCCACTTCCCCTCCTTGCCTTCCCCAACTTGGCACTGGTCCCAACAGAAGGAGCACCTCAAGTAGTCAATATTCAAAGGGAGCCCACCCACAACAAGAAGGGAAAAAGGGCACGGGTCTGGTCTGGGGTTTCTCGCGAAAATCCCCGCCAGCCTGATGCAGCAACTGCAATCGCTTGTCCTTGCGGCGGAGGCCGAGGCGTTGATTGGACCTTCCTTAATTATTGGCCGATCAGCTGGTCGGATATGTCTCCAAATGCTAGGAGCCCCACCTTTTGTGTTCCTTGTCAAGCCCAAAGAGGCCACCAACCCCACCATGACAGGTAGGCGGCCATGGGATGCGGGCCGCGAGAAGGGGCTTAGCTTTTGGAAACCCTTCAAGCGTCCAAAGGGGCGCACGCAAAGGATGGCAAGGGCTCACTGCAAGCTGTTAAACACCTACGTACAAGATCTGCAGTCTGCTCTTGGCACTTCAATCATCAAAATGTGTTTGTTCCATCCCTCCGAATCAACGAATCTCAAGCTCAGAAACCGGTTCACCGTCTTGGGTGCCAAGTAGATGGCGCTGGCAAATGACGAAAAGCGAAGCCGGTGCCCCCCCCACCTGCAGCTCTTTGATGGTCCGCTCGCCTTGGTTTCCAAGGTCCCACTCCAGGGGCCCGAAACTTCCAGTCTGAGCTTGGACTATACACCCCCCATCAGGGAAGCTCTGGGGAATCCACCTGGGCCTCGGCTAGTGTGTAAACGGTGCCCTTTACCCAACCATGATCTCTGGAAGAGTACGGCGCTGGATTAGCTCTCTGATAGACCCCCCAGGTAGGCTTAAATCCCCAGGTTGTCCCAAAAGGGGAACCCTGGGTCCAAGTCTTCTTGGGTGTCCAAACAACTGGAACAACGTGGTACGAAGATATCGCGGCCAGGGCACGGTCAGCCCATTCTCGGAACTCTTGCGCCTTCGATGCGGGCGTAAAAGAAGAGGCAAGGGGCTCCAGCACGTCAAGGGATCGATCCACAGGAAGGTTGCTTTCTGCTCCCCTGCTAAAAGCTTAACTTTTAGTGGTTTAATGGAAATCCCATTAATTGGCAAAAAGTTAAAGTCCTGACATCCAAGCAAAATGCACCAAAGCACAAGGAAGGTTGTCAAGCAAAGGGTTCTCTGGGTGAATTCTAATATTTCACCAGCCTGAAATAAGGTGGTTGGGAGCTATTTCCCACATAAACCACCATTTGGGGTGAGGTCGTGTGAGCTCGTTATAATTCACCCACAAGGGTGACCTTTCTTTAAAGCCTGCGTGAATTTTGGGAACCAACGCAACCTTAGAATAACCACACCGATCCAAGGCCAAAAACCACCAGCCACCGTCTAAAAGAAAATCAGTCGGTGTTAAATGGCTCACACATGGCTCATTTGAGCCGCCCGTCAAAGACGGGCGGGTAAAGTCATCACTTCCCTAATTTAATGACAATACAAGTGCTCCCTCAAGATTCACTCCCAAAAACACATATGTTGTATTGCTGAACACTCTCGCTTGATGAATGGGTATCAAGGGAGACCGGATCCGTTCTACTTTGGCCCCTCACCTAGACAACTTGAGTCCCCTGCGTCCACCATCAAACAACCGTCGAAATTGTAATGTCTTACATGCCAATCAAAATACCCTTGTTCGCTTTCATTTCATTTGTGAGTCTCAATTGAAAGGCGACAAGTACAGTGAATACTATTCTGAATACAGAATGGTCGATCCAAATCTGAACTCAGCCATGATGTTCTAAAGGAAAGCCCAACATAAATCAGGGCCTGCTGGGCAAAGCTCCGGACAATATATGGAACAAACTCATGCAAACCAACGCAAAATGTGGTATGGCTCGCAAACCAAGACAAACAAACATGCTGGTTGTCCTTGTGGTTCCCTCAAGAAACACACCCATTTGCAAGGTCGCCATTCTTTGCGGGAAGCGATGATTGCTTTGCAGCTTCGGGCCGCTTGCATCTCCATGTATAGGCTAGAGGGATATGTCTGCGCAGCAAATTAGAACCACAAATCACCGAAGGTAATGATTGACACAGGCAAGAAACCTGAAGTTGCGGCGCATTCATAGGGCACGATTCGACTCTCTGGTTTTACCTTCCTATCCGAAAGTGCTCGCGTGTAGGATGACGGATGGCGCCAAGGCAAACGAATCCCGAAGTACCATTCGACTTATAAGTTGCTAAAGTTGGAGATCGAATCGATAGTGTCCAAGCCCAAGAAATGGTTCATGGCGCCTGACACATTCAGCCAATAGGTGCGTATAAACTCTAAGGGACCCTGGCATGGACATGGTGTACTTGCGGTGGATTCATGTCAGCCGGGTTCCATATTCGGATATCTATCTTTAAATTTAACATATCATTCATATGCATGCCCCTCCTATCTGCGTGGCCCTTGAGTCAATGCTCTTTGAGACCAGTGGCTGCTAAAGGCAGATGCCAAAGAATCCGGCCGCCCAGTCAAGCAGGGTTCTGCATATTTGCTAACACATTACCCCACCCAGAGGAAACACCATATAAGGGGGCAAGGCGTTACCAGGGTTGCGTTGTTGCACACATGAATACAAATCCCAAAGGTGTGGTTCAGTTCGGATTGATCTGGAGGACCATAGTGTCAAGCCCCACCAAAACGAGCTTGACACCCCCTGACTAGTATGATCCTCCGATTATTTTTTTGCTGATTTGCTGCGAAATTGGCGCGTTTGAAACCTCCCGATTCTGTTCGAGGTGGGAAAACAGGACTCAGGACATCCTTTTTCTGTCTCAATTTCTGGAGACCCACCAGAAACCGGTTGGACACCAACATCCCGCCAGGAGGGGGGGCAAAAAGGTCTAGGGGGGGCAAACAAAGGGAACCCCAAACGATGGGGCTTCGGATGGCAGCTGTCCTCCATGAGTTGGATCCGGACTTCCATGCCGAACCTTGGCCCGCAGGAGATGGGGCGTCAACCAGCAAGGGACCTGGGGTCAAAACGATGCCCCAAAAAGCCACCTTAGAACCCGATTTTTGGTGGGTTTCGGGGGGAAAGGGAAAGACACCCATTCTTGTGGGTGGGCCATTTATCAACAAAACTCAGGCACAAAGCGAACAGAGGAAAAGCATTGAAGAGGCCAAGGGGCCCTTTGACCAGTTGGATCTGGTGAGCAGCTTCAAGGCAAAACGGCGCAGCTCTCGAGTTGCTCACAGGTTGTGAGAGGCTGGGGGTTGAGCAGAACCAGATTTCCCGGGGCTCCCTTACCAGCCGAAGTCACAATTTAAACGGCCCAGTTGGTGATGCTTAAAACCACCGAAAGGGGAAAGGGAACCCTGACTTGACAACTTGATGGATCTATTGGTGGGAGCCAATGATTCGCAAACGCCAGTTTTGGAGGTAACAAGTTGGAAGTTTGGGGGACCTGGGAAGAATCGGCGCATCTAGGGCGGGGGGAAGCCTCTTAAAATGAAATGACTGAGACGAACCAAAGTACCAGAAAATGCAGAATCAGCAAGTCAAAACGCACATTCTCTTTGCGCAAGTGAGGTCTCTAACTCAACTCTAGCCGTATGCAGGCTGGCCTTCAAGAAAGCCATCATTTGTGAGTTGCTTGGGGATACCTTCCATGGCATGGGGCAACATGGATATGGGACCAAATGAAACCACCAGGATATGGATCACGGGTTTTAGTCCTTGGATCCATTTGCCAGGGCAAGCTGTGTTGGGGTTACCCTATGTTTGACAACCACAGCCGCGTACCTGAGGTTTTGGTCTTGACATTGCTTCAATGCCGACCCTCGGACCTAAGCACCCAGCTCGTCGCAGGGCGGTGGCAGCATCTGCTTGAAGATCCGCTTCTGCCTCGCCAAATGTCACCAATGAACATGCGACACGCCAGGTCCGGCATTCTAGGATCACCCACACAAGGCAGAACAAGATGCAGAACCTTCTAGAAGGTTGCTAATTTCCCCTTCAGCAGTGGTTTCGGGGTGGGATGCCTGGGTTGCTAAAGGTGATGTATCTAATTTCCCCTTCACTGGTTCCGGGGTGGGATGCCGGTTGGCCGGTTGGAGGCACGGAGAACTTACTGGACACGGCCCAGGGTTCTGGACGGATCTGTTGTAGCAGTCAGCTCACCACTTGGTCAACATGCAACCTTGAAGCTGTGGCTTGCATGTGTTCTGCCATCATCGATTGGCGAATGTATAACAAAGCGCCATGCCAGTTCCCGCCATGTTCCTTTGAGTCTGTAAAGGGCGGGCCCCCGTAGCACCTACTATGGTAGCTAGAAGCGCTGGAAGAGATGCTAGTATGTGCGTCTGTCTTTTTCTGTGTCTCTGTGCGTCTGTGTGACTGCATATCTGCAAGGCTGCGTGTCTGCGTGTCTGCCTGTCTGCTTGTCGGTGTGTCTGCGTGTGTGCCGTGTAAAGCTCGGCACTGGTTGCTCCAACGGGAAACAAAAGGAAAACACCGAAGCCATTTGCTACTTAAGCGAAACAAAAGCAGCGCCGCAGCCATTTGCCACTGCTTGGTCCAAAGAAAAACTGGGTTGCCCTCAGATCCCCCGCTAACAGTTTAACTTTTAGTGGGTTAAATGGAAACTACCACTAAACACTAAAAGGCTAAAAAGCTAAAAAGAAAACGGAAGCCGATTGTTGGGTCAAATGGCTTAACTCCTCACTCGCTCGCCAACACGGGCGCCTAGTGCGCTCGATGATCAGCAGCTCCGCCTCTGAGGCCGGGAGACCTGCACCTGGCGCAAAAATCGGTCGACGCTGCTCCCAGTCAGTTGTGCCACCCCTCCACTGGTGCGGTTTGGGGGGGGTTGATTCCTCATTCTTTTCAACCATCGTTCTTTTCAAAAACCAGCTGTTTCCCCTGGGGTTCTGATGGTTTACTGGAAAGAAGCATCCCTGGAAAGAATGGGGAAGTGTCCCCTAGAATTGTGGCATCCCTCCACTGGTGTTTGGAGGGAATGACAAACCAATACACTACATGTGAGTCCCAATGAAAACCCGGTATTAAAATGGTCGCAATCCCAGAACCATGCCTGAAGAATTAAAAAGACGGCGGCCGCAACTCTTTGTGGCAGGGGGACTGCACCTTACAAACCTTCAACCCCCGAAGCGGTTTTGAGCACGCGACTCACGGCTTTGTAAGCCACGACCAGAGTAAGGGCACCCAAATCTCATGTGCGAACAGTGGCAATGACCGTCTCAAGCCCCCGGGTTGACGATCCCAACCCAACGCTTGGATCTGGATGGACCCTATGGCGCTTGAGCTGTGGAAGTCGAAGCAAACAGCAATTTAGGCGAATGAGCTCACATTTTGCGATTGTGCCATGGCGGTGGACCAGAAGGTAAAGGTGGGGAGGTTGGGGGGCGGTTGCTTGAACATGCCCACCAAACTGCTGACCGCCACTTCTGCCACTGAAAAATCTGCGCCAAAAGCTTGGTTAGGTCAGAATTTCGCCATATCTCCGGGTACACAGCTTCCAAAGGTTCTGCAAATTCAGCACATGGCAATTCCAAGTTCTGAATTGAGGGATGCCCCGGTGGCATATTGTACTTCTTGGTGGCCACACCACGTCGGGTGGGTTCAACTTCTTCCTCAAAGGAAGAAATCTACAAACATGGAACCAGAGGGAAATCTACATGGAACCAGCTGAGAGGGAAAGGGACCAAAACGATGTTGAGACTGAAATGCCTTCAGACGTGGGAGGATCATTACCAACAGGAGCTTCTAGTACCAACTGGTTCATTGGATGTACAGGGTAGGCTACTGCCGCGTTCCCCGTCTTCCCTTCAAACACCACCCAGCTCCCGCGGCGGTTTTCGCATGACAGGAACCCGGGCCATAGGTGAGGTGAGTGAGCTGCAGCACCTCCGGCACCTGCGGACAACCGTCGCCGCTTCTTCTGGGCTCCAAATCGGTGCCAGAGCCACAGAGCCGCAGGATCTCTTGCCAAAGTAGCAGCCAATGGAACCTTTGAAGAACCCTTGAACAAGTGAGGGGGCGTCCATCCCGGGAAAAGCCCAGGAGGCCGTGGTCCGAGGTTGAGTGAGTTCGATAGGGCAATGGACCTGAATGCGTCTCTCACGTCCTGCTTAGCCGTCTGATCGTCAAGACGTTCTGATATCCGAAGTGAACAGTCAACAGCTACGAGGAGTCAATGTGTAGACCACTGTAACAGACTGTATATACTCTCCCTCCGGCTAACACAGCAACTGTGGGAGCGTACCAGCAAAATCAACTTCCTCTTGACGTGACCCCCTGTCAGTTGCCATGTTAGTGCAAAACAATATTATATATATATATATATGAATCATAATATTATATTACATATATATATATATGTACAAATTAAATAGATGTATCTCTTTCCAGTAACGGGCTTTGACATCTCTTCCCAGGAGTTCACAAGCCTAAGTTGGCACCTGGCCTAGAGTGTCCCAGCTAGCATGATAGTTAGGCCGTGGGACCTTCTCTTTGGAACGCTCACCATGGTAACATGACAGCTAGCATGCTTGGAGGATTCTCATTCCAGTCAGGATTTCCTGATGTCAACTCCGGACAATCCCGGAGGGCCAGACTTATTCAAGGAACCCCTCTGCAATAGACTAATCCCTGCTAAAACAAATAGCCTTACTGTGATTGGTACGGTCGGATTCATCCGTTGCATTGCCTTAGTTGTCAAATGATGACTTTGCAACTGGTTGCCTGCAGTGTCTGCCAAGAAGCGCCAGAAAGGCCGACAAACCTCCCGCAAACCCAACTGCATGGCAAAACGTGTTGCGCCTGCATCGTCCTCTCATCCGCAAGAAACACAGAAGTCCCCCCAAGGACCTGCGACCTGCGCTTTCTGCGCTTTGGATCTGCCTGGTTGGCCGGGATCTGGTAGTCCGGCGAGTAGGGCACCGTCTGAGCCTCTGACCTGAACATCCAACTGCCAGGTTGTTCAGGGATCCGGATGCAGAAAAAACACCTGAACATTGCAACTTGTCAATGGTGGCTTCCCTTTATTCTGGTAGAAAAAGCCATGTTTCAAATGGTTCAGAGTGTACCCCGGCTAACCCCTAACCTAACCTCCGCCCCGGAAAAGGGGTTCGGGTTCGGGTTCGGGTTCGGGGCCGGGTTCTTGGTGGGGGGGGGGGGTTCGGGTTCGGGTTCGGGTTCGGGTTCGGGTTCGGGTTCGGGTTCGGGCTCTGGGCCGGGCCGCTTGGGGGGGGGGGGAGGTTCGGGTTCGGGTTCGGGTTCGGGTTCGGGTTCGGGTTCGGGTTTGGTTGGGCTTCTTTTTTCTGGGGGGGGGGGGGGGTTCGGGTTCGGGGGGTTGGGTGGCGGGTTCGGGATTGGGTTCGGGTTCGGGTTTGGGTTTGGGCTTCTTTTTTGTTGGGGGGAGGGGGGTTCGGGTTCGGAGTTCGGGTTCGGGTTCGGGTTCGGGTTTCGGGTTCGGGTTGGGTTCGAGGTTTCGGGCTGGGTGGCCGGGGCCCGGCCCGCGTGGTGGGGGGGAAGGGGAGGTTCGGGGTTGGTTCGGGTTCGGGTTCGGTTCGGGTTCGGGTGTTCGGGTTCGGGTTGGGTTGGGTTCTTTTTTGGTGAGGGGGGGGGGGGGTTGGGTTTGGGTTGGGGTTTGGGTTCGGGTTCGGGTTCGGGCTCTGGGTTGGGGGGGGAGGTTCGGGGTTGGGTTCGGGTTCGGTTCAGGGTGTTTGGGTTGGGTTATTTTTGGGGGGGGGGGGGGTTCGGGTTTGGGTTTGGGTTCGGGTTGTTCGGGTTCGGGTTCGGGTTCGGGTTCGGGTTCGGGCTCGGGCTCGGGCCGCTTGGGGGGGGGGGGGGTGGGAGGTTCGGTTTTCTTGGTTCGGTTTGGGTTCGGGTTTGGGTTGGCTTCTGTTTGGTAGTGGGGGGGGGGGTGGAGGTTCGGGTTACGGGCTTGGGGCCGGGCCGCTTGGCGGGGGGGGGGGGGGAGGTTCGGGTTCGGGTTCGGGTTCGGGCTGGGTTCGGGTTTGGGTTGGGCTTTTTTTTGTGGGGGGGGGGTTTCGGGTTTGGGTTTGGGTTCGGGTTCGGGTTCGGGCTCGGGTTCGGGTCGGCTCGGGCTCGGGGGCTGGCGGGCTTGGGGGGAGGGGGAGGTTCGGGTTCGGGTTCGGGTTCGGGTTCGGTGTTCGGGTTTGGGTTGGGCTTCTTTTTTGTGAGGGGGGGGGGGGGGTTGGGTTTGGGTTGGGGTTTGGGTCGGGTTCGTGTTCGGTTTTGTGGTGGGGGGGCGGGGGGGGGGTTCGGGGTTCGGGTTCGGGTTCGGTTCGTGTTCGGGTGCGGGTTCTTGGTGGGGGGGGGGGGGAGGGTTCGGGTTCGGGTTCGGGTTCGGGTTCGTGTGCGGCTCTTGGGTTGGCTACGTTTTTTGCGCGGTGGGGGTGGGGGGGGGGGGGGGGTTCGGGTTCGGCTTCGGGTTCGGGTTCGGGTTGGGCTTCTTTTTTGTGGGGGGGGGGGGGTTCGGGTTCGGGTTCGGGTTCGGGTTCGGGTTCGGGCTCGGGTTCGGGCTCTGGGCCGGGGTTCGGGTTCGGGTTCGGGTTCGGCTTCCTTTTTGTGGGGGGGGGGGGAGGGTTCGGGTTCGGGTTTTTTTTTTGGGTTTTTTTGGGTGCTTCTTTTTTGTGGGGGGGGGGGGGGGGGGGGTTCGGGTTCGGGTTCGGGTTCGGGTTCGGGTTCGGGTTCGGGCTCGGGTTCGGGTTCGGATTCGGGTTCGGGTTCGGGTTCGGGTTCGGGTTCGGGCTCTGGGCCGCTTGGGGGGGGGGGGGGGAGAGGTTTCGGGTTCGGTGTCGGGTTCGGGTTCGGGTTTCGGGTTCGGGTTCGGTCTCGGGTCTCGGGTTTGGGGTGTTTTTTTCGGCGAGGGTTCGGGGTTTTTTGGGTGGGCTTTCTTTTTTTTGTTGGGGTTTGTGGGGGGGGGGGGAGTGGGGGGTTGGGGGTTTGGGTTGGGGTGTGGGCTCTTTGGTACGGGCTCTGGGGGGGTGGGGGGGGAGGTTTTCGGTGGTCGGGTTCGGGTTCGGGTTCGGGTTCGGGCTGCGCCCCCCCAACCCCCCCGCCTATGTTTCGCGGGCTGCGCCCCGCCCAACCCCCCCGCCTCTGTTTGGCGGAGCCCGGCGTTCTTCGTCGTTCTTGGGGTGGAGGCTGCGCCCCGCCCAACCCCCCCGCTATGTTTGGCGAAGCCCGACGTTCTTCGTCGTTCTTGTTCAGTTCTATCATGGGGGGGGCTGCGCCCCCCCCCAACCCCCCCGCCTTTGTTTCGCGGAGCCAAACGTACTTGGTCGTTCTTGTTCAGCTCTATCATGGGGGGGCTGCGCCCCCCCCAACCCCCCCGCCTATGTTTGGCGGGCTGCGCCCCGCCCAACCCCCCCGCCTCTCTTTGGCTTCTTCGTCGTTCTTGTTCGTTTCTATAATGGGGGGGGCTGCGCCCCCCCAACCCCCCGCCTCTGTTTTTGGCGAAACCCGACGTTCTTCGTCGTTCTTGTTCAGTTCTAGCGGGGGGCTGCGCCCCGCCCAACCCCCCCGCCTCTGTTTGGCGAAGCCCGACGTTCTTCGTCGTTCTTGTTCAGTTGTATCATGGGGGGGGCTGCGCCCCCCCCCTCCCCCCCGCTATGTTTGGCGGAGCCAAACGTTCTTGGTCGCTCTTGTTCAGCTCTAGCATCGGGGGGCCGCGCCCCCCCCCAACCCCCCCGCCTATGTTTAACGCAGCCCGACGTTCTTCGTTGTTCTTGTTCAGTTCTATAATGGGGGGGGCTGCGCCCCCCCAACCCCCCCGCCTATGTTTGGCGGGCTGCGCCCCGCCCAACCCCCCCGCCTCTGTTTGGCGGAGCCCGGCGTTCTTCGTCGTTCTTGTTCAGTTCTATCATGGCGGGGGCGCACCCCCCAACACCCCCGCCTATGTTTGACGGAGCCCGAATTCGTTGTTCTTGTTCAGTTCTATAATGGGGGGGCTGCCCCACCCCCCAGCCCCCCCGTGTTTGGCGGAGCCAGACGTTCTTGGTCGTTCTTGTTCAGTTCTATCATGGGGGGGCAAGGCCTCCGTGGACTCGAAGCCGTACCTGCTGTGCAATGTCGGTGTGCAGCGAGGCCCAGAGCAGACCCGCCTCTTGGCGGCGCTCTTCAGGAAGGCTGCCTCGGAGGAGATGCTCACAAAGGAGGCCGTGGTCACATTCAGAAACCAGCTGCAGGTCTAGGCAGCGCACGACCCCACGGAGAGCGACCCTGATTCGTGCTTATAAGACAAAAAACTTAAGATTGTCTCGCTTTTTTTTTTTTCGGAACTGCAGGTTTGTTTCTCTAGCTTGCGTGTGACATCAGGTTTGTTTCTCTAGCTTGCATGCCCAGCTGGCTCCTGCTGCCGCGATGTGTTTGGCTCAAAAGGGCTCACGCCAATGGCCGCACGCTGGTACGTCACCAACGTGCCGAGCGGGTGGACCGCGCGGGCGCTGGAGCTCGCGCTGCCGGTGAGCAGCTTGCATGTCAACCGGCAGCGCCAAGCCCACACTGGTCTGGTGTCGGTCGTGTGTGAGTGCTCGCTAGAGAACACGGCGCTTCTGCGCCAGCTGGTGGCAGCGTATGGCTGGTGGGGGGGGGGGGTTCGGGTTCGGGTTCGGGTTCGGGTTCGGGTTCGGGTTCGGGTTCGGGCCTCTTTTTTTTTAGGGGGGGGGGGGTTCGAGTTCGGGTTCGGGTTCGGGGGGGGACCCCTTTTTTTTTTTTGGTGGCCGTGGGGGGGGGGCGGGGGGGGGGTATCGGGTTCGGGTTCGGGTTCGGGTTCGGGTTTAGGGGTAGGTGTTCGGGTTCGGGTTCGGGTTCGGGGTTCGGGTTTGGGTTCGGGTTGGGGGCACGGGGGGGAGATGGGTTCGGGTGCGGGTTCGGGTTCGGGCTCAGGTTCGGGTTCGGGCTCGGGCTCGGGTTCGGGTTCGGGCTCGGCCCCTTTTTTTTGGGTTGGGTTCGGGTTCGGGTTCGGGTTCGAGTTCGGGTTAGGGTTCGGGCTTCCTTTTTTTTGTGGGGGGGGGGGGGGGGGGGTTCGGGTCGGGTTCGGGTTCGGGGTTCGGTGTTCGGGTTCGGGCTCGGGTTGGGGGGGGGGGTTCGGGTTTGGGTTGGGTTCGGGTTCGGGTTCGGGTTCGGGTTCGGGTTCGGGTTCGGGTTCGGGTTCGGGGGGTGGGGGGGTGGTTTCGGGTCGGAGAATTGGATGAAACTATGGGTATAACTGTATGAGGCTTCAATTGCACGCGGTTCGGGTTCGGGTTCGGGTTCGGGCCTTTTTCTTTCTTTTTTGGGGTGGGGGGGGGGGTTCGGGTTCGGGTTCGGGTTCGGGTTCGAGTTGGGGTTCGGGTTCGGGTTCGAGTTCGGGTTCGGGCCCCTTTTTTTTTGTGGCGGGGGGGGGGGGGGGTTCGGGTTCGGTGTTCGGGTTCGGGTTCGGGTTAGGGTTCGGGTTCGGGTTCGCGGTTCGGGTTCGGGTTCGGGTTCGGGTTGTGGTTCGGGCTCGGGTTGGGGGGGGGGGGGGGGGGTTCGGGGTTGGGTTCGGTGTTCGGGTTTTCCGGTTGGGTTCGGCGTTCGCGGTTTGTTTCGGGTTCGGGTTCGGGTTCGGGTTCGGGTTCGGGTTCGGGTTCTGCCCTCTTTTTTTTTGGTGGGGGGGGGGTGGGTTCGGGTTCGGGTTCGGGTGTCGGGCACGGGCCCCTTTTTTTTTAGGGGGGGGGGGGTGTCGGGTTCGGGTTGGGGGGGGTTCGAGGTTCGGGCCTTTTTTTTTTTTTTTGGGGGGGGTGGGGGTTCGGGTGTCGGGTTCGGGTTCGGGTTCGAGTTCGGGTTCGGGTTCGGGCCCTTTTTTTTTTGTGGCGGGGGGGGGTTCGGGTTTGGGTTCGGGTTCGGGTTCGGGTTCGGGTTCGGGTTCGGGTTCGGGTTCGGGTTCGGGTTCGGATTCGGGTTCGGGTTCGGGTTCGGGTTCGGGTTCGGGTTCGGGTTCGGGTTCGGGTTCGGGGTTCGGGATTGGGGGGGGGGGGGGGTCGGGGCGGGGGTCGGGTTCGGGTTCGGGTTCGGGTTCGGGTTCGGGTTCGGGTTCGGGGGGTTGGGGGGGGGGGGGGGGGGGTTCGGGTTCGGGTTCGGGGGGTTCGGGTTCGGGTCGGGTTCGGGTTCGGGTGGGGTACCTAATGAAATGGTTGCAACATGTATCTTTTAAGGAGCCCTGGGTAAATTGCAGGAAATCGAACCACAACTTCCTGTGTGGGTCATTGATTATTTTTGAGGCTCCCCCAAGCAATTTGTGGGACTGAAATAAAGCAAAGCAGTCTCAGGCTGTTTTGGCAGCATGGCCGCGACACGGTTGCTCCATTGGGTACCCCGGTTTTCGTTTCTATTGAGTGGGGTTGCCACGTGCTAACCCTTTGGACATCTGCTGCCAGAGCCCTTTTATGTAAGGGGATGTAAGGAAATCAGCGGTTTTGGGAATGGGTGCTGTTTGCAGAGATCTTCTGACTTCTCAGTACTCGGAAGCCAGAACTAGTGGACCAGCAGAGAGATTGTAATTGCTATATAACTGGATGACGAAGGGTTGGAACATAGCCCGAACACAACAAACTTGAGCTAGTAGCCGCATTTTTCGGGTAGATAATGATGTTGGCAAAACGTACCCTTTGATTAATCGGGTACCGACATTGGCTGGTCCCATAGACATATTATAACCCAATTGACTCATCTGAACGACGGAATCGTTCGGAGGACAAAAGTGATTTATCCATGGTTTATTTCATTTTATTTCTACCATCTATAGACTTATATTGTTTTTACCTAGCTCATCTTTCAAGGAGCTCACTTGTTGGGGCAGCATTGCAGTCCGCCGGCTGGATTCATCCAGTACAAGCACCACACACGAACCCGTCGGCCCAAGGATGTGGACGAAATATGTCGGATTCTTTTAGGGCCTCTTCTCACTTAAGTGGACTGCCAGCAAAACCTGAACTTTGTGTTTGCCACTAAACCCGTCCAAACCCACAAAAGCTTAAAGTCCAGGAACTCGGGGAGAGTGCGTTGCATAGCAAAGCCTTCCAACTCCTAAGACATATGATATGTGACAGGGGTCACTTCCAAAGTTGATCAATTTGGGCTCCAACTAGGGGGCCCCACAATGTTAACCTTGGTTTCCGTGAAGCCAAGCACAAAAAGGGTATCCTGAACAACTCACACTCGCAACGAACGCCCCTTTAGGTCCAACATGGTCCAACAAAGTGCAGCTGAGGCCAAGTTCCAAAATACACAAGCTATGGACAAGGATAAAAATCTAGAAGAAACACATATCCAGAAAGGGACCGCACAAACATCAACGATTCGGTTGCAGCGGTTTCGCCAACATAGTAGGTACATAACTATAACCCTTGTTCCATGTTTTGTTTTGCGCGGTAGTTATGGCAACTTGAAGAAGCATTGGGAATGCAAACCTATGGTAGAATTGACTCCGGGTTGAGGTCCAAGAAAGCGACTGCCGTGCTTGAAACGCCAACCTTCGGAGTTTGTTCCCCTCTGCCAACCTGGGTCCATCAAACGTGCAAAACCTACCCATGGATTCAAAGGGGTCTAGCCCCAGATGCCCAGTGGCCATGGCAAAAAAAAGGCATCCTTGTTTGCTTGGTTGAGTTAATTCGGGGAACCCTTCCCAAAAAAAGGACAGAAGGGCGGAATCCACTGGGCAACCGGGTAGCGCCAAATCAAATGAGAACAGGTCGCACCCACGTGTCGTGGGCTTTGAGACCACGGGGCTCTTTTTCGACTCGCGTCTCCCGCATCTCCCGGCAGGTCCCGGGCTCTCGGAACATGGACTGCGTGGCCACCGTCTTGGTCGGCGGCTCCGAGGCCATGGTACCTGGACGTCCGACCAAGGCCACACGTTTGACCAAAAAGAACCGTTTTTTTTGGTCCAGTCCAAAAGGGATTTCTGGGAAGGAAGATATCCAGTGGTTTTTGAAGGGGAACAAATATACTAGTATACTAGCTCGTCTATTCTGAGGAAAAGAGAAGAACCACCTTTTTGGTTGGGATGGAAAAGTCTGGCAGACGGGCCCATACATCCCAAATGGTCCAAAGGTGGCTCTTTTCCCCCCAAGCATACAGCCAGGGGCGGTCACCAAGCTGATCCGCACGCCAAAATCAATATTCGCGAAGTATCTGCCGCGTGTCACCAAAGCGCATGCACCATTGGTCCATCGTTCCGGGGTTCTTTTGCTCCCCAAGTCTGGAGTGAGCAACCCAGTTGATCTTTTGGCCCTGGGCTAAGAGAGGAGCAAGCCCTCCTCAAATGGTGTCTTTTGAAGCAAGGAGGGGGGGCCGTCAACCTAGGAAAAGTCACAGAGCCACCACAACTCAACAGAACTACTTCCCTTTGCCAAAGGCAGTGGAGGATCATTTGCCCATGCGGTCATAACGTCCATGCAAAAGCAAGAATGTAGGAACCAGCTTTAGTCTTTCGCAGGAAGCCCTGTCTTCCCCTCCCAACACCGCGACTACAGTTTACCTTTGTACAACGCTATGGGTCCACACAACTGCTTCGAGGTCAGCTGGCGCAAAGACGATAGTTCACGTGGCGATGTGAATCAAGCTCATATGCAGGTGTCCTTCTGGAAGAATCATGTTCAAGGTTCACTCCCTCTCTTTTTTTCGTTGAGCTTCAGTGTCTCGTCCCAACTCGTCCCGACGAAAAGAACTGACAGAAATGCGATAAAACAGATGGTCCAAGGCCTGGACATCACCTCCTAGCTTACCCGGCTGGACCACAACCCAGGGTTTGGTTCGTGTATGGCTGAAGTCTTTGGGATGATCGCAACCCTCCGCCTGAAAGACCCACGGACCGGCTGGTTGGGCCTTCCGCTGGGAAGCTGCCGTGGTTGGACTTGAAGGCGTACTGCACGATGTGGGGCAGCCTCGGCGAGGCTCAAATCCTCGAACATTGGACGCGGGCTCGCAAAATGGGAATTGGGCGCCCCCTAAACTGATTCGCTTCCTTGTGCCTTCCCTTCTCAGTTTAGGGGGGTCGAAACACCATTTGGAGAAACACTCGTCCCCAAGACGACATGGGAAAACTGGATGGGCTCCTCCATGTCCTCCCCAAGACCCAACAAAAACCGGTTATTTTGTCCGTTGCTCATTCAATGAGCCAATGGTGTTCCTAAAGCAAAGTGCCCCTTGGGCCAGGGGAAACAACTCGCTGGCCGGTCAACGAAACGACTTCTACCTGTGGCAGGCAAAGAGCTGGCCTGGGGTCTGAAATTGGTACCTGTCGAAGGGAATCTTTCGGAAATACAACCTCCCTTCCTTACATACAAACGCCTCATACACAAAACCATGCTTAATTAGATTGTTTTTTTTCTATCCCTATTATCTTATATAATTTTCACATATTAGATTATATATTAATGTATTATATCTAGCCCTTTACATATTTATCTTCCAAAGGTTTTAATAGACGCTCATATATGTCATAAATCCATGTTTATCCTATCATAACGTTTCTTGCTCGTCGAAAGTACGTCCATCAACCAATACCTATCAAACAATTTGGAGGCAACGCCCATACGAGCTTAGGCCCGAAAAAAAAATGCACCTCCGTCCATATGGCATGGGCGAACCAAGCACCACAGCGCCGGCATCTAAAGTATTATAATTATGAATCAGAATTATATGTCACGATAAATAATCTCTCATAGGCCCACGGAAACACAAAGAAAAGTACGCGCCCATCATCTTTATGGTTAATGACAAGGATAACACAGTATCGTGTTTGTGGATCCTACCGTGTCTTTTAGATAGCTCCTTAGATTATATTTGCTATGGAATTCCAACTACAAGGATTTGAGCCGTCCATTACGTTGCAAACGACGTGCCAACTAACAACACAAAAGCTGTGGAAAATTGACACTATACTCGGCTTCTTTTCCCATTGAAGGTTAGTATCCAAACCCAAACAAATATTCACTACGACCTCGCGCGAATATGAGTCAAGTGCGCCGAGAAGGATGCTAAAATCAGCGTAGACCCCAGATAGGAAGCAACCATGTACATTCACTCAGGATTGTCCTTCCTTTTTGCCTTCGCTGAATTTACTCTCCAGTTTCAATGCCAGTCTCCTGCACAGGTTTGCAGCTGACTGTGGGACATATTACTGGGACAATCATCATGTCTCTGGGTCGTGGCAAACAGTCACGCACCTACCCACGCTCCAAGCATGGCTGCCCACGCAAGCCACGTGCAAGATGCAAGTCTTGCGGAGCCCGTCACCTGAAGAACAAGGTTGTACTGCCCTGGATTTCCGCCAGAGCATTGGGCGTCGTAAATGGCATCCATTGTGTCCATGACGTTTCCACACGCTTCACTCCCATCACAATCACTAAGCTTTTCTCGTGCTTGTTGAAACGTCTTGTCCACCTTCTTGGCTGTCTTGATAAACTTGACCGCCCTCTTTGACCACTTCAAGGCACGTGCAGCCTTTCCTGCAAATGGAAGCAGATCTGTGAGGCAAATGCCTCCTTGATCTCTGAACCACTCATATAAAGAGTCCCAAACTGAGGTCCCCTTTAGCTGCACTTTGACAGGAAAGAGCTGCCCAGGAACTGCTGCTTCGATGGTAGACCATTGAAGAGTGTAGCCACCAACGTCATTCGATGAGAAGTCATCGACATCCCAGATGGACACCGTCACAGACTCTCCGGGTTTGCAGTGGACCTCTAGGCTGCCGAAGATCACCGATTCGATCGCAGTGCCAACGCTTCCTCCGTAGCAGGTGTTTTCCACCACGGAACCGGCTTCAAACTTGCCCTTGTATGCCTTCGACCCACCCGACACGCAAGAGAGTCTCACGGTGATTTCATCTTCATAGCCACCAAGGAAGCCATCGTCAGTGTCCTGGCAGTGGATCCTCCGAACGTGAACTTTGTAGTAGCCTAAAGCACCAATGAAATCCACTCCCTCTTGTTCATTCTGCTGCCGCAAGTCCTCTGGTATCTGGTCACTGCAGCAGCCTTGCATAAACAGTGCCAGGGGAGAAAAGACTAGCGCGAAATACATCATAAGATGAGCTGAACACGTCATTCCGAAATGCAGGATGTCAACTTGGTGCAGCTACTTTGGTTGGAGCGTCTGGGGCCCAAATGGCTTGTGGTCGATCCAACCTTGTTTCGAAATAGTTGTCACAAAATGGATGTGTATTGATATTCACTATAACACCGAACAATGCCGCTGATTGAATCAGCACATGCAGAAAATGGTGCGAACGACGTGCCAACTGACAACATGGCCATCGAATGCAAAAAATGGCAAGCCATTTCCGGCTGAGCTCCGGTTCCGGTCGAGTGAAAACAGCTCGAGTTGCCTGTCTGCCTTGTCAGCTCCCCTGGGGATCCCCTCAGGTCATTTCCTCGTCCCTATTTGACGAGGGATCCTGAATGACTTCTAAGGCAGGAGTTTGCACACACGATCCTTTTGGTGCAAGCCTTTCATTCCCATGAGTGCTAAGGCAAAATGATGCACTGGATCTTTTGGCGCACGCCTTTCATTGGAACCCCGTTCCTTAGAACCCCTTCAGTGCCAACACCGCCCCGTTCCGTTCCCAAAAACCCGCCAGACCCCCTGGCGGAATCGGGGCTGGGGCGTGCTAAGCATCTGCTTGTTCGGCCAGGCCTGGAACTTAAACCGCTGCGAGCCGTACCTGGGCTTCCGACGGAATCGACGCAACTGGACGCTCCTTTTTTCTTTTGGGGGGGGGTTGAGCTCAGTGCTGGTGGCCTTTGCGGCTTTACGTGGGGAACCAGAAGGCAACCACACAGTTTTGGGGGAAACCCAAAAAAAAGAAACTGAAGGGAAGCCGCGCAGTTTTGAGGGACCCTCTGTTGCAAAACAAAGCCGCCTACTTGCTTGACCTTGCATCGCTGAACGGGGAGAAGAGTTCCAAGGTGTAGGGCCCCGTACAAACCGTGGCCCAGATGGCACCCAATGCTTCCATTGGGGCAACCCTCCTTCAATGGCATTCGACCAAGCCCTGGACCATTGCCAAGTCCAAGCTTTAGCTAACTCCTGATTCATCCTTTCCTATGTTAAGCGCTTCCTCTGTATCGGAAAGAGGTGCGGGTTGAATAACCAGGACCCTTCATTTCTGCAGGCCCGAGTCAAATCTCCTACAGGCCTGGTCCCCCTGCCCGAAGAAAACAAGAGAAGAACAACACACCATGCTTGTGTGACTGTGTGTGTGAGTGTGTGTGTGACTGTGTGTGACTGTGTGTGTGTGAATGAGCGTGTGTGTCAGAAATCCGGAGTGATATTGCAACCTCGATCTTCGAAACTCCCATACAATCATCAACCCAGCCCCCCAGCGCCGGGGCTTCGACACAACATCCTGCGTTGCGTCTGCTGGACGCTCTTGCGGCGAGAACCAGTCCTGCCGCGACTGGCTTGGCTCTCACCTCTCTGAAACGAATAAAACGCAAACACACGTGCTTCCTCCAAGTGACCGGTTGGTGTTGAAATTATGCGTTTCACGTTTTGCCCAGGGTCTGGAGCTGTCGGCAAACTGCGAGGTTGCCTCCCTGCCACATACTAGCCCCGATGGCAAGGCCCAGCTGGATGAACCTTGTGCTTTCCGGGGAATAACAGCAAATCTTGCAGCTTCTGTCTGCTCTGCCAAGTCTGGCAACAAAGCGCTCTGCCAAAGGTTTCCTCCTGTTGGGGGCACAGTATCTTAAACCGCCATGTTCAAAGGAAACTCCGTTCGCCACTTACCCGCGAATACGCTCCGGCCTTGTCCACATGTCTTGGCAGAGCCTCCTTGCTGGTAACCTGCGGTGGCTGGGGCGGCTCAATGGATGTGGATCAAACTAAAATGGGCACCAGGGAAACCTCCACGGGCTTTAGTTTCCCTTTGGTTCTCTGCTCAAGCCCAAACAAGATGCTAGCCCACAAAAGGCACCCCCAAATGGCTGGTACTTTTGTTGCTTGTCTGAGTCTGCCTGCTTAGTTACTTGGACACTTGTCGTTGGGAGGTCGGTGGGTGGGCTGGCTGCCTGGATGGTTGCTGGTCAGTGGACTGGTTGGGATGTTGATGTCAAGACCAAGGGATGGCTATCGTTGGGCTTCAAAAGCCTGGCAGCTGCTCTTTGCGGGACGAAACAAAAAGAGAGAAATCCTGAATTCGTGATAGCAAAGCGAGCCATCCCCATGCATCCTTCGCCTTGGTCACTTGGTAGTACTTTAGAGGGAACATCCTTCAAAACCCGGCGTTCACCAGCATGACGTCAAAACCGGTGCCAAACAAAACAGAAGGTTCAAGTTCTCCGTCCGCTTCTTTTCCAACTCGCCACGCTCAAATGGCCCGCGCTTGCTTGGGGCGTGCAAAGCCTGGCTCTTTTTGGCATGCAGGCTCACTCAACATATCCATTGCGCACCAACCAGAAACTAAAAAATACGTTTTTGTAACATGTCATGACAACGCCTTTTGGTTTCGCGGGGAGTCCGATCTGTGCCTGGGCCATACACTTTGCATTTCGCTATAGCTGAAACATCCGCGCTTCGGCGAGTGTGCGCTCAAACCCTCGCTGGGTTGGCTGCACTGGTAGGCGCGCACGCGCACCAGAGGTAGAAACCGAACTTGGGGAGCTCACTTTGGTCTTATCGGACCTGGAAATTTTGCATTGACGCCTTGCAGCCAGACAAGTGTCACTGGCGGCTTTGGGGGCAGTGACGGTGTGCTTGCAAGGTCATGATTTCACGTAACAAGTAGAAGCCCGGCCATGCGTTTTGAGCTCCGGTACGGAAACTCCCCTCGAACGGAGCGAAGCGTTCACTTGCTCAAGAAGGCCCTTCGCCGAGCTTCTGGACATAGGTCTGCAGCGATGGGACGAGGATCAGAATGAAGAACCTGAGAACAGCGCAACGGGGTTCCGGGTTCCGCGGTGTGCAGAGCTGCACGGGTTGCAAAACAGATCAACCATCATTTTCTGAATCGCTTCAGGGACCTTCATAGGCAAAACCCTTCGGACTCCCTTCTGGCAAAAAAAGCGCCCGTTAGTTTTTTGTTTTGCGGAATCTTGCCTGCAAAGGTAAAGACGAGGTTTCGAAGTGGATTCTTCCACCGGTCTTGGACATGCGATGGCTCAATTTTGCCTCGAGCTTCAGGCTGATCCCGTTTGGGGGCCCGAGGATTTCTCCATCGTGAGGAGGGTTTTGCAGCAGGCCTGACCATTTGTCTGAGGATTCTGGTGGTCTTTGGGTCTCCAACGCTCTGGCCTAAGAAAAGACACCCAGTGCGACTATCCAGGTTCTGCAAAGCAACCCCGCTGAGAAGCATCAAATCTATACCACAACGCATCACACGTCCAAGGACTGAAGACCCCTGCTTCAAGACACTGTGATTCTTCCCGCAAAGGCGTAAGCAACTTGGGGGTGTCGAGTTTCATTGCTGGGGCCTGATTCATCAGCCTGGATCTTTGGAGACCACCCACTCCGAAATGGCGGGACCATATTGATCACCAGGGTGCTTTTGATCCTGGGTTCCCATAGAAGGTATCTTGAGCTCTGGCACTTTCCCCATCTTCGGGGCAGAGCAATTGAGCCTTGAGCATCAAGCCCTGCGCGGCATCTCCTTCCCAGTGAGCCTCCTTCATGTGGATGTCTTTCACAGGCTTTGGGACGTTTGCAAACATTAAGGGGTTTACTTCAAGCCAGCTTTTGGAGTCGAGGAGCAGCGCGCCGGCGACCGCAAAGATCAAGGCAGAGGTCGTCTCATTTGTCTCCTCAGACTGCCAGCTTTGACAAGCTATACCTGGAAAAAGTTCTGCATAAACTTCAGGACTTGACCAACCACAGAGCAGCTCAAAACGTGTAAGCACTTCAAGATCGAATGAGGCCAATCTGTTGGCACAGAGAGTGCCACCGGGCAGGCTGGTGAGAGCCTTGTGTCACTCGGAAATTGGATGGGGCTTCGATGGTCACCAAGCATCCGTAGTGGCATAGGTGGCCTTTTGCAAAAACAGATGCCCCCGGCAAGTGGAATAAACCCCATCTAAACCAGGGCCCTCCATACTTTTTCAAGCAAATTTATTCCAACAAGCACACCGTTTTGCCTACTGGCATCGCACCAGACCAAAAACGTCGAGCGAGCCAACGCAAACAAAATGGGTCGCTGCGCTCCGCCAAGCCGCGTACGGAGTGCCCTCGATCGGGTCCGAGAAGAAGGGATCTCGGTCCGGCGGGTCGATTTGGCCGTGGTCGTCAAGACCGTCTTGGGGTCCCAGGTTGGATGGGATTGGTGAATTCACCACCCGTGTTAGAACCTATTTTAGGTGCACCAGCCATTTTAGACTTCCTATTTTAGGTGCAGCACCCATTTTAGACTTCCTATTTTAGTGGTTGGATTGGTTGATGTTCACTGGGGGGTAACCGGGATTTTGACCCATGGCCATTTCTCTGCGAGCCTGGACACTTCGTCATGACTGTGTCTGCTTGCCGCGTTCAACCGAAGCGCAAATAGGAAATCTGACATGTTGGAACCATGAAGCAACAAAAAGTAAATACTTCCAGAGTATCGGAACTGTTGGCCAAAAATGAGGGCTGTTGGATGTGCGTGCGCAAATCTTCAGGGAGTGGAGATGCCAGCGCGGTAGCCGGTAGCCACCCGACCAGTGTTGCTGGGCACTCCTCCCACTCCTCCCAACCGATCCCCCTTAACTTTGTCACCAGAATTGTGGATACGTAGCCGCCATCCCCTGCATGCACCGGGGATCCATTCCAAGCGCCGGTCCTTTGTCCTTCCCTGCAGCCAGCTGGACATGGGGCACGCGCCTCTCGGGCTGTCGAGCTGTCGAATGGACTCGGAAGGGCCGAACCTTGCGCAAGTGGGGTGGGGGTGTTTCGAGTGAATGCTTCCTTTTTAGATAGGGGACCAGAAAATACCAATTTCCTGAGTGGATTGGCCAACCAAAAGTGGAAACTCTTTGGTTGCTACTAGAATGGTCAGGAAGTACTGTTAACCAAGGTCGACAAAAGGAACCTGACACCGGGCTTCCGTCAGAAACAACAGAGGGGGTCGTAAAAATAGGCGCAGCCAGCCCACGTTAGGTCCGAAAGAGTCGCACAAGAAAAGAAAGGGGCTGGCGCAAAAGCACGCAAGTGCACACATCCACACAACTACTTGTTCTCTGTGATATGGGTATGGGTCAAAATTGATCCACCAGAGGATGGCAGGTTTCAGTCCCTGTTTTCATGTACTAGGACCCCAGTTTGGGCTTTCTATTTTGACCCACAGCCAGAAAAGTGTTCCCGTGGTTTCCTCCCAAACCCCAACCCCCCAACTTCGGACCAGAATTTCCCGCCTGGCGGGTGAGAGGCCGCCTACAAAGCAGCTGGCCAGCGTGGCGAGGGCCACGAGGCAGAACCTCAGCGTGCGCGGCCGGAGTTGTTTTTTCCCCGATTGAACGCATTTCTGGTGGTTTCCTTTAAGGGAACCCCTGGTTCATGCCCATATTCCCTGAGCACCAGCAAGAAAGGGACTCGTTTTTGTCCGGTCGCCTCCAAAAGGGAACCCCCTCCACAACAAAGGCAGTCAGGGTCAACACCGGAGAGCTGGGGAACTAACAACCACAGGACCGTGATCAGGTTCCACACACAAACCTGATGAAAAAGCTCACTGGTCAAATATAGGAGTCCCTATTTGTTGCTGGTATGACATTTCTCTAGTCACTCCAGTCTGGGTGTGTCGATTCCGTGTTCCCGCTAGCACCTCTCCCCATGCGGTTTAGTGGGAACCCAGATATTAATTTTGTTTTATGAACAGGCGGTCCATTTAGATGGCGGCACTTTGGGTCTTGCCACCCACACCTGCGTTGTTCGTGGAACTTTACGTGGCAACCCAGGCACAAACAGTCACACGCACACACACACACACACACACACCAAAAGGCAATCGGACCCCGCCTCAAAGCACGCGTCTTGCCATTCGCCATGGCGAGCAGTCTCTGAGCTCTGAGCTACAAATCGCGCGCGCGTTGGCGTGATGCAAGCTTCGGATGCGGGAGTGTGGGGTTTGAGGGTACCATTTCTCGTGTTGGGGTCTAGAAGGAAACCAACTATGATAGAGGCTCCCCTTCTTTTGACACATGCCAACGACAACAATGTTTGCCCCTTTTGGTGCTGCATAGTGATTGCTGTTCTCATTTCACGACTTCGTCGAACTACGCATGCCAATTTCAAGGGGAAACACATTACGCGTGCTTGGGCGATCTCCCTGAAACAGGCAGCTTCCTTTGGGTTTCCCTTCAAGCCCACCAACAAAAAGGTCCCCCCCCCCCAAAAAAAAAAAGAAGAAGCAAACAGAACAAAATAGAACGCAACTTGATTTCCCGCAACGAGCTTCGAATCAACATCCCGACATGCGCTCCACGGTCTGGTAGCTTTGACTCTCACACCACCTTGGTTTGACACATACTCCTCTTCCAGGAAACTTCTCGTAAGTTCCAGCAACAACATCAACGCCCAAATTGCCAACCCCTCAACATCTTTAGCCCTCGAAGAATCTACCCTCAGGCTAAGGACAAGGGCATGAAACGTGGTCGAACTCTGTTGAAGCTTTCCGGCTGTTTAAAAGAGTACAGCTGGTGAATGCTGGGATGTTTCCTAAGTGTAGAAGCCTCAGCAAAGGGTTGGTTTTGCCTTTGCTTCCCTTGGAAAGCCAACCGACACACAGGGGTCCACGAATTCAGGAAACACCGCGCACTTGTCACATCCAGCGCCTGAATGGTACAGCGGGGGTAGTGCGGCAACTCGGAAAAGAGGTACTTGTCATCCGGCACCTAGATGAGACCCTGCCTTTGGAAATGGATGCAACGGAGGGTCTGGAAAGATAGCGGAGTTATCCATCCCTTTTGGATTTGCTTAGGGACATTTGAACATCCATGCGCTAGTTGAACAGGTTTGCGGGTCTGGAGGATTGCTATGCGAGGACACACACACACACACACCCAACCACTTGAAGATGCTTCTCTTGGATTCTGTACCTGTCCCTCCCTCACTGCCAAGCGGAATGACTCCCCGGTGCTTGCATTAAAGTCAGATTCACCTATGGCCCACGCCACCACGTATGTTCAGGATGGAATCCTCTCAACTGGAACTCGGTTACCCAGCAAATCCATTTTCCTGTATAGGCAACCGAAGGAACCACCCTTCCAAAAAAAACACACACAGTATTTGCATGTTTCTGGTTTTGTAGGTGACCAAGGCGTTTGGCTGACTGCCTACTATACAAGTAACTCAGATCCACGGTTAGTCACTCCTAACTTTCAGTAACTCAGACAGGCCGCCCGCTCGATCCGTTGGGCGTTGAACATGGCCTGCGGCGAGGGAAAGCGGAGGCTGTGAATCAAGTCAAGGGAGCGGCAGGGTTTTGGCTGCCAAGGAAACACCTCTTGCAGTGCTAATTAGAAGCCGATTTTGGGATGCCCAAAAAAAAGCAGAAAGGTAGCAGCGTTTGGAAACCAAAAACGGTCCCCAGAGGAAGGAGGCTCCTTTCCGAAGCTCAGCGTGCTCCAGGTGGTTATCACCCAAGCCAAATGGGAAAACCGAAGGCCCGCAAAGTGGGTGGATTCCCCTCCATGCATTTTAAACGTAACCAAGAAAGGTAGCAAGACCAACAAACCAAGTCGCAGCCAATACAATGTGGTTCGTACATCTTTGACTTCAACTAAATCGATCTGCATGTATTATATACTATAAGTCACCCACATAAAGCAAGGGATTCTCTAGCTAGGTCTTCATCATGGAACGGCTCCGCTCGTTTCACCTCCGGTAACAACCGGGAGCCTCGCCAACAAACAAGTATGTAAGGAGACTCTAAAAGGGAATCTGACAACATCTGACGCGATTGTACGCATTCAAGAATGCTGTTAACCTCACAAACAAAGAAGCGCCACAACCCTACGGCGGATCATGTTTTTGCAAAGGCATTGTTTTCTGGACTTGATCATGCCGTGCTGTTTCTTGGTCTTTCACATGCGCGGATCGAGTTCCAATCTTATCAAACCATCCAGCAACAGAGAGGCCATTGGCAGAAGTGAATCACATTGTTTCAGCTCCCTCTAAGAACCAACTCATCAAGCGGCCCCAAACCGGTGAAACGCCAGCCAAGCAAACGGACCCCATGGGGCAAGCGGGCCCGAGACCCTCAGAGCTACGTGGATTCTGATGACCGGCTCCCTCCATTCTGTTGGTCCTCTAAAACCCCCCCCCCAAAAAAAAAAAAGGAAAGGGAAACGGCAGCACAACATAGCGATAGATCCCTCTTCCATGGTTTGCGGCCATCCCGTCTGAGACCGAAGTACACCAACCAAAGGCTCAGTGATCCCTGGATCCCTGGATCCCTGGCCTTGCTGGTTTGCCTGTAGTGGTCATTGGGGTGAGACGTGGTGTAGTTGGGATCCTCAGTCCGACACGGCGCAACCGGCAATGTTCGAGGGCAAAACAAGCGTCAAGCAGGCGAAAGCGCCCAACAAAATGCTTCCCCTAGCAAAACCAACGCCCAGTGATAGTCAAGTAGAGGAGCTTATCACCATGCGACGTTTAACAAAGATCCAAGGAGAAACAAGGGTCACATCTTGCGAAAAGCAGGACTTTGTTTCTGATGAGATTCTCGGAACAAGGGCATGAGAAACACATCACTTAGGAGGCCATTCTCAACTAGCTGTTGGATACCTCCAATTTACTATATGTTCCTTGGCTTGTTGCCGCGATCATCCCGAAAAGCCAGCCGGGTGTTGAATGTGTTTGTGCGTGGGTTAACATGAGCGCTCACATGAATCTCATCAAAGTGCTGCCTTCAGGAAACGCAGCCTTACCCTGAAAAGAAAGTAGCCTTTGGCTGACATCGCCTCCTGTCAGCTCAAATACTCCGACTTGCATGGCTGATAACATTGGCTTGTCAACACGTCAAATAGGAAACCCTAAATGGGTGTCATTTGGCGAAAGTGACTCCATGAGTACCCTCAAAAAGAAAAAAACGGTTTCACGCCCCATTTCCTGGAAAAACGGTTCGAAAGCTTCCCAAGTCTCGGATGAGCGAGACTTGTGTTTGGGAACCGCACGGAAGTGTTGGGTTTAGAGTTTAGGCGGTGGTTGTGTTCCGCTCCCCCTCCCATGAGAAACAAATAAGGACACTGATAAAGAAAGTGCTCTAAGAAGCTGAGAGGCCAACAAGCCAAGAAGCCAAAACGACCCCATGGTTCTTGTTGTCAAAGAATCCATGCAGAGTTAGTGCCCGTCCATCTGAGCAAATTACAAGTCACCCGCCCAAAATTACAAATGACCCCCCCCCCCGAGAAAGCTATCATCAAGGCTGAGGTTGCAAAACAGCTTGGGAATTTACCCAAACAAGAAACATTTGCATCCACTCGCAACCAGAAAAATCTGGGCCAAGCGCGTATATGTGATCATACGCCCGGTTCCTCGGCTGACATCGATGCGAGTCCGGCAAGGGACACCTGAAGCGTCAATCGTACGTGAAACGCCGCCTGCTTTGTAAAAAGGCGCCTGGGTTGACGTTGGAGCTTTGCCAATGCCCCAAAAAAAGCGGTGAACGACCGTCATCCCGCACCAGAGCGCAATCAGCAAGTCCCATGCAGGTGTCAAACAATCTCCCCTAGCACGGTCCAAGTGCCTGCAGCAAACCGCGAGAACATGTTGAACATGATAATCCTGCAAATCGATCCCTCGACTGTGTGAACAAGCAAGCTGATTTACCATGAGACAATACATGCACTGCTTTGCTGAGGCGACTGCCACAAATCACGCTTTGATCTGTCTGACCTGTACTTAAGGTACTGTGGCAATCCGCTTTATCGCCAACTCAACAAGCGCGATGTCAAGCCAGTTAAAGAGAGAACCTAAAGCCTGGCTGGCGCAATCGCCGGAAGGCAAGGATCCGCAAAAGGAATGGCGAAACCAAAGCGAAGGGGATTCATTGCGCCATCTACTTGTAGCCAACTGTAGAAGGACCCCCTGTTGGAGTGAGTCGGAAAAAACTACATGTGGACAAAATGTAGAAGGACCGCCTGTTGGAGTGATTCACGATAAACTGAAGTCATGGGGGCTGCGGGGGAGGGAGGAGAAGGGGAAGGGAGCCCAAATAAGCCCTTATTAAGCCCTTAATAAGGCCTTACTTAGGCTTATTTGGGCTCCCTCCCCTCCTCCCCCCCCCCAGCACCCATGATGAAGGGAGACCAACAACTCTCTTTCACCCACCCCAGTGAACATCCCAATCCCCACTACAATAGGTTCTAAAATGGGTGGTGAATTCACCTACCCCAAAATGCACCTACCAACCAACATGGGATCCCAAACGGTTTTGACCCAGAACCAATTTGCTTTCACCCATCCCGCCGAGCCCTCGGCGACTGCAAGATGGTCCGCGTCGCCATGCTCGCCGACAACTTCCGGACCTGAGGCCGTTCGTCGTTAATGAAATGTGCATGGGACAAGCCTTGGCCTGCACTCGTGTATATATATATATATATGTACATACATACATACATACATACACATGTGTAATGTGGATGATGTGGATTCAACTGCGGGTGTCGTCTTGGCATACATCGCTTATATGTGACGTTACTTGAGTGCCATTATGCTATGTCTGATATTGTGGATGTTGCCTGCATAGTTGGAACAACAGACATATGCAGCCTCCTCCAACATGCCATGTGACCCACACTCAAACTGCTGCCGCACAAGAAATTTCATCTGGCCAAACTGCCATACTTCCCAAATTGGGGTAGTCATCTGTGTTCCCCAAACTCTGATAACAGCCTTGCTGGTGCTCAGGGAATGAGGGAATGACCCCAAGCCATCCCTTGTTGTTTCCACTGGAATCCCTGGCATCATTCCATTTCTCATTCCCCACCTATCCCAGGTCCTCCAGTAGAGAGGTTAGACTAAGGGTACCCTTTTTTCTGTAGTCTATTTTAGTAGGGGAACCCTCCCCAAAGAAAAGGTAAAAGGGCACCTAGCTAGAGGACCTAGATTCCCTCATTCTCCACCTATCGCACCACCTATCGCAACGCCTATTGGTTGCTGGTCATGGAGCACCCCGGTTCTCACGGGGCGCCGGGCGTAAAGAGCCCGGCCAGTTGTGCGCCCCGATTTGGGGCCGAGGCTTGGCTGGAAATGCGGTCGATGTGACACGTTCAGTGAGGGCTGCTTCTTTGCTCGCTGAAGGCACGAGAAAAAAAAAGAACGTTCATGTCTTCCAGTAGGGGGTGCCTGGGTTGAAGTTGTTGCGGGGATGGGAACCATCTGGAAACCTGTGTGTCTGTGTCCGATTGTGTGTGTGTGTGCGCGCGTGTGCGTGGGTGTGTATGTGTATGTGTGTGTGGAAAACGTCAACGTGTTGGACCCACGGAGTTTTGAACACTCGAGGGGCGGGGGGAGGGTCTTAAATGGACTTGCCAGAACCAGCCCAGGCCCACTGACAAGGATGCATAGTCATGACCCATGTCCCTTCAAAATAAAGACATGTACAAAAACAAACACCAAGCTGGCAAAAAGAAATCGTCCAAAGTCTGCACCCCTCAGTTCAAATCAGCCGCAGCCAACATGTGCCGTTCCCCACAGGATATGGACAAGCCTGTGGAAGCCCCCTTGGCAAGTATCAAGTGCTGAAAGAATAAAAATGAAGCAAACACATCTAAAGCTAAAGTGTCGTTCAAATATGTAATATGTCCGTTCTGTGAACGCCACCCCACCCACGGCATGTTTGGGAGATATGACCCACTGTCAACATTAGGGAGTTCAGTTTGACAACCCTATGTTCAAATGGTCATTTGGTGAGCCTTGTTGCTGAAACCATCGTGAACTTGGACTGTTGCTTGGGCAACATATGCCGTGCCAAATTGTACTCCGGCCGTGGCGTTCCTTCTAATCCCCCGATTGAGTGTTTAACACACATCACGCCAACTCAAAGATCGCGCTGAAGTTGCGAAGCGCCGCGGGCCTTCCGTTTTTTCGGGTAAGCTGAGCGCTTAGGCTCCCTCCAAGGCTTGTGCAATCGCGCCTTTGCGAATTCCACCTCTCGTTTGCTCTATCGGGTTGGCTATTGCCTTCTGTGCAAGAAGTTGAATTGGTTGTTGATTCGTGGGAAATGCAAACGTCCCAAGACAAGTCAAAGGTTGAAGTTCCAATCAGATAGCAAAGTCAAGGCCCCGCTGAGAATAGGATACTTTCCCGCTATGCCAATTTTCTGTCGACAAATCCAGCAAGACAGATTCACGGCTTCGCCAATTCAGCAAATGCCCTTTTGCTTATCGTTAAAGACCTTTAAACCCGAGTTTCTCCACATGGATTTCGGATCCCTGTTGGCCGGTATACGAAAACTAAATTGCCATTTCCGGGCCCCACTTGGCCATGGGTCAAAATCCCAAGTCCGTAGCCCTAATGAACATCCCAATCCAACCACTAAAATAGGTTCTAAAATGGGTGGTGAATTCACCTACCAACCAAAATGGGATCCCATTGGTTTTGACAACCACGGCCGTTTGCGGGGACCCGCAGAACAAGAAAGAACAGAAGCTTCAGGAAGCACATCGCCGCTTCCGGCTCTTTGGCCAATCTAAGACGAGAAGATGATGGGCACCACGCGCTCCACCTGAGGCGACCGCCCACCCCCCGACCGGCAGCGGGGGGGCGGGTTTGATGGGTAGCTCAGCCACTTCGGCTTTGCAAATTCCTACTTTGGCTAGGTCCTCCAGAAGAGAGGTTAGAATAAGGGTACCTCGACTCTCAAACACCCTTTATTTTTGGGGTGGTGCTGTTTTGCATTCACTTTTCGGGTGTTTTGATAATTTTTGGGGTGGTATTTCCATTTTTGGGTGTTTTCGGATTTGTGGGGGCATGCATGCTTTGTCTGATGTTGGAGGGATATCAAAGGGCTCGCGCCTTTGCTAGCCACACTGGCTTCGCCGGCTCAAGCGGCGCGCGGCCTTTGCGACGTTCATCTGCCGGGCGTCTCAGAAACAAGAGTCAAAAGCTACCCCTGGAGCACCGAGTAACATGTCCAACATAAAAGGCAGGTGCAGGTATATTTTTCAAGGTTCGGTCTCACACATCTTGAACATGAGTGAGTTATAGCTTCCGATGCTCCAAGCTAACTCAAGCCAAGTCACCTGTAAACTCAAAGTGGCACTTTAACAAGTACCGTTCTATGGTACGAAGGGTCACTGTACCAGCATGGACCTGCCTAGAAAGACGGGCCAACTTGCCCACATAGTCCTCGTCGGACTCACAATTGTCAATTCCACAACTCAAGATGTAAGGGTCTCCTCGTTCCAGTTGAGTGTCCCAATCAACTCCAAAATGGTGCCAGAAATGAAGGCTTGGTTCCAGGTGAAACCGTGCGAGACCTGCGCGGTGACAAAGTTTGGCCATTGTTGAGTATGCATCCACAAACGCATGCGTGTTGTCCGCCATTTGACGGGCCTCATCTCTTTTGAACCAGACTCCTCCTTGGTGCATAGTTCTGAAAAAAGTCAAGGCAGCATGGTTGCCGGCGGCCATTGCTTGGAAAAATGGACGATGGGAGTCTTGCAAAGGCTGTTCGGCCAAAGCCTTGCCTTTCCGCTGCTGCATGTTGATATCACAAAGGCCGCGTGCTAAAACTGTGTTTAGCCACCTTGTGATAAGCATCACATCGGAGCCCTTGGGGCGAGAAGAAGGGAATGCATCTTTACGCGGGTAATGTAGCAGCTCCTTGGTGAAGTGTTTCATGTGGGAGACGTGTTTCCCAGGCCATTCCTTCTTGATGAAGAAATCGTAATCCTCGTAAGCCTTGCCCAGCAATTCGGCAACATTCCCTGGGCCGAAATACCCAAAGTCAAGCATCAATACGATTGAGCTGGCAATCCAATGTCCTCCGATGCTTTGCTTCCAGATGTGGAACGGGTCTTTTCTGAAAAAGGAGTGTGGGGAGAACGTGCGGCATGGGATTTGAAGAAGCGGGCTTTCTTTTCCCTCATGCCACGGGTTCTCCAAGCCTTCGGTAGCCTTCCAAGTTGGAACTCGGCGGTTGTCTTCCCAAGGGAAATTCTCGCATCCAGCGAGGCACTCTGGGCAAATGCCCTTGTGCCACCCCAAGTTCCTAGCACGAGCTAAAACAAACGAACCAGCTTTTTGCTTAAGCCAGGGAGGCCAACGCAGCACTAATAAAGAAATTGAAAGCCAAACACGTTGCTGAAACAGCCCAAGTGTCGCAAAGCTTCGTGTGAAGTGACCTGCTTTGGCCAGTGCCGGTGCGTCGCCTTTAACACCAACGCATATGAAAAACCAAACGCGCCCTTGGATGTCTAGGCCAGTTGTCATGAGGTCAATGCACTCCTCAGCCAGTCGGTTCAAAATCAGGTCATAGACAGCGGCATTCTTTTTGGTGTACCATTTCTTGGGCACGGCCGTGTACAAAAAACGAGACTTGTACGTCACGCCTTTCTGATTGTGGCATTGGGACTCTGTCATGTATCGAGCAAGATCGTCCTCGCTGCGCCCAGGTTCTGCACTAAAGCGCGCTGCAAATTTGCTTGCTGTGGATCTTCCAAAAATTGGCTGCATATTGTAAACCAAAATGCCAGTTTTCCGCAGGGAGGTTCCCTCGTCGAGATGCAGCAGGAATGGCACACACTGGTCCAAACAGGTGTCTCGGTTCTGGAAAACCCAATGGTCCCCCATGGAGTGCTCTAGGTTCCTCCAAAATGTTCTCAAAAGCAGTTTGTGTTGGTAGCCATCTGGAGTGAATCCACCCAAAACAAAGTCAGGGTGTTCAGTCATCAAGTAGTCAAACCAGTCCCCAATCTGCAAATGATGGATATGTAGCAGGCCAAACCGCAGGGACCGGACACGAAGAGGTAGAGAAAGGTGCAGGGAACGAAATAAGATTTGAAGATCCCGTTCTGCATTATGGAGATTGTTCTTCGTCATGGCCCCTGCCCTGCGTAAAGCAGCCGTGCCATAGGCACCCTCCGCTTCACGGATGGCGGCGTTGGCGAGCCGCTTCAACCTGGTAGCCGGAGCCTTGGCACGTCAGCCCCACAAGGTCGTAACATAGTTGGACCCCTGAAGCATGTTACAATGTTGCTTGAGTCTATCGGAAAGCCAAGTAACACCATCCGCAAGAGATAGCGCCAGTGCCCGAACCATGATGCCGGGCTGTGCGGCCCCTGCCGCTGAGGATTGGTTGCCCCCCGCTGGGTCAATGTGCATGTTTCAAAAGCACATGTACGATGTAAGCTGCAGCGGATGTCATATCTTTTTCGCAATGGGTTCCTCAACTCCAACTGCATCCTACCGAGCCAAGCTAGCACTTGCTGCCAACGCTAAAGCATGCGCAAAGAGTCTGTGCAAACACATTGTTGGAACACTTTGTCTTCAAGGCAAAAGTGCTTAGTGGCTATAGACTTGC